GCGGAATTGTTGGTTCGGCTGTGTGGAGTGGTGGCTGGGTGCATCGGGAGGGAGATGCGTGGAGGATGCGAACTTTGCAAGAGGAGATGACGGTGAGAGATGGGCTGTGTATATCTCGGTCCACATGCGAATAATCGGCAGTATAGCAGATGGGGACATGTCGGCTAGGGTAAGGTTGTGGTGAGGAGAGAATGTAAGGACGTAGCATTTGCCTGTGACTGCTTCTGCTTTGAGCAGCAAGGACGCAAGACCTACCCAACTCGATCGGTTAGCATCCTATCCTCCTCATGGAACTTCTCTGGCTCTTACTTGGGCCGTCGTCGTTGGGATTGTACTCTTCCTGCTCCTCTTTCACGGCACTGTAATCATTCACAAAGACAAAAGTGTTTTCGTACTTTGGATTGGTCTGGCCCTGCGCTCGCTTATTACCAGGACAGAGATAGCATGAAGGATCGTATGCTGGAAGCTCGATACTTGCAGGCGGCTCTTGCTGGCCTCTTGTACAGTGTAAGCCTAAATCTACCATCCCTCAAAGTTGGACCATACTGCCATGGTCTATTTGCTCGGTGTGGGGAGACCAGAACCCAACTCCCACGGAGCGGATTGAACCTCCGATGAGAGATGTCGTCGAGGAGGTTATTGCTCATTCTGCGCGCAGATGTGAGTGATTCCAGTGACAGTCTGGTGGATTCAGCCGTGTCAGCTTTACCTGTGGCCAAGTAATCTTTGCGCTGTATGAACTGCCTACCTGCGGGGATCTACCTGTAGATGCTGGTGTCCCCGCTTCTGGTATTCATGTACAAAGACTGCGTTTCTGAATCCGCCATCGACAATGATAGAGTGATCTTAGACGGGCTTGATGGGTGGTCAGTACACACATAGCTGCGAAGATGACAAAAATTCAGCTTGGTACAATATCGCCAGTCTTGCATCGCCGGGAGGGTTCCATGCTTGCCAACCCAATGACGTCGGTTAAGTTCCTTCGACACTGCTGGGATCTGTCGCCAAGTCCTTGCGCTAGCTGGAAAAGGTTGATTATATAAGCACTCTATCTTCCGTCCAAGCTCCCGCATTGCTTTGATCATTCTGACGAGCGCATCAAGTCCAACGGCGCTGCCAATTGACTTGAGTAACAAGAACGGCTCGTTACTACTCGCAGGTCCCAGGGGATACACATCCTGTGCATGCAATCTCACTGAAAGCTGCCTCTTAATAGCAGCTCTTCCCTCTTATCCAACAACTGATCAAACTCCCCAGCAAGCATGCCTTGCAGCATCCATTCCCTACCCAATGAGGTAATTCGCTCTATATCAAGCGGTGGGACTCTTTACCTACGTACACCTTATCTCACTTTATATTGCAGATTCTGATCCAAATCCTCGCTCCCTTCCCCGTTCGCTCTCTCCTCTCAATAGCACCCACATCTCCACGTTTCTCCTCCCTCATCCTGCGCATCCTCCACTACCGTCTCCTTCTTGCTGCATCTCTAGGCTCCCACAAACTCATCCTGGAAGCCTACCATCCCATTCGCAAGTACAGCGAACCCTACCTCTTCTGCACCTACCTCAGCACCCCAGGCCTGTCATCAGCCCACGAGGGCGAGGGTTCCTTGTACGAAAACACCACGGTAGGCGGGCGATTCTCAAAGCTGAACCAGTTGTATTCATGCTTCCGACCCGAACGGCCAGGCGTGGAGGGCAATGTGCCTAAACGTCCATACCTAGCCGGCGGAACAGGAAGCCAAGCAGACTCCAGCTCCGCGTCTCAACCCATCTTCACTGACAACGGCGACGGCGGAAATCAAAAGATCGAGCACATCATCAACCTAGACAGCCACGAGCTCTTCAGCCAGTTCTGCACCATCGCAAACCTCGTCACCATCGGGCCCAGACGAGGCGTCTTCCTATCAGTCGTCAACGTCGAGGACAAGGTCATGCGAGTCTGGCGCGAATGGCTGGAAGAGCGAGCTCGAGCCTCAAGAGAAGAAGAGAAGAGGCAAAGCAAGAACAAGCAGCGGCGAGAAGCGGCGACAGAAGCCACCAACTTCGATACAACGGTCGAGGAGACGGAGCTGCAGGAACAGAAGCATGAGCAGGCGCGTGACATCGGCTCCTCCCCCTCCATCCTCTGGACCGACCACAACCGCAACGTCGGCCTCCTCGTCACAATCAAAGACCGCAAATGGCGCGCCGGGCCCGGACCGCTCCTCGTATCCGCAGACGAAGAACAACCCGCTAGCTACTCAATCGAGATCAAAGGTATGTCATACCCCGCCCCAGGCAAATACAATTCTCGAGTTTTTTTTCCCGTATCGCCACCTCTTTCCAGAATAGGCATGCAAGCAAGCTGATCACGTGTTTGCTGGCGTTTGGCGGCAGAACTGGTAGTGCGCACCACACACCTCATGCTGGCGGTCGAGGAGACGCAGGGACAGCAGACCAACATCTCGGGTAAGGCGATGATTTTTGGCTCATTTGCTAGGGCGGCAGATGCCACAACGGCTTAGAAGAAGAAACGATAGAAAGCAAGCAAGCAAGCAAGCAAGCAAGCAAGAAAGAGATGCATGATTGTATGAAGGCTTGGGTTCCATTCTGCTCTCTCCCTCCCCCTAAATCTACCACCCCCAAGGGCGATCGCGTGCGTCCTCTTGACCTCTCGGCCCCAATTTCTATTCTCTTCATATACTACTACTACTACTACTACTACTAAACCGCATTCATCAGGGGCTCGGCTCCATGGGCTCAAAGAGCCAATTCCTCCCAACCGTTTTTGGGGGGGTGATTACGAATAATCTCATGATAGGGATGGAACATATGACAAGTTAAGAACTAAAATTTAAATCTCTGTGGCTCTGTGTAGATTGTCTCAGATGATGCTTCGGCTTGGACACTGGCTGTGCGCCGCGGGGTACTGCGTGCTGGGATCCTTTCTAAAAATGTTCTATCTATTCTATTCTATGGGAGGGTGGATGGGTAAGTGAGGTGAGAACAGCGGGTTTCCGAACCGAGCTTTTTTTTTCGGATTTCGTGGAGTATGGAGTTTGGGATGGTGGGCATCTGGATCGGGATTGCTGGGGTTTCGATGGAGCAATGCAAAGCGTTATCGATCTGGACCTCAAAAATGGGCATGGCTGAGCGTTATCGCGTCTGGCTCTCTCTGAGGTCTCTGCAGTATGCGGAAAGGATGCTAAGTCCAGTACTGTAGATCCTAGGGAAGCATCCATCCGGAAGTGGTGCGTCGATCGAAATCACAAGATATCTCAAGGTTTCCTATGGACAGGTGTGGAGGTCATCGAACGGGGGTGAAGACATGGCAGCCCCTCCGCAGGAATGGGCGACGCGCCCGTGCGAAGCTTCGATCCCAGTCTTCCCCGCGGTCACAGACGGCGAGTCTCCATTATCTCCTTCGATCACATTCTAGGCCTGGCTGATTTGTTTGGAGTGGGTGGTTGCCGTAATCCGAAGAGCACATGTCCGCTCACTGGTGTTGTGGAACCACGGAAATGATGTTCAAGGGTATTTTGGGTGGAAGGAAAATAGACCTAGTGCCTCTAGGGAAGCACGTGTATCGTTGTGTGGGAGTAACCATCGCGATGAGGAGGAGGGAGCGAGGGAGACGGCTCACTAGATCTGGGAGAGTTGCATGCTAGGAGCGTGAAATCTGTTGTCAATGGGCCAGTCATTCCTGGGTACACGCTGCGAAGGGCAGACAGGGGTTTATCGAGCCGGAAAGTCGTCGAGCCGGATACTCGGCGAGCCAGCACCCCCAGCGCTTTAGCGCAGCAGCAACAGCAGCATACTTTCCATCGTCATTCTGGACTGAGGAGATTTGTGGCTCTGCTTGTCTCTGATTGCGTGCAAGATATCGTGGTGATCGCGAAGCCGGCAATTAGAGTTCTCGAAATTCGTTACCTTGAACTCAGCCAGCGTGATAGCAATTACCGTTTCCAGAAAGGTTTGATGTTTTCAACCTCAGTAGGTGCAGATGATGACTTGGCCTGTTTGGTCTGCGATTGGTTGATAGGTCCTTCATAATCGAGCTGAACAACGTACCACCCTTTTCTTGATAGCTTGCAGATGGCCAGCTGTTGTCGTAGACTGCTGGCGGTTTTCTTATCTTGCGAGCTTCCAATTCGTCTCCCGGTGTTTCTCTTCCGCAACATAGCTGCAATTAAATAGGCAACATCTGGCTCTAGCATCTAGTCGCATCAGTTCATTTGCTTGTAGCTACCCCTTGCTCATGATGCCAGAATTGGGAGAGTTTTGGCAGTTGTCTGACTGGAAGTTTAGCACGAGCGGCTCGCATCGTCCCCAAAAGGAGAAGCCGGTCAGTGCTCACATGATTGTGAGAGGTTCTGCTGATTTGCCGTCATGCAATTGGGTTGGGAACCCCACGTTTCGGGCGAAATGCATTGGACGCCGGGTCTGCTGGCTTGCATGAGCGTGGGCCTGGAGTGCCGATCATCACAGGCTCGTCCAAGCTTGACTACTCGACACAGAATTGTCACGTTCTGGCAGAGCCGCATAACAGAGATTCGGCCGATAAAGTCTTCCAGGCAGTAGTCGCTAAATCGTAACGGTGAAGACTTCTGTACCTTGACGCTTCATTGGCGATCTGGTAATCATTTGACCAATAGCCAACGCGAAGTCGCGCTCAACAAGGTAGTTTCCTTCACAGATTCAACGCTGGCCACCATGGCCTACCAATCTGGGTGGCAAGCCTTCCTTCTCCCAGCGGACGGCATTGAGCCTGAAGTCATAGGTGCTGATATAGGGATATATGTCGGCCGCAATGCTCAGGTGCAGCCTGACCTGGTCAGGATCCACAAACCTCATGATTTTAGATACCTGACAGAGAACTCTTAGCGCCAGGGACGATATATCATCCGTGCGCAAAACGCGCTGACAACAGTAGGCAGTACATCGTCCGCAATCGACGAATGGAGTCTCATCCTGTTCGATTAGGAAATGATTGCCGACATGAAAGCCGATTCGATGAGATGGCAAACGGAGCGATTACGCACTCGGGGAGAAGGTAAGTGGTTTCGCTGGGTGAATTAATGTTGAGCTATACTCATAGCCAAAAGCCAGGTATAACCAGTCAGCTGTTCACCAGGCACGTGCGACTTATGGCCCGACTCCGAGCGCACATTATCAGCGCACTTCCTTGCAACATGGTTCCTCATATGGATCAATGCAGCCTCAATCCGGATTCGGCAACGTGTCCTCAAGGGCAAACGTCGGCACAAGCCCTGCGGCGTATCCTCTCGCCCGACAGAACACCCGTTCTGACACAGATGAACGAGGCGGCAGGTCAATTGCAGGTTTTGCTCCCATCTCGAGGACCTCTTCGCACGCCGAAAGCTACACCAATACAGGACATGCGACTGCTCAACCAATCGCGATTGTTGGTAGGCACGCGCGCAGGGACAGTACTGATAGTATGTATGGATTTGCAAGGTCGCCCACAAGCGATGATCTCAGGGCTCGTAAGTGCGGACCGCGGCGCTGTCACTATTACTAACGGCTCTTAGCACCCTCGTATCCACGAGGCGACCAGCAAACATCGCCATATGACTGTGATCGTAGATACGGGAGGTGAATGAACGCGGTCGATGCTCAGGCTGTGCTGAAACTGCACCAGCTTAGATGGGTGAAGGCAGTGGTAAGTAGGCCGTCGATGGAGTATCCTCCAACACTTTGCTGACTCTCGGTGGTGACAACAGCTCAGATTCGAGTCTATTCACTTCAACATCCCTTCCGGTGGCCTGGATTGCTTCCTGCAGGCACTCCATACTTCGTTTGGTGAGGCTATTGTTAGGCCCTAAGACAACACGACGCTGCTCGATGACACCTCTCAAGATGTTCTCGGCGTCTTTTGCGCGATGTGTGTCGATTAGAAGAGTTGCTAGCCGATGCAAGACCTCCAGCCGATAAGGGTGGAAGCGGGCATATTTCTGGTCGATCATTTGGATCGTCTGCCACACCAGCGCAATGGATTCTTCCTTTGTGCGGACATACGACAAAACCCTGGCCATGGTTACCATGCTAGTGATGGTAAGGAAATTGGAGGGACCCATGATTTTAGACGCCAATGGCACGAGCTCTGCCAAGATCTGCAGTGCCCTTTCTCGATGCTCTTCTTCCCTCGCACACATCCAGGCGATATGGTACAGACCCACAAGTGCGGATGGCGACTGAGCGCCAAATCGATCTTTCAGATGCTGATGAGTATCTTCCAGGTGCTTGACTTCTACCGCAAAGCTCTTCAGTTGTCTCGCTGCCACTTTGATCAAAAATTCCGCGGTTGCTGCGACCGGATTGTTGGGCGTGTGTTGCAAGAAGGTGAGCACATTGCTCAGAAATTCAACTGCAAGCTCCTTGTGTCCATGTGCTTCAAGAATTGGAAGCATGCCGTTCAGCGCACTCAGACATTCCGGATCGTACTTCTCTATCATGAATTTGAGTAGTATATTTGCGTGACGAAAGCAGTCGGTAGCGCCTTCTGAAGCACCTTGACAGCGCAACACGCATCCACCAAAAAAACACCCAAGGAATCTTTGCGCGCGGTCTTCGCAAGGCTGCTGGCCGTTGACGTCTTTCATCGCATTCATGGAAAGTCGAAATTGACGATCGAGACCACGGGTCAGTTCTGCATGGTTAGAGACCAGTCTTGTTCCGGACAACATCTTATAGAAACTCATTTGGCTCGGTTGACTCGGCTCGGGGCCTGCCGAAGAGTCCTGGCTGAGGATTTGATTCATGACGCTATTGAAGCTTTCAGGAAACTCGAAGTTTTCAGGCATGTCGAAGCTCTCCAGAAGGTTCACTGACTCTGGTAGCACATCGGGAGATGAGGAGTTGCTTGACGAGAGTTCTTGTCGGTTGTCAGCATTTAATCTGTCAAGCGATTCTTGCAAGTTGAATTTTGGAAGCTCTTTTGGACGCTCAAGATCCATGCACGGTCTGTGTTCCCCCATTGGCTCATGCTGTGACGCTGGCGTCGATTGGCTAGTGGACTGGTTGCTGAAAGCCCCTGAAGGCGTAGCAGTCCAAGATGGTGTTGTCAGGGTCGAAGGACTTATATTGAGATGTAACCCATCTGGATGGATATTTAAAGAGGGGTTTTCGGGGTAAAGGTATTCTATATGGCGTGGGAGGGGCTGGTTGGCATCTATGGTAGCAAGAATGTCTTGGTCTGCTTTTCCTTTCCGCTTTAGGTAGGCGTTGACTTGTGATCGTCCCATGATACGACCGCGGAGCTTGACCTGAGGCCGGCCCAGATCCCTCTCAGCACGCTGAAAAGCCAACAGGAGATGGGCAAGGTCGTTTTCACGGAGGTTCTTGCCCAACCCCCAGGAAGTGATCTTGTCCTTGAATTGCTTCGTACTTTGTTGGTGTTAGTACACTGTGCTGCTACAGCGAGCACGGGATAGCACTTAGGTAGCTTACCTTGCTGTGATGTTGTATCGCTGCTGCATCCACATCCTAATCCTGTCCAGCTTCCATCCTTTCTCGCAGTAGAGAGTCTCAATCTCCTGGCGACAATGATTCCAATTAGTGATCTCAGGCGAGGGAGGGTGTTGTGAACTTGTCCCGTCACCTGGCGGTTGTAAACGGGCGACCCCAGGTCTGGTGGGCTCCATAGCCAGAATGCTCTGCTATGATTGATGTGTGGTACAGCAAGACAAGTAGTGGACAGATACACATGGGTAGTGGTTTGCTTGGACGGCGGTCAATATCTTCTATACGCACAACATCGAAGACTTTAGAGAACAGCATGTTGTCTACCGGTGTATCACTGAATGCCATATGCCCACCGGACGGTGGGTGAGGCAGAGAAGAAAACTCTGTTATGCGAACCTTGCGCCTTGCGAGTCTGCCTCGTCGCCTCGCGGCCTCGCTGGGTCAGTGTCAGTGTCATTAAGTCAGCGCTAACTGACTTTTAGACTAAGACCAACGAACATACTGGCCGTGATCTTTGCAAGGGTCAGTCCATCTGTTGGGAAGCAGGTCCACTGAAAAAGTACAAGCTAGAGCAGACAACTGTTGACCTTTAACCTCTCGAGGCAAAGCTACGGTTAGTAACTATCCAATCCACGAGCAATCTGCCCAGTAGGATTTCGATGCAGCAAAACGAGGCGCGTAGACGTCGACTGTCAGTGACGCACAAGCTTCGTCACCTTTGGCTATGGTCATTGGCACTGATCAACTCTACTAGCCACATCTCTTGTTGCTTCTCATCAGGGAGCAGTGCCCGCTTCCGACTCCGAGGCAGATGGTGTTGATGATGGTGGCTGTGCTGGTATCTTCCCATCAAAGACAGAGGTGCTACTCCCAACGACTCCAGCAGGGGAGGCTGTGTCACCGCTACTCCTCAGTATTCTGCTTGGGCGTGATAGGGCATTTGATATTCTTTCGAGCACACCGCTACTGAGTTAGTCCACTGTTGGAAAAAGGGCGCACCTGTAGTTACCAAAGTCTTCCGATCTTTACAACACAGCTCAGTGCAGGTCAAGTACAGCTGTCACTCTTAGAGTCCTGATGCCCCTCTCCCTTTTGACTTGATGATGCCCCTTCAACAACCGCACACATCGCCCTCCGTGACCTAAGGATCCGGTTCCTTGCTGTTTTCCGCTCAACTATACTATCCTATTTGGTGGTCCCCGAGATGCCCACTGATTGGGCGACCGAGCAGTGGCAGCCATACAAAAGTCCTGACACTAACTTGGTTTAAGTAAATAGTTGAGCCGGAACTTACCACGCTATCACGAAATGCATCATCCTTCCTCCTTTATTTTATTACTCCATACAGCTGGCGGTCAATTCCTGTGACACATCAACTCGCGCCAAATATATCATGATACCGTTCTTCGGTTGCATCTTCACCAGCAAAAGTTCCACACCACAAAAGTACTAACCCCCCGCCCTTAAGTGACATGCTTCACGGCATCTTCCATCGTACTTTCGCAGTGGCGAGAATGACTGGATCATGCTCTTGTCATGCCAACTGAAGCAATATGCCTGCTGCGACTGGCCATATATCCGTCACATCTACCATCAGTACGAGTGTGAGGACCTTGTCATGGAAGCTCTCTCACATATCTCCTGAGGTTTTCAATGTGTTATGTGTGCCTCTTCTTTGGTCTCCTTACTGAACCTCACCAGCAGTTGTTCGGAACGAGATTCTATTGTTGACCTACCCCCTCAAGCTTTCTTCTACTCTCACTTACGAGCTCTACTATCCTAGAGCTGTGATATCACAATATTGTCACCTGCACCGACTCAGCCGTGGCCCCAGTCCTCCTCCTCTTGCCTAAATAGGAAATTCACCTTTCCATCCAATCAATTACCGGCGAAAACTAAATCTCAACTCAAGATCACCAATCACACCTCACCATCACTACTCCCCATTCCACAAACATGTCCTCGGACACCCTTTCCCCGGGAGCTCCCTCCGAAAAATCCTTCGCGACAACCCACCTTAACAACAGCCACTCCTCCAGCAGCAAATCAGACTCGGGCTCGGGCGGCGATTTCTCCAGAAATCTGTTCTCAGCACTACCAAAAACAAATGACTATGACTATGCAATGCGTCGGTATCTCTCGCAGAAAAGGTGTCAGGAGCCATGGTCCGCTCTGGCTAGATGATGCCTCAGCTGCCCAAGTTGCGCATGGATTCTCTGAGGCGGTCGATGGCTAAACGTTACTATGCTACAGCGTGCTGGTGGGCTGCGTCATAAATATTCCCTCTTTTGGTACCATGCTGCCTTCTTGGGTAAGCTGCCACTATTGACCGAAGTGCGCTTGGCGTTAGGGGACCGCGCGGCGTCGGCAGAGGCAGAGGCGCTCTTTGTTCGTATTTCAGGATATTAGTATAGCTAGATCCATGGCTGTAAATGCCCAATACCTTGTTTGGCTACATCAGCGTCTCCGCGCAAGTGGTTGAGGGTATTTAATGCAAGGTGTGTGTTGGCCTGTCCTAGTCCAGGATTGAGTTAGTCGGTCGCCTGTGTTCTTGCCTACTTACCCCGCAGCGCCCCCGGAAAGGGCGAGCCCGAGCGGCCGGAGGGTTCGAGCTCACAGTCTCTCCATCTATGGTTCTCTTTACGAGAACAGGAAGACTGTTGATATTGTGTAGGCTGACACGCTCCAATGCCTAAGCATTGTGCATCACACCGCCGGTCCTCAACCAACGCTATCGCATCGAGATTCTCAGTGGCGCCGTCCGCTGTTTGTGCTGCATGAATGCCCAAGCATGATCTATGATCGGCGGTGTCCAATAATCTATCACTTTTTGTGGAGTAGTGGCTTCTGCATGCAGATATGCAAGTTTGCAAGCGAAGCGTGTCCCGCACCACCCCGATCAACCACACCATTACGGGCAGAGCCTCATGGAACGACCGAGTGGAAGCTAGCAGCCGCTTTCTGGCAGCGGGCGACACGGCATGTGGGAAGAAGTTGGTGTCCCGATATAGCGGTTCTTGTACTTGGATAGTAGCTCGTTGGTCTTGTAGCACCATGTTGTATTACTCCTAAGCTTCACTTATGTCCAGTAGAGTACCTGAGCCTCGTGCTGAATAAGAGACTTGTCCAAATCTCTGGTCTGCGCGCTGAACGTCGTTCTGGGAACTCCAGATCCTGGTGATCATCAAGTTCCTTGTCTTTACTTTCTAAGAATCAAAAGTCTCCATGCCTCGCCGCTACGCACCCAATGGCTACGATGACCATCGCAGTGGTGATAGAAGAGGCCGTCGATTACCTAGAGATGGCCCAGGCCCCGGAGACATACACGACCAACAAAGTACGCGCGGGAGCACGGAGCAACTGAGTAGTCGAGATCCGCAGGAAAGAAGATACCTCAGGGAGTCCAGGAATTATCCAGATCCAGGGAACGCTGAAGATCGTGCTGAAATCAGGGTTGCTAGGCGCCCGAGAGAACTGAGAGGTCCTCGCGAGCCGCGGTACGGTATGGAGCTCCCGTCCATCAGGGACGATACGCGCACAGAAAATTCTCGCCCTCATGAAAGGTTCAACCTGCAAGGTGCCAGAGATCCCATACAGATTGCGGCATCAGCAAACATACAGAACGCGAGCGAAGGCGGGAGAGACAGGGCGCAGGCAAGGTATCATCAAGACACAAGACAGCCCGGAAGTGAAATGGACGATGCTGGATTTCTCAGCCAGAACAGAGAAGACTGGGACGGAAGAAATCTTGAAAACGAACAAGAATATCAAAGAAGTGAGCGATCAAGCACTTGGAACGACATGGCAGAACAGGCTCCAATACATCGCGGCAACTCACGAGATCCCAGACTCTCCTCTGCGCATACACGCATGGCCACATACTTCCTGCCATCAGAAGGAATCAGCCCTGAGATCATTCAAGCCGACCTTGGTAAACATCTTGGCCGAGACGCCACATTTCGCCCTGGTACGAATCGAGAGGTAAGGAGTATCCATATTCCTGAAAGCCAATAATGTGGGTTAACGGAAGTATAGGGAATTCCTGGTTACCTCATCAGAGCTGGCCGTCCATTAACACAAGTAAGTACGGCTAATGGTGGTTGCGCACAAACTGAATCCTGGCAGAATATGATATCCGAACTGATGGTCAATTCGAAGCGATCGCCAGACGAAAGTCTACGGCGGAGAGGAGTGCCAGGTCAAACCAATCAAGTTTACCGGCCAGACCTTATCGCGGGACGAGAAGATCTCGAATCCACTTCCCGATTTCCTCCTTCCCCACATGCTCCACATTCTCCAGACGACGTTGGAAATTCTAGGAGACGGTCGTCAACAGCAGAGTACGGCGGTGGGAGGGACCTGTTCGACCGACCTGAGAGAGTCGAATATCGTTCCCGTAGGCCCAGCCGAGGATTGCAAGACCAGCCGCATATTCGCTCTTCGGAAGTCAGGGGAAGCTCCGTAAGCCAAAGTAGTTCATATGACAGTCCGTGGGGAGGGAGTGGGGCAACGCAGCGATCCAGTCGCTCGAGTTACTCGACCGCTCCATCATCTGTGCAAAGCATTTTAGACGATCAGGAACGCGAGGTCGGGCACGGCCTGACACAGTATGCACCAAGACGAGGTAGCATAGCACACTACACTGGTGCGAGTCAAGCTTCGATATCCGCTGATCAGTCTTACATCGACCCCAGAACCGGTGCAAGAGTCACAATGCCAGCAAGACGTGCAGCGAGAGAGAGGCCTGCACCGAGTCCGGCAATGCAGCCAGAGGATGATCCCCCAGGTTGGGATGATACACCAAATTTTCGAGGGTTCGCTGGAGGCTCCTAAGACATATCAAACAATGACCAGACATTGCAACGAAAATGCAGTTGGGCAGGCTCCCTTGACCTGCAACTGTTCCTTGAAAGCTGGTCACCATGGCTTGAATGCTTGGTCGTCAAATCAATCCAGAGATAATTGCATAGTCTGGACCACATTGATTGTGAAGCTCTCTGTCAACGCGATCTTACCCGGTTTAGTTCCTTCAAGAATATCTCGTGCCGTCGTATAGCTTCCAGATAGTAGGGATGATCTGACATGATATCCCACCGCTGGACTCTTTGTAGAGCTTCAAAGCTGGTCTTTTGCGCTTCCAGATAATGGCCCAGATGGCAAAGAACCCGCGCCTTAGAGGAAACAAGCGCTACTGTCTGCATATGCAACGGGTCAAACACTTTCTCTGAACGAATTTGTGTCTCATGCAATATCTTCAATGCTTCCGCGCGCAGGTTGGGTTCCATAGCCAGTCTCCAAGCTAGATGGTAGTCTGCGATAATGCAATATCGATGATTCGCGCCCCATATCGTTTTCATCTGCTTGGCAACTTGGCGCAATTTACAGATATTGATGCCACAGGTCTTAACCTTCCTCATAGCCATGGAGATCATGAATGCCATGGAGACGATAAGCGGATCTTCGGGTTCGAGATGAAATGATGCTGCAACCTGAGCCTGCGAAAGAAGCTCGACTGCAAGTGTTGCATTTTTATGGAGAAAGAGGTTGGCAAGGGCAGTATTGAGTATCGATAATATCTGATCATTTTTCTCTTGCACGAGTCTCTCGAAGATCATCCCAGCCCATAGCATATAGTATTTTGCTTCTGCTGTCTTCTCTTGACCACAAAGGACATTGATCTGAAGAGAAAGAGTTGTCCAAGTCTCGGGCCGCGGAGAGTTGAGATCCGAGTCTAGTTCGGCACTTCTCATGGTGTCGAGCTGCTCCTTAAACTCATCTAACGGGAAAACTGAGTCTTCTATCGGCCTGCCCATCAGCTCCTGGAATGCCTCGGTCGGTGTTGGAATGCTAAAGGTTGACGGCGAAGAGAGGCCCATTGTCTGGTCAATGATCTCGCCAGCAAGCATTTGATCATCGAGATGGACGTCATGCATGCACCCTTGTGGGACGCTACGTGGTACTTGAGATGCTCGTCTTGGATAAGGTGTGCATGCTTCGACATCGCTTCCAATCCCGAGCAAATCGTAGGTCCTCGCAACGCTCGAGTCGATTTCGAATGGCGCAAGGGATGGCAAGCAATTTGCCTCACTACTGCCAAACGACTCAGGCGTCAATATCGATGCCTTCTCCGAATTGGAAAGCTGGGAAGGCCCCTGCGAACGGTTTGGGGTATGGTTGACCGACATAGCCGAACTTAAGGAAGAAGAGCGGTTCCAGGAGCAGGGTAGGTCAAGGTGCCCAAATTTCCGGTTCCTGTATGGTAGGATCGGAAAACAATTTGTATCTTGATCAACAATCATCCCATTGTGATACCCATGATGAACGGCTGGTAAACCAGTTTCTCCGTCCGCGGCGTAGAATCCAGTGGTGTTCGTCGCATGATATGGCTCTCCACTTCGGGCATGACTCTGCTTGACCTGTCGATCATAGCGTTTCACCCAACTGTTTACTCGATATTTCGTAACACCCCAAGCTTTAAATTTCGTCTTGTACATTCGGTGCCTTGGGGAGGGTCAGGAGGAGACCACAATGCTGCGAGTGAAGAGGTCGATACTCACGTAGCAACAAACCCATGACTTTCACGCATGATATCGCAGACCTCACGCAGAGGCCTGTTCTCCGTCTCATATAGATGTAAGATATGCTCTCGATGTTGCTCCCAATTCAGCACTTGCACTGGGCGCCGGCCTCCTCTACTCCTGACACGCTCTTCACCCGCTTCTGTAGACGCCATGAGGTGTCTTAGAGGCCTGGCCACCCACGCCTGAACAGAATTTGAAGTCTTCCTTCTTGCTGGAGGTTGCAGGGTGAGGGTTGAATGAGATTAGAGATAAGTTTGGTGTGAACAGACTGAGGGAAGGCGCCCCGCAGGAGAATACCAACTATAACCACCTCGACTTTCCGGAGCCTGGCCCCCGTCAGGTAAGTGCGAATCTGGGGAACGAGGGCCGGGTGAGAAGGTTTGGTCAAGGAGAAAGCGCATGCTCTCAATCACAGAGCCGCCTGGGGATCTACACGGATCAGCAGACATGTTTTCCACAGGTTGAAACTGGTGTGTGCCTTGTAAGGCCGAAGCAGGCGTACTCCGTACGAGTACTTTCAATGCAGGCACTGGCAGTTGTGCTATGGAAGGGGCTGAGTACACCATTCAAAACTATTCGAGCTTTGTGTGGGTTTGGGGCCGGGAGAAATGAAATGGATTCGCGCCAAGAGGTGGAAGTGAAGCGCTTTGACCCCAACCATTTCCCACCGCACCTGGAACCTTCTATAATCTACTACTCAGCTCAACCATGAGGCGTACTACACATGTGTGCCAATGACGCCCCAGAGGTGCGCAGCGCGGTGTGCTCTTTGTTGTCCAAGTCCGCATAGATCCAGCCTCGCTTCTTATGTGTCATCCGCTTGTTTGTGGCCAGCATCGTGGTCAGCATCGTGGTAGCCGGTCAGTTACGACCTCAAACAGAGAATGGACCTCATCTGTGCCTTTCTCAACCCAATCACATTGCTTCTGCACTCCACAGGGCGAAGGGCACATTTGCAACATGAACATGCTGTGGCTAACTCTACTGTTATGTTGTATTATTGGCGTAACTCGGACGTGTCGTCGTTTGTCAGGGGTCATATCCTTGACACATGAGGAAAAGCCAATGATGCCGATGGATACAGTGAAGCTGATACAATCAGGTCATTCAGGGCGACAGCCGGGTCAACTCGAGGTGTTCTTCCATCATAGCCTGTAAACTTACCAAATCGCTGGAACAGTTTGTTTGACGTTTGTCGCACGTTTGGTAATCGGCCCGCGGCACACATCCCGTCCGGTGGAACGAACATCATTTCGATCTCAAACACTGGTGTATTAACCAGCGTCCAACCCTTCCAGCTTACAGGAGTCACGACACAGCTTGCTGATTATGGAGATTGCCTCAACAGGAAAGGTCCACAACAGACTCTCGACATTACCTGCCGCAGAAACACGGCACCGCATCAGGGATTCGAGCGGTCTACACTTCGTTTTACGCTATTGATCTCGGTAAGCACTCTAGTAGCCACATCGTGTGTTAGCTTCAAAGATTCACTTGAATTGACAGCAAACTTCGTACATTTCCTGCTACAGAATAGATCAAGTCTTGGGGACCCGTTGATCATGGGTTGATTGATTTTCTCTTTCACTTAATATTCTTTATCATTCTTCTCTCGGGAAAAAGATCAGCAATTTTCTCATAGAGACTTTGCTATTCGGGGAGTATACCACATATTCAAGCCAAATAGCTATCTCTGCTTTGTTACACCATTTCCGTCTGAATACGAAATGCCATGCCTCGGCCGCTGTAAGATCTCATGCCTCGACTGCTGCAACAATAACGAAGAATTCAACCGTCCTACGGTAGCATCATCAGACCACCAAAGGTTGCCAAGTTCGCAGCGATTGTCCGCTGAGCGACCTCATCCATCATCTCGTGTGCCAGACGTCGCGCCTAGGCCGGCCCCGACAGATACTTCGTCTCATACAGCTCCAGGCGCGGTAGGAGGATCTTCAACAGCAGGATCATCTTATGTAACAGGCGCCGCTGCTACCAGGTCTGCCACAAAGATTCCACATCGTGCAGCAAGAACAGTTGCCACTGAGCATTCAAGAGACAATACACCTCGTGTAGCGTCCACCGCTGTCGGTATATCTTCAATTTCAGGATTGCCTCATACAACAAAGGCCACTGTTGTTGCGTCTTCAACGGAGAGTCTGGCTACTGGTGGGTCACCATGCGGAGGCGCTGCTGGATCTCCAAGAAGAGGTCTTTCCACAAGGGAATCATCTTGTATAGGAAGACTAGCCCCCAAGCCTTCAACAGGTGGCCCATCGACAGGAGAGCTGACTCATGCAAGCCAAAACACGGCTGCGGCCGGACCTCCAGCAAAACCACTTTTAAGTGGAGCATCCTCGAGCTCAGGAGAACCATCTTCTGACCTAGGATCTTTGACAGAACTGCCTTCAGTAAGAAGATCATCTCCTCTTGGAGTGCTACCATCTATGGGCGGATCTTCTCCTGACGAAGAATTACATCGATCAGGTATATCGTCTTTTGCAGGAGGAAGATCATTCGTCGAAGGATCACAACAGGGACAAGGCTCTTTTCTTGAGGGAGGATCCCCTCGCTCGGAAGGATCATCCATTGAATCATCACCAAGTGGGGGATCCTCCTTAGCAAGTGGGTCACCTCGTTCGGGAGGATCACCTAGTTCGGGAGGATCACCTAGTTCGGGAGGATCACCTCGGTCGGGAGGATCACCTCGTTCGGAAGGATCACCTCGTTCGGGAGGATCACCTCGTTCGGGAGGCTCCCCTCGCTCACAGCGTTTATTGCGCTCCAGAGAATCACCTCGTTCAAGAGGGCCTGATGCTGGGTCTTCAGCATTCCCGCCTAATGCTCGAAGCACAGGTGCAGCATCCCTCAAGTCGTCGAAAAGTCTATCTCGTATATGCGAGCTAGCAGGCGACACGTTCACAGGTCCTCCTGACCGTGGATTTCGTCTGCTCGAACTTCTTATTGAGACAGAGTTCTACCTTACCGCGAAGGACAGATGCCATTTGAAGTCAGACATAGATGAAGCCATGGGATTGCTTGCAGCTAACTACAATGGAACTGTAGATAAGATTTATCCACGGATGCGACCGAATCTTCGGCCGTATAAGCAGCAAGGTGACTATAATAGGTGGTCTCTGGTCGACAATGACAGTATAGCATCTCGCCTGCCCGCACGCTGTAAGTAGCTCTCATTCCAGACACTTTCAATAGTCTATAGCAGGATCGTGACTGATAAAATTCTTATAGGGGGAATCGAGCTGGTATCACCAATCTTCCAAGTCTCTCGTGGCTCAATATGGCGAAAACAGGTCAAAGAAATGTGGCAATTTCTTGGCCGATATTATGACATTACTGGAGGCCAGTCGTGCGGGACTCATTTCCATATTTCAATCAAGCCAGATATCACGTTGCCACAGCTTAAGCGCATTGCGCAGGCCGTCATACAGTTTGAGCCAGCCATCGAGGCATTGGTGCCAGCATGTCGAAGGGGAAACAAATATGCCAAAAGCAATTGGCTCGATAATTTTTCCCTGGGACATTGCAACTTATCTCGAAGCCAATGTATTGATGAGATTTCGAAAGTACGCAATGCTGACGAGCTAGTGGAATTGATGGGCGAAACCTTTGACAGAAATTATTCTTGGAACTTTACCAGCTTGAGGTGCCGGAACAAGCCAACGCTAGAATTCCGCAAACCACCGGTGTGCACGACAGTGGAACAGAATCTTGGCTGGGCAGAGTTTACAATCTCCTTCATTCAAACAGCCATCAAATGTGCAACTTCCGAGAGACTGCAGCAAGTTCCTCCTACCGTTCAAGGTCTGCGCTGGTTCTTGCAGCAGGGCCACGAACCCACAGTGAATGAACCTAGCTTGTTGGACGTTATATTCGACGGCAAACCTGCGAACGCAGCCCTAGCACCGAAACCTCGGCCAGAAGACTACTTCATCGAGCCTGCAGATATCGTAAAATGGAACGGGAGACTTCAGGGGAAAGGCGCGGAAGATGTGAAGCAGATTCTGAAAGCGGCAGCGGATGCATACCCGCCATACTGGATATAGAGGACAGTCATTCATATTCCAAGGCACCTTGAAAGAATGCGGGATTCTGTCCTGCTGAAACCAAAAAGGCCACCACTTGAGCAGAATGGATCGCATCCACCAGCTGATAAGCTAGTCTGAAATAGCTGACCAAGGACATAAGTGAGGGGCACATTGAAATGTGCTGAGCGGATTGCCCACTTCCAGTACTCCACGCTCACCTCTGTGCCTGCGAGAGAGGCTTCGCAAAGATAGCTTCGGGGTATTCTGCTTTCTTGAGGTTTGCCTGACTAGGAATCTAGTAGAGGACAGCGTGTTCCCAGACAAGCGAAAAGAACAAGCGCAACAAGCAACAAAGGAAGTTTATTTAATATGCCACGACATATCCCTATGTCTTCTAGATACATGGCTCAGCGATGAATCCATTGGGTAGCAAAACTTGACTGGTCAGTTCGCATAGCAGATATATCTCTTCTTCCAGCACCTAGCCTCTCCTACGGCGGAGTTAGAGAGCGCAGATATAGCTGAAGTGAACTTTTTGATCCAGGATTGTCTCAATTTATCATGAATGAATCTCTGAAATAGTGCAACATCTTTTTGCGGGAAATGGCGATCTGTCTTGTTCAAATGGGCGCCTTTTCATTTTAGTCAACAAGTCGCTAAGCCTTCAGATGACTCAGGGTGGCACTATTGCGCGTTGCAGAATTGTTGCGAATTCCTTGGCGGGACCCTCGAATTGCTGGCGCTGGCGTTGCTGCTCTGTCGAACAGAAACAGCTCTTGAGGATTAAATATGGATTTCTATTATGTAAAAAGTATATCCAAATGATGCTGAGTTCCTCCTGATTCTGATGATATAGATCTTAAATGTAGAGAATCCTTTTTGGTAAAATGGAATCTACTATGTAAGAAGTCAACTTTATTGATTAGGATCTGTATTAGTATTGATCTATATCATCAGAATCAGGAGGAACTCAGCATCATTTGGATATACTTTTTACATAATAGAAATCCATATTTAATCCTCAAGAGCTGTTTCTGTTTGGCAGAACAACGCCAGCAATTCTCTACATAACGCCAAGAGATTCGCAACAATTTTGCAACGCGCAATACAACAAGTACCACAGATGGCCCATGACTGACTGAGAAACCTGTACATTTTACTCATTTTGTTATTGTTAACAGGAGTCGAAGTTTGCAGTGTGAGGACAAGCATGAGGTCATGTTTCACGTCAGTCCCGTGTAAGAGACTTGGAGTAAGTAGAATTAGGTCCAACCGAGTCACACATACATTGCAATACTGTAGGAGGATACTACGTACATAGTAAGTATTGTTAGCGTGGATTAGTACTAGCTAGTTGCCGATAAAAGGGCCTGGCCGTCCCCAAAAGGGCAAGTACGTACTTAGCAGGAGAGACCCTCTTAAAATAATGCTAGGGGAGCCATCAAAGTGATGATGAGAGGGCTCATAACCTGATGAGGTGGATGAACTGAATTATCTATCCTGCAGATTCTATCTAAGGAGGAGCAGGCCAATCTAGTAGGGCGTGCGGAGTCACATGCCAATGGTCTTGGCACTGTGCTCTGCCACTGCCCTGCCGTCACATACCAAATTTCTCGCTTGGAGCCAACAATACTTATGCCTCCTACCGTAGTACGTTTTCCATAGCCGAATCTAATAGCTGTACTCGTGAGAGGCGCCTTTCAAACAGGGCCCTGTAACCTACTCCTCAATGCGCTCGCTACAGATCCCAAGGAGCTGTGGGTGCTACTCTGTTATTTTTGTCGTCGATCTAGTCGCGGCCCAACGTGTTGAGTCTACCTTTCTCAGCCTCGATCAGTCACCCACTCGACTCAACAATTATAGTCAATCTTTGATCTCCATCCAAGGGCTGTGCAAAGGTGGCATCTAGCTCAAACCATGTTCTGTTTCTTGAAACGACCAGGCCGCATCATTGCGGCCACCCAATGGTTTCCAACCCTTAAAAGCTCTGAACATACCGTCAAGCACGTGAGGTTGTTCGTCACCAGATGTTGAGAACGCCTGGTGCCTTTTCTCTTTCGAATAGCTGTAATGCGGACCTCATTCCTCCCAAATGCTGAACTCATTTTGTTTTGTCGTTTCCTCTTACGTAGTAGTCACGACTGTGGCCTTCGTGGTGGCTTTCTTCCCCACAAAACATCATGACCTCAAAAGGCTTCGCCCCTCCGACTAAACCACTTGAGTGTACCGATGGCGACCATTCTGGCCTGGCACGCAAGCGGATGCCTTGCAGATACCCACTTGAGCAGGTCAGCTCGATCGGTTCGACGCCCTAGCGGTCCTTTTGCGCTACCTCAGCCAATCGTGGTGCTGCTGGCTGTTGATCAGATCAGCAGCCGATTTCTTTGTAGGCTTGGCTTGTTTCAACGTCTTCATACCACCCTCTTCGTACCACCCAGGGGGTTGACACCTACTAATTAGTACCAGCTTCACTTGCTGCTCACCATCACTTATATATTACATTCTACCCTGATAATGCGCGTTGTAAATCCAGTGTCACCATATCGTTTCTGTCAGAAAACCCTCCCTCATAATATGCGCACTTCAGGCTTTTGGTTTGATCATGGCTCAGACTGGCAAGGCAATGTCGGCCCCAGCCTCTATGGAGGTCGGGATTATGGCGACTGACCGCACAATGGCCACGGGAGTGGATCGCCCTCCGAACTCTGAGGAATGGGAGCGCTTGCGACCTATCTTCACACATTACTACAAAGACTTCAAAAATGGCCAGGGGCTGCCATTAAGAAAAGTAAGGCGCATCATGGCTGACGAGTACGGCTTCTTTGCCACGTGAGTCCCTTGCTCACAACATATGACATCGCCGCTGATAAGAGTCTAGCGAGCGGATGTATAAGATTCGCGTGAAAGCATGGAAGCTACGAAAGAACTACTCGGAAAAGGACCGGCAGCCCATTATCCATATCATTGAAAATGGCAGTCCACACCAGGCCACCCCTGAATTAACCCAAATCAACGGTGATCCGGTCAAGATGACCAGAGTGCCGAGGTATCTTGACGGGCCGAAGCTGCACAGACGTCAGCGAAAGCGTTCTTCCAGCTTAGTCTCCCTGAAAGGCAACACGATCTTGGAGCACTTCGATTCTAACTCTAGCAACAATGCTGGAGACTCCTTGGGCGATAGAGATGACCAGGAAGAAGAAAAGGAGAACAACCCTCCGGATTATGCTCTTGCGCGAATCCTGGCCGCTCCTGACCATCTTAAGTACCTGCACGATATATTAGTCCACATCGATCGGTACTATCTCTCCTGTTTCCACGGCCAACACCGGCTATTCTCGCACCAAGCCCTCGATCCAGTAGGCGAGAGTGGTGTCGACACAGATGATGGATTCTCCGACCAGGGTCTGCTCCAGATCCATGATCCAGGGTACGCAGCAATCTCGTTGGCGAAATCTCATCAATATCGCGAGGCGAGAATCTTTCTGGGTGAAGCACAAGACAAACTCAAGTATCTCCTGAGAGCACAACATCCCACACTCCTGCCATTCATCCTTGAGATCATCTGCGAAGACTCGACCACGCCTGAATTCAATGTCTCGGAATGGTTCCGTCGATATGTCTGCGACCTGTGTGCCATCATCATGGGCCAGCAGCATTCTCTCACCATGATACTTCAGCTCCTGGGCATGGTTGAGTACAAGCTCGAAACCTGCGCCATGATCCTGAGCAAAATCCAAGCCATTCTCAGCGCAGAGTTCGGCGCCTCACAGTGGGAAGCTCGTCGCCCTGTCAAGGTCTTCTGTCGCGTCTTGCGTCATCTAGGTCGGTACGACGAGGTCGAGCAGATCTTACCCACCGCCATGGGGTTTGGTGGCGGTCTCGAAAAACCCACACAGTCCGAGTTACTTGGCCTGCTCTACGAGCTAGCGTGGTTGAGTGCACGGGGCCGTCACGACAACAATGCAGCCACCCAGCTCTTTGGGGAGATACTTCGGCTTACCGGGGGAGACGCCCGAACGGGCCAGATTTCTCATTTTCGCATCAAGGCTCTCAGGGGATTGGGCATTCTGGCTCGCGAAGAGGCGCGTCATGAGGTCAGTGAGCAATACTTCTCGGCTGCGTGGGAGGAGTCGAGAAGGGGTTTTGGTAGGAGGGATAGCAATACTGTTCGCATCGGGAGTGAACTGGAAGAGTCGTTGAGGGAGTTGGGGAGATTCAAGGAGGCGGACCAGCTGAAGCAAGAGCGAGATGAGCTGTTTGTAACGGAGGACGAGGAAGCTGTTGTGATTTGACGGTACTGTAGTTGCAATTGGCAGTGCGAAGCACGGTATCATGTCTGAACCAGAGAGCTATTTACTGTTACCTTGATGGCACTCTATCCCGCAGCGCACGTGCATGAGGGTTTGCAGGAGAATGAGGTGCTATCTTTCATGTTTGAAGCAATACTCTAAACGAGTCATCACCATGTCCACCGTCTCCGCTCTAGTACTATTTTCTGACACAACCGTGCACACCTTTCTCTGAGAAAGCCCAACCCACGACCCTTCATCTCCCTCCTAACCTTTCCGTCTTCCTACACAGTCTTGCTCGTCTTCTTCTCCGCCTCCTCCTCAAGCGGATGGGTTGGGTTACTTGACAAGCCCGCCGTCTGATCTTCCTTTTCCTCTCCCTCGCCCTTCTTCTCATCCATCTTGCCGGACCCGGCGGGCGTGTCTTGGGATTGAGCCCCGGTTTGGCGTTCTGGCTCCGGGGATTGACGACCGGCGTTGGGTGCGGACATTTTGGCTTGAGTTGGGCTCGGAAGACGGGGGAGTGGGGCCCTGCGTGGAGGTTTGGAGAGGGTGGATGGTGGGGTGGGCTGGTTGAGTTACTTTCGTGTTAGCTTTGAGGAAGGATGGTTAGGTGGATATTGGGGGAAAAGAGGGTTAGCTCTGGTTGAGAGGTGTACCTGATAGTTTGAAAGTCTTTGAGGGGAAGGAGGTGGTGGTATCTGGCTCGGATTCGGTAGGGGAGTTTGATGGATGTGGTTTGATTTCGAAAGTTAACAGATCCGAGTTGACAAGTTGAAGCCGCCCACCTTCTCTCATGCAAATTGCCCCACCATGGAATGACGTACTGTCGCAAACAAGCTACGATGCACCCCGCACCCGAATATTTCATTTCGCCTGACTCCACGGAGTAAAATAGTGCAGATAACACATTTCGAGCATGATCATGATCATGATAATGATAAGGAGCTATTGAATCCTATGAGTGCTCTCGAAATGACTCTATTCTTGTGCATCTGAGATTTCACAGGCCGGCTACGCTGTGCTGGTGCTCTGTCGCCTGTTTGGTCCCCACCTGTTCGGATTATTGATTTTGGTGCTAACCTGCTGGCACAGACCCAGGCACAAGACTGCATAGATATGGCATTGGGTAGATTCCGCCGTGTAACACAACCGAGGAGATGGTTGGGGGTAATGTTAATCTTTTTGCTGACGTTCTCCAATCCACAAATACTATACTCGATTCTATCCGCACCTCATTATCGTTGACCTCCGGATCTCAGCTTCCTCAAATACCAAATCACGCGATGTAAATAACAAAACCCGAAAATCTCCGCCTCTTCAGAACAGAAGTGCAATGGCCGTGCATGTCCACTCTGGTCACAGTTTCGTCAGGCCTGGGCTCGCGAAACCCATCGTTGCCCCTCGCACCAATTTGCACTCTGCACAACTCCTCCACTTCTCGACCTTAGTGACAACGAACCTGTACTCCGGGCAGAGCTTCAGTAGTTTGGACGGGCAATGGTCGGCTTGATGGAGTTCAAAGTGTCCACACTTGAGCTGTGTAAGGCGCTCGAGGCACATCTTGACTCGGCTTTGCGCGATGTAGGCTTGAGGCCGTGGAGGGTTGTCTCGTCTGAGTAAAGTGTTTGCCGTAATTGAATTCTGGGATTGCTACTTCAAAGATGATCTTTCTGTTGTTTTTTTGGACCGAGCACTCCTGCTCTCAACGCCTAGTCCTAGCCAGGCGCGTCGCAGACCTCGTCGAAGCGGTCAGTCGGAATAGAAGAGGGCTTGTTCATCGTCTGGCGATGGTGCTGCTCAAGAGTAAGGGACGCGACTGTGTAACAACGAGTCTCGGATGCAGGCAGGGTAAGCTTGATATTGCCCATGACAGGACTGATCTAGCGGTGTAGAGAAGGGGAACAGGAAAGGCAGCCAGAAGTCACAGGCGCGAAAAATTTGCCTGCGCCAGAGATCTACTCCACGCCCAGGGTGTCACTGGCACACTACGGCAATCAATCCATAAACTGGAGGGGTTGGATGGACTGTCCGCCACAAGCCCAAAAGCTTATTTAGCTTCGCATGCGCCCCCCAAACTCGGGCTCTGTTCGCCGCCAATGGGGGATTCAGGTGGCCAAAATCAGGCACGATCGAGGCACTGACCAGCCGACGGTTGGAGCATGACTGCCCGGTCACCTTATCCCCTCGGCTCCGGGGTGCGAACTGTTCCATACAGAAGCATGTCACTCCATCCATCGATTCGAGAAATAGGCTGTGCTCCGCCCCCATCCGATTGACAGGTACTCTGCTCCGAACCAAGACCGCGCATACCCAACCAGATTACCTCTGACTTATTGTGGACCCGGAACTCGTACAGGAAACCCTATGGCTGGTAGTTGGCGACGTTTCGCTCTGGATCGCATGATCAACTGATACATGCGCCGGAAAAGGCTCCCAGTGCTTTCTAACTAGAACCAAGATCGTGAAGTCCTACGCGTAGTCGAATGGAAACTACCAATCTACAAAGAAATATCCCCCAAGCTTCTCGACTGACAAACCTACCAACAACTCCAACCACGAGAATCTGATCCACATACACATTATATCGGTTCAATCCCCAACATCCAAACGTGCCAGCCTGGCTACCCTTTTCGTTGGCTGCATAAAGCACGGACGCAAGTATCCTGAACGGGACCAGAGGCATACATACCTCCACAAACCGCTACGATATCATCTAGGCTAGAATGGTTCCTTCCGAGAAAAAAAAAGGTGTCGAGTTCGTGTCCAAACTAGGTAGCTCCACCACGGCAGAGAAGTAGAAGGGCGTATCGAAAGTAAGTCAGTAAATATGATAGGGTAGATCAAGGAGCTCCCGTTCGAATATCCCGGTGAGAAATGGGTACCGCGGTTTTCTTGTTGGGCCAGGGGGGGAGTACCGCTCAAGCTGAACTCAAGGCTTCATAGTATAATGGGACAGCCTGGGTGTGGACTTGGACTGGTTGGGCGAAAGGGGGGTTTCCGTTGAGCAGCTAGGAGCCCAGCTGGCATCGCAACAGACAGGTATATAGGGAGCAGCAGGAAACGATTCAGCAGAACGTCATTAGCGCTCTATACTTTGCTCAACGTAATGCGTGTCAAGACAGCAAAGTAAAATTGTATGGTAGAAGAGGTCGATATGGGGAAGCGAGCACTGCACGTTCTCCCACTGCTAAACATTTACGCTGAATTAAACGTATCCATCCACACAAAAGGCCGCAAGCGACGAAGAAGCAAAGCAAAGCACGATGAGATTTACCTTCTGAGTGAAATATCCCAGCTGAGACACCGCAACGCGGCTATGGAACATCCCAGAGGAGAGCGAGTCCACGTTCCTCCTGGCCGGATCACTGATCACTTTTCATTTCCCAGCATAAGCGCGATCGACCTCCGTCCTGAACTTCTCGAGGATTTTCTTTCGCTGGAGCTTCTGCGCTGCGGTGACGAGACCCTGTTATCATTCACAAGCTCGTTAGCATTGTGTTCTCCCTTTTTAGTCGTTGCATGGCGAGTAAAACCAAAACAAAAGAGAGACCGAAATTGGAGATTTTTATTGGAAAGGGTGCGCAGGCATATAGAGCAATCGAATGTTGTTTTGGAAACAAATCCACATGAAATCAGTTGGTATATAGCTACCCTGGTTATCCATTAGCAGAATTCTGTTGGCGCCAGTAATCTTGGGCTGCCATTCAATTTCTTGTCATGGACGAGCGTCTCTAAACTACCACCCTTGATCCCATTCGATGCCGCCAATTTCTGCAGCGCGGGCTCCACCGGCACGATAATCGCGACGGGTTTATTCTTATCCTGCGCGGCGTAGACGCAGATATTGCCTACGACGGTGGCGGCGCGGTAGACGGACTCTAGTTTCTCGAGGGCAATGTACTCGCCATTGAGGGTCTTGACAAGGTTCTTCTTGCGGTCAATGATCTTGAGGTGGCCAGTGGCGTTAAATTGGCCGATATCGCCGGTCATAAACCAGCCATCCGCCGTGATGGAGTCTTTGGTTTCTTTTTCATTAGCGATGTAACCTTCGGTGACGGGGGCGCCGCGGATCCAGATCTCGCCTTGGGGCGGGTTGTTGGTGGAGAAGTAGCCTGCCTCGGGGAAGTCGACCAGCTTGATTTCGATAGAGCCGGGAATGTCGCCCAGCGCGTCTGGGTCCCAGGCCATGGGGTCTTGGAGCGCGCCCATAGCGCAGGTTTCGGTGAGGCCGTAGCCGGAGATCATGGGCGTGATTGCCAGCGAGATGAATTTCTGGGTGTCGTTGGCAATGGGACCGCCTCCGTTCATGCAGATACGGAGACGGCCGCCTGTGGCGTCCTTGAGTTTCTTAAAAACGATGTTGTCTAGTATACCGGCGCCCGGGAAACCTGTGTTCATCATGAATTGTTTTGCGGCCATAGCTCCCCAGAACATGTTGCGTACGACGATTGAGCCAGAATTGACCTTGGAGACTATGCCTTTCTTGACACTTTCCCATACTGCGGGAACACCAACCAGGATTGTTGGCTTGAACTCTCGGATATCTCCTTTACAATTTCGTACTGACGTATCTGAAAGAGTCTTCGGGCTACCGTAGCCCATAATACCACCCCAAAACAAACAGATGTTCTCAAAGACGAATTCCAAAATGTGAGCTTGAGGCAGGTAGGTCAGCAGCGATTCGCCAGGTGAGATGTATGGTCCCATGATTGTCTGTACGCCGGCCATGGCGGCAACTACACCCTTGTGCCTGATCAGTACACCTTTCGGAGGGCCGGTCGAGCCAGAAGTATACATAACGCAGGCGAGGTCTTCGGGTGAAGGAGGTACAGGGTCCACCATGTGGTTTTCGCCGGCTTGACGAAGCTCTTCGAAGCTCAACACTTTGAGGTCGGAATAGTCTGATCGGATCCTTTCGAGATCTTCCTTCTTGGGTTCTTCATTCACATTGTAAATCACGTATTTGATGGATTGGGCATCTTTCAGACAATTGCCCACGGTTTTCAATAGAGCAGCGTCCAGAAATATGGCCTTCGATTGGGTCTGAACCATAGAATGCCGTAGACCTTCCTCCCCTAATGTATCGTATGCAGTCACTATGGGCATCGACTGAGAGGCTGCAGCGTGAGCCATGCATAGCCAGTTCCCACTTCCGCGGCGTCAGTATAAGACAGGACCAAGAGCAGATTCGCACTGGGTCTCATACCTAGTCCCTCCAAAGAGATGCAATTTGTCGTCCTTCTCCATACCCAGATGTCTTAGACCAGAGCCGCATTGTAGTACCTGCTTTTCGTATTCAACATAGCTCATATAGTGATATCCGCTCAGCTCAAAATATGTCCATGCTTTATCAACTTCCTTCTCTTGTCCATCTACTACTTTCTTCACCTTCTTGTTCTCCGTATGAGTCTTGATGAGCTTCCTTGAGCCCAGGGCTTTCGCATTGCCAAATTTGTCGGCTGCTCTCCTGACATTGTCCCATATTGTCCCTACATCTTCAGATGGTCGAGTCACCAGTCCATCCTTGACAGACGGATGGCATCTGGGTATTGTCTCGCCCTTGACAGGTGTATAGCCAGGTCGCTCGACCGTGAAGGGGGGTTTTTTAGTCATTCTGGGTTGAAGTACATACTCTGCAGGGAGTCCCATGATTGCGGTGGGGGGTTTGGTTTTATGAGCCTAGGGAATACTTTGCAGAGAGATGTACGAGGAGCGAGATAACAGAGAAAGGTATTGCGGTATACGGAGTACGGCTTCAATGGTCAAGAGGGCTCTCCAAGTAGATAGCTGAAGACAAACTGTGACTCTGGGGTGATTATAGACACCGACGTAATAGGCAAGCTTGGGTCGCCTGAGATGCAGCCAAGAAACTCCAAGAAATTGCCTGACGCCTCGGCCCAAACTTGGTCAGATTGCTCGATCAGCTGATTTGTCCGGTCCTATCTCATAATACGCCCACCCCCTTCCTATCCAATCCGTGCCACAGACGGTTCCATGGGAAATTGACATAGCTACGTACGGCGTCGCTTATCGTATTCAGGCCAGAGTTGGTTGCTGCCTTGGCCTCGTGTTGGGTCATATGGGCCAGGGACCCACTCCAATGCCCTCATCCTCATGTGCCTCGGTTCAAGATGGGAGCAGAGGCCGAGAATACACAAGATGGCCCGAAGGCTTGAAAACTACACTAGGCGACGAGGTTGAAGACGCAGTAGAAGGTGCTTTGACTCCTGTATCTGCATATCTGTCCTTACTAATCGACTAGAAACATTCCTGCTCTTCACTAAGGAGATTCCTTCCCAAAGCCTAGGCTTCGTGGACTCTAAGGCGATTACTCTCGATATCGATGTTGGAAAGCGAACATTCATGGTTCAGCAGTCTCCTGGAATCCTTCACTCAAATCGTGCTGCTGGTACCACTGGTGCCGTGTTATGGAAGATCACACCACTGGTTGCAAATTGGCTTTCTTCCACCGAATGTTTTCTCTGGCAACTAGGCTGGCTTCGATCTGACTCAACAATTGTAGAACTGGGGTGTGGTATTTCAGGGCTCATTCCTTGCGCTATGGCACCCTTGCTACCTTCTGGAGTCTACGTACTGACAGACCAAGCCTATGTGATGAAGCTACTTCATCATAACGTATTTGCAAATCAGAAGCAGCAATCTCTAGGGAGGTCCACTCGTGAGGAATTACAGATTCAACCATTCACATTCGATTGGGAAACGGATGCGGCGTCCAACATCAGTACACTTCTAGGCAAAGACAAGGAGGTTGATCTGATTTTGGCATGCGACTGTATCTACAATGAATATCTCATCCGTCCTTTTGTTAGCACATGTGCATCGCTTTGTGCTCTGCGGTCATCTAGCTCACAACGGACGGTGCTATTGATTGCTCAGCAGCTACGCTCAGAAGATGTGCTGCAGATGTGGCTGGATGAAATGTTGAAGTCTTTCTTGATATTCAGGGTGCCAGACAGACTTCTGCCAGAAGAGCTGAGAAACGGCTATGCAATACACATAGCGATTGTCAGGTAGGTTCGACGCTTTGTGCAGGACGGCACAGACAGTGCAAGGAAGAATGAATATAGTCAACATAGCACCTAGGCATGCAAAGTCCAAGTGGAAGCTGTTTGAAGTCTGATATTGCCAAGACATGTGAAACTCCGTGAGCATCTTGACTTGAGTGAAAGCGATATTTTTGCTGATGAGCCTGAATTGAAACACCGCAAAAGATTGTCTGCGGTAACTATCGGCCCTTTTCTGCACTCCACAAAGCAATTTGTGCTGCCATGCAACAATCACTACTGAGCGGAGGCTCACTGTTTTGATTCTACAATATTCTCGGCGCTGCAACACTTCGAGTGAGAGAATAAGATGTTCGGTAACAGTTACATGAAAGGCTGGCAAGCCGTTCCGATCGTTATACCTTTGTTTCTCTTCGCCTGCATCGGAACGATATGGTACTTCTCATTTCATCACTTCAAAGATCGCCCGCGTTATCAAGACTTCAGTTCTCCAATGAACTCCTCATCTCGGCAGTCGTCGCAGCATTCAAGAAGCTCCGAAGTGATCATATCTGGGCCTCAAGATTCCGATCACCTTATTCACCTGGTTGACATTCCTCCGCTTCCTGCGGCGTATCGCAACAGACGTCATCAGGACGGTCCAGTAAGTTGCATGAATTACTATCCCAGCGCTCACCTAATGCTCACTCTGAACCAGGCGCCAAATGCTGCTTTGCGAGCACAGCGTAGCAAAGACACTCTGAACTCGACTCAGGGAAGTTGCGGGTCCAATCGCGAAGGTCACCAAGGCACCAGTGACGGGCCGGTCAGCTCAAACGGAGGGGAGACACCAGTGCCGCAGCGCCCACAGTCCTATGTCATCGACTTTGTAATCATACTGCTCTGTTCGTCCAAATTACTTCTAACGTTACTAGGGAACTCCACCTCCAATACCTGCTGCACACTTACACACTCCAGTCTCATCTATTAATTCATTTGAGAGGCCAACACCGCTTTCTCCGATGAACGCTCTACTATCTGGCAAGAAGCAAAGACCGGCCTTGCATCTGGATCTGGACTCACAGCGTGCTCATAGCAGCCCTCTATCTCGCATGGTAGCGGCCCGTGGCTCTGTCAATGACTTCAGTACCACTTTGATGAATGAGCAGTCCCGGGCGTTAACTCCAACTCCTTCCTCTAGTACTGCCGAGTGGCCAGTAATGGGTGCGTCCCTCCAGCCGAGCAAACAACCAGAGGCCTCAAATGAGCCCAAGAAGATTTTCGTCGTAAAGGTCTGTCCCCTTACTCCCGAAGCTTCACGTCTGCTAAGCAACCCTAATAGAACCCAAATTTCATCTTCCCCAGCATCAAGCGTGAGCCTAATCCCTTAGCGGCACCAGATGTCACAACAAATGGCCATGCTGAAGAAGTCGATGATCAAGCATCTACCACTACGAACAAATCCTATCTTCACTCCATTCGCTCATTCATGCGTGCTCATCCCACACCAACCAGTATTCACAGCCCAGCAGAGTCAGACTTATCTCAGCGACAGCAGCGATTGCGCCGATCCATCTCAGGACCAAGCCTTTACACGGGCGAACACCGCTTCTCAGAATGGTCTGTCACAGAAAGTGATGTCTATCGCAACGCCTCAGCTATCCGTCACCCACTAATCGATCACCCGGATCTAGAGAAAGGTTTCCAGCGACCCAAAGAATGGGGAGAGAAGACACCAGATCTGATTGAGGCAGAGCTCATCAGTAGGCAAATGAGGGCAACCGATAGACTGAGAGCAGAGGGAAGGGGGAAATTCCAAGAGTTGAAGGGAAAAGAAGATGGAGACAAAGTTGGTTGTGTTGATGGTTCTCAAAATGAACATGTTAAGTGGCTGGACGGACATACCAACATGTTCTAAGTAGAACAAGGTGAACAATGTGCACAAGTGGAGACTTTGTCTAAGGTAAGGGGGGAATCAACGGAGAGACTGCAAATTGCAAGAGCTTCATTGTGCTTACGAGTTGTGGAAGAGAATGAGCACAAAATATCTCTGGCAAAGCACCAACGGAGTGCAAGCGAATAGCTATGGTGCTCACAAGGTAGCGTTCTTCAGGACTAGTCAAGTCAGTCAAAAGAATAGAACCCAGAAAATCAATTCGGTTCAGTTCAACGCAATGTTGCTGACACTGAAAATACGAGATTAAGAGGCGCATCTCCATATTAAAATCGTACATGGACTACTCTTGAGCTTTTGATACTGTCAGTTTATACCATCTCTCTCCCAATCTCCGTATTCATCACAGAATGGATGTATATTCCTTCCCACCTCCAGCGTGTTCCCCGAATGGGCCTAAAGTACTCAAATCAAGGCATTGGGTCCTCCTTCCCAGTACTTGCGGCCTACGCCTCTGATGGGAATCGCTGCCAGCTGCACCGACCACCGTTTGGCGTGTTTCAGAGTTTCACCCAGACTTGACAACCAGATCTATCTCAGCCTGGCACTATTTGTGTCTTGACAGCATTTATTGTTGGCCAACTCGCGAGCATTCATTGTGATAGACATACGGCTCATGCGGCTCCAAATGGTCTTGAAGCTGACCAGTCTACATAGCTGATGGCGAACGCAGTTAGCCAGCAGCTGATCACCTCTGCCAGAAATGAGAGCGATAGATTGGAATCGAGCTCAAACATCGCCTCGCCGCTCACTACTGCTGCACGATAAACCGTCATTGAGAGCAGTCATGGATTGCACAAGACAGGGGGTGGAGCAGATACTTGACCATTTTCATGACATGAATGTTGACATGTTACCCGTTGATAAAGATTTACTTCTTGTTATAGCCTTCTGACGTTCAACTTAAGGCGCACAGCAGTCCTCTCTCTAGGTGACGGTTTCCTTGCTTTTCTCTCCATCACATGGAGCCACAGAGGTAATGCTGTGCTTCAGCATTGGGCCAATCACGTGGGAAATTGAAACATCCTTTAGGCGATACAAGGCGCCAGGTAATAAAGACAGAAGGTATTAGCCCAAACGGTAAGCATGGAGGTGAGTCCGTCCAACCAGCAACTGCTTCAAGTAGTGACCAAGCCTCATAGTCATTGCTAAGCTTCAGGGTAAGTATAAGAGCCAGGGCTCAAGGGACGACAGATGAGCCCAAGGTACGGATCGGCCCTTCAAATCGGATCTCTTCGTTACCGCACGCAACTACGTTCACAGTTGGTCTTACAGTCATGGCAAAGCTCTGCAGATGGAGGCGTATCGAGGAGGATATGATGGTGAGAAAGCAGCTGGAACATCTACTGTCCAATTTGTGCACGGAGTGGAGACTCTGGCCACGAGAAGATGGCTGCAAAGCGATGTAAACAGGACCAAATGATATTGTCTTTCGTTCAGCTCAACAAAGTCCTTTGAAGGCGCCGGCGCCAACGCCACCGGAGGGAGCGCTGAAAGAAGAGAAAAGCCTCCCAATCGCCGGAACAGTGAACCCGCCGGAACAGTGAACCCGCCGGAACAGTGAACCCGCTGGAACAAAGATCAAGATCTCGCAATCAGGCTTGGACTTACGGTGAACCGCTTGCATGAAGAAAGTCTCGAAGAGAACGCACACTTCAGCACGATGGCATATTCTCTGACTTCCCTGTAAAAGAAAAAGCTGGTCCAGGTATTTTGGTTAGTCAATCGCGGGATATGAGAACCGACTGACTGTGATTCTTCTGATGAGTCTCAGCAAGTAAGCAAGGTTAGTGCTACAGTGAATGCTGTGAATGCCTGACTGAATGAACAACAATATCATTGGTAAGAAGAAGATAAGATGGTAAGTCGGTATTGGGAAGATACCTAATTACTACCAAGTAAGTGGTAGTGGCTTCCACATGCGCACCCAGTCACATCATTTCTGTCCATCTGGCTGAGTTGATGATGAGGTGCGCGGTGCGCGGTGCGCGGAGCACCTCCTGCTGTAAGAAAAGCAGGATCCCTTCACTCTTGTAATTATACACGATAAGCACATTTATGTGGTTCACCGGAGACCTGGGTGGCTACCACATAATATAAGGAATGAGTATGCTATGAATTCTGGTGCAGCATTTCTGGGCCTCCAAAAGTGTGTGCTAGAAGCTTCATTTTGAGCTCGTGGAGCCACAGGTTTGGGTGGTGCTCCAGGGCCTCCGCCAGCTAAACGTGTAGTTTAAACAGAGACAAAAAAACCATGCTGGGAAGCCAAAGCCCTTTCCATACTGAGTAATATTCTCTTAGCGTACACCACCTCCTTTGAAAAAGTATTATTCTATACGGAGTACTACGTACTCTGTATTCCTGCTGCTGTTGCCAGCCCGCTATCAATCAGTATGTCCCCTAACTAACTAGTTTCCGGGCGTCAATTATTTCACTAACACCTAAATTATATTTTAAAATATTATGTAAGCATATAAAGACTTGGCGACCCGAACAAAACCCAGATGAGGCTTTTAAGCCCAACCCAAATCCGGCCCATTTTGGAGCCTAATTGACTGACGCCCACTTTACTATCGCCTACGCGCCCCACCCTCACAATCAGGCGGGCGCACGCGTGCTATAAGTATGCTTTCTCGACAGTTAGGATGATATTATTAAAAAAATGGTAATTACTGTGAAATGATGAGGAATTCCTCTAAATTCCCTATTACAAACAGGCACCTTGATACATGTGTCAAGAAAACTCAACACACGACCGCTACTAATCATAGTAGGAAAGGTGTGGGCTATAAGGGACTAAACACCGAGCTAAGGCAGCAGCGCTAACCGCGAGGGTTCCATGAAAGGCGGAGCGCCTATCAAGAAGCTAAGAAGAATTCGGTTTACTCTGTATATCAAATTGGACCCACGTAAAAGAAAATACTCAGTAATTCTTAATTAAACACTCGTCCTAATTTTCAGCTGCGATTCTAAGCTTGTATTACAATTAGGTCAGTCTATCTGCACTGCCCCACACTTTTTTTCATTCAAAGTACACCGTATCATCTCTGAGATCCATTTAATCCATCTTCTTGCGAAAGATTTTGTTTCAAAAATCTACTACTTATTATGGATTCTTTTGAGTACACGCCTTTAGAAAACGCTTCCAGTGATATACGCCTAGTATCTCTGCAATATGATATAGAGAGTGCTATTCATTGTCGACTGGACGTCGTTAATGCCGATCCTTTGGCGGACCTTTACCCTAAATACGTAGCGATCTCATACGTATGGGGCGATGGTTCAGACCTCGTACCACTGTCCCTGAATGGAAGACGGAGAATGGTCTCAAGGAACTTGCATATTGCCCTACAATATTTCAAACGAATGCGGTTTCGAAATTGGCTATGGATTGATGCACTTTGTATCAACCAGGAGGACCAAGCGGAAAAGAGCCACCAGATAATGCGTATGCGGTCTATCTACGAACGAGCAGCTGGGGTCGTAGGCTGGCTAGGCCCGGAATCGCCTAAAAGTACTGTGATATTCAGCACGCTGGAGACTTTGGCTATCAAATCGGCACAGGCCACGACACAGATCAGTACGTCTGAAAGGCCTCTACCAGTTTTAATGCGGCGATATCGGAATGGACAGAGCGTGCCAGAGGCTGTAGAGCATCTGGGTTTGGAAATCGATCGGATGTTACGGACGGGAGATCTCCCAAGATCCGAGACGACACAGCTGTTTTCTCGGCCGTTTTGGACTCGAATATGGATTCTTCAAGAGGTCTCAGCAGCTCGCTCGCTAGGCTTTTACTGCGGAATTGACACGATTAGTGCGTTCTATTTTATCTGGGCATTTATGGCATGTATGGCTTTTTTCGAAGGCCTTGATGGCAACTCAGAACATCCGTATCAATGGCTCGAAGTACACGGCTGCCCTCCTCTGACAATGGTAAATGGACTGATAGGAGCAATCATGAATAATGAATTCGGAGCCTCTCTCCCAGCCGAATCTTTGATGGAAAATTTACAGCAGGTCAAAGGTCGCTGCCAAGCGACTGATCCGAGAGATATGATTTTTGCGCTTTTGGAGATTTGCTCCGATGCTAAGGCCGCAGGGATCACGGTTGATTACACTACGACAACGGAGGCACTGTACACAGCTGTGGCCAGATACCTTTTCAAATGCATCGGCGTAAAGTTGATTACGTTGGCTGAGTCGAATGGACCTAATAGCTCAACACTTCCGTCATGGGTTCCTGACTGGCGAAGTGAGCCCCTGCAAAGTCTTTCGGCCTGCACAAAAACATGGTGTTGGCCAGAGGAGTTAATTGCACGTCATTCTAGCCCTTGCTTCAGTGAGCCTTCCATGTTGGTACTCCAAGGAATTCAATTCGACGTGGTCAGCGAAGTCGGAGAAGCATGGAATGCAAGATTCTCTGGTCATCCCTTTGCCGCTCTATGCCACTGGTTCGAAAAACTTGAAGAGCTTGCTAGTCGCGCTAGCACTCTAGACTTCAAGAGAGAAGGAAGTGTAGCAGTTATGGCAGTGTCACTTGGTAGGGAGTTGATTGAGGAAAAAGTTGAAGATTATGAAGAAATGAGACATTTCTCACGATCTTCAGCAGTTGCGGATGACAACATACACCGTCAAGAACAGGTTAACTCGCTACTCAAAAAAAATGTCAGATATATATATTCGTTCGATGGGGTATGCCGCTGGTGGAAGGCGAACGTTGTTATCAGAAAAAGGGTATCTTGGTCTTGGTCCCAGAGCGGTGAAAAGAGGGGACTTGATTGTGGCGTTCGTTGGAGCTGATGTTTCCTTTATCTTACGTAAAAAGCAAGACGGGCAATGCGTTCTCCTTGGAGAGGTATATCTACATCAACTTGGTCATGAAAGAGTGTTTGATGGATGCTACTTTGAGGCCTTTGACTTACATTGAGAATTTCATATCAAAGACTCTGTAGGGAGAAAATTTTAGAGTAAAGAAAAGTTGCCGATCAGCCAATATCTGTAACAACAAAGGTCTTTAATAAGTATAGCTGCAGCAACTAATAACCCTGCAAACCAGCCTACAGAGTCCGTGATGATGTCTTCGGTAAACAGAGATTCTTCTCTAATTAGCAAATGATCAGAGTTGTAAACTTTTGCTTCAAAGAGTGTGCGGTGTCAACCCTTGCCCCAGCTCACCTAACTAACTACTGTAAAACGCAGCACTCCTTTTATCAGATGATACCTAACCCATAAGCAACAATCCCCTGAGCATTAACCGCCACCAGCAGCCACACCCTCCCTTTTTCCCCATCCCTCCCTTGATAGCTAGGCTGCATCGATCTTCCCACCCTTGCTGCTGTAGAGCACCCATGAACTTTTCAATATCTCCCTCTTCGGACTCCGCTCACAACCAAGCAGCGACAGCCAACAACGCAGCACCGCCCGCACCCACAAGACCCGCAGTCGCTCGAGGAGGAGCAGCGGCCGTCGCATTCGCTCCAGCTTGACTCGCAGCCGAGGTTGCCAATGATTCGATGCTCGAAATGGCACTGGACATGGCGCCGGTGGCTTCTGACGTAACGCTGGCGAGTTGGCTGCTCAACTCGCTGGAGATGCTTGATGCGGCGGCAGAGGTGAAGGAGGATAGGCTGGCCATGTCGGTCATGGTGGCTGTTTCAGTAGCATCACCGTCAGTTGGGGTAGTGGTTGCAACACTGACGGCGGATGTATCTGTCATTGTTGATGAGACGGCGCTGCTGATAATGGAATCCATGTTGCTGGCGATGGAGCTGGCCGCTGCAGAGGTCGTGTCTTGGCTGTAGGCAGTGGCAGGGAGGAGGGCGAGGACAACTGGGATGAGAAAATGCATTTTGAGTGTGCTTGCTGTTTCTGAAATATAGATGGAGGATATGTGTGGACTGTGTGTGTGTGCGCCGGTAATTCAGGTCAAAGCAGAAATATGGGGTTGGGGATCAAGAACAGGGTGTGGTAGGTGGCATGATGAGCAGCGAATATAACGTTTGGGGACTGCAAGGTGGGCTCCTGCTGTGAACACATGCCAAGTTCAACAAGATGAGGTCATGTCGACTGTGAATGTGAAACAATCGGAAGGGATGCGAAATGATCGAGCTGTCTCTGTGGTGTTATGTCCATTCCAGTGCTGCAAGGGTCACCCAGGGCGGCCATTGGTATGTACCAATCAATATGCGCGCACCGATTCGCTCAACACGTGCACTTCCCGAACATTCGTATTGCACAGGCATAATTTTCAGGTTCGCTGAGTATGGTTGACATCGAGATCATCCATATTAAGTGGGAAGTACAAGAAAAATGTACGTAGTAAGCCAGTTTGCCGGATCTGCACTGGGATGCTCCCACTATGTTTGGTTAGTCAGCGTCTTGCATATCACTTCTTACGATGCTCAGAACTCCATGTCGTCCAACAAACCTACATACAAACAAAAGAGCCCTTCTATACTCCCATAACCTCAACTGTTCAAGTAGGCTCGGATTGCACCTTGCAGTTTCGAAGCGCCTTCACCGAGCCTCTGAGTAATGTCCTCCAGATCGTCTCCAGCCGTAAGACCGAATCTTCGGACAAAATCCCTAGCCGCATTCTCCAAATCTCCGTAATTCTCTTCTTTGGGCAGATCATCCTCAGGTCGACCAAAATAGGCATTACTTGAGATGCTTGTTGCACCTTCGAAGCCTTGTAGGCGGGTCTTAGCTTCGGCTTGCGCTGACGGATCAAAGGTGTTGCGGCCGAAGAACTCATCGCTCGAGATGCCCTTCTGGCCTCCAAACTTTTCTCTGGCAAATTTCTCACCGTCATCTAGATGTGTCAGTCTGTTATGTAAGGATGGAAAGTAAAGAACGGCGTTACCATCAGCGGCTTTGCTTGCACCAACAGCTCCGAAGCCGAGCTTTTTGGGGGCTGGCGCAGAACTTGACTTGATGCTGCCCGTCTGACCAAATCCCAGCCGGCCCATACCCATTCCCAGTCTTTCAATCTCACTTGGGCTTCGTTGATGCCCCTGTTGAGAGCCATAGCCTGTTTTCGGTGGACTGATTGGTATTGGAGCTGCGATTTCGGTGTTATTGGTCAATGTTGATTTGGTCTTCGCGGCCTCTGCTGCCTTCTCCGCTTCCGTATCGTAACCCAATCTGTCTATCCTCTCTGCCTCTTCTTTAGCTTTCTTTTCTGCCGCTTCGAAATCGATATCCTCTCCAACCACCTGCTTAGCTCCAAGCTTCTGACCCCTTTTGGCGCCAAGAATGTTGGTCTTTCTTGGTCCAGCCGCTGTTGGACCTTTCCGGATAGCGGGTGAAGACGTAGCGCGAACAACAACTGGTGCGGGCATGGTCTTCTCAGATGATTCGGTGGTAGCTAAAGGTGACGGTGATTTCGGTCGTCCAGCCGCTGCTGTGCCGTTTTGATTTGCAGAAAGAAAGGGAGACGAAATACGAGATGCAACTGTTGGTGTGCCCGTTCTCGACGGAGGATTGCTCGGTCGTTTTATTGTAGGCGTATCCCAAGACGAAAAGAAATCGTCGTTTGGCTCCCCAACAGGCGTTGAAGTGCCATCAGCAGCCGCGGCGACATAATCATCAGTGACGACAACTTCTCCAGGGTAGCTATAGTTATGTCAGACTGCTCCTTGGATATCCCGTAGGCAGACTTACTCCTGCGAGTCCCCAGCAGCACGACGCTTCAGCTCGTCCTTATACTTGGTTGCCGCAGTAGATGTATATTTCACTTTGGGATCCTTGCTCGCTAAAGCAGCAGTGCCTCCATTCGACTGAAAGAACTTGGTCGCCGATTCGTTCCCGCCGACTTTCATTATCCGCAACTGCTCCCACTGCCACACTGGAGGGATATCAGCCTACTAAGTGGCGTTCATGGGCATATGCAATTGGTTTACCATCGAGATTCGTCGATCGCACAAATGAGATATGAACACCCAGATTTCGGTGGTTTGAGGAGCAGTCTAAACAGAGATAGATGCCAAAAGGGACCGAGGACCATGTAGGATTCTTCTGACCACAATCAAAACATATCTGTTCCGTCAGTACAGCGCAGGGTAAGCCGAGGACCAATATGACAACTGACCCGGTTTGCTGGCTTGGTCTTGAGCTTTTCAAAAATCTTCTGAGACTGTGACTTGGAGGCACTCATTGCTACAATCAAGTAGGCAAACGGAGAGTAAGGCGATGCTGGTAATAGATCTGGGGGCAATGGAAGCAGGAATATGTGCAAAATTGTTTGCGCCCCTGGTTGGCTCTCTTTTGGCGACACGAATTTCAATTCCATCTGGCAAGTCCCAAGGCTTGCCAAGCATCAGCACAGGGGGCCACCCCACCTGCTAACGTGATTACGGTAGAAGCGTCAAAAATAATGGTCCTTGTTAGCACATCGTTCGCCCCACTATATGTGTCATGACCTGTGATCTCTTGACTCTAGGTCCTCCTTCAACATACAAATTAGATTTTGTAGACCATAGGATTATACTTGGCCGGACTCTGGGCCTATGTAGTAGGCACAGCAAGCTGAATCTTGACGCACTAATTGATTCCTAGCCTATTGATGAAGATGGAGTGGCTTAGAGCACACAGTCAAAATCCAATCTCGACGGCAGTGTTGACCTCCACACACAGTCTTTGCTCTCTAAGAGTCCACGTGCATGCCACCTTGCAAGTATCTTTAGGAACCGTCACCAGCTCACAAACAGCTAAGTCCCAACACGTATTTCAAGCCATCTGAGATGGAGCCCGGCAGGTGCGGAGCAGCCACTCGACAGAATCGACACTTGGTGCGGTGGGGAGTCTGTAGCATGGATTCTGAGACCCTTTCATAAAGATGTCACAGGTTATCACTGCTCTGTATGAAATCCTATGGGTGGTTGAGTCCTTGTTGTAAAGATGTTTGCTACTCACTTTCAGATATCGAAGTTGTATTCCGATGTGTAAATGTGCAAATTTGGGTTAAGGTCCTATTTTAGTGGGGGAGGCTTGGGGTGCGGCAGCGGTTGCTTGAGCTGCATTTGCTTGTTGCTCGTGGGTCTGTTGCGCTGCAATAGATCGTATCTCTGCTTCTTGAATCACACCTTGAAGCAACTGCTGGTCTGCAGGCTCCAAAATCTTGGTTAAAGAGTCGTATAATGGAGGTTGTTCCTGTTGCAGCCCTGCGAAGAAATGCCAGTCAGTACATAGCCTGATAAATACCACTTTCCAGCTTACTCAGAAGGCTGTCACGGAACATTCCGTAGGGCTCCAGTTTATCAAGCGGCGTCTCTAGTAGCGAGTCTTCATCCATCACCGAATCGTCATCATCGCTGTCTTGAAGAGAACTGAACTTCTCAGCCTGTATTGTTGCCATTTAGCATCATAATCGGACAACGGGAAAGAGGGTATATCGTTTACCTCAGATTTCAGGAAATCCAGATATGCCTGACTTTCGTCTTTCACATCTCCGCCATCATCACCAGCAGTTGCGGTAGCAGCATTATCCCAATCCGCATCCTCGACACCGGTCCAATCTTCTGCAGCGTCATCGTCGTCATCTTCATCGTCATAATCACTCACGCCATCGAAATCGTTGTTAGTCTTGATCGCTTCTTCACGTTGTTTCACTGCAGCAGGCAGAGTCCTGAACAGGTGGGTTACGCCTGTGAGTAACCTTGGCCAACCCGTTTGCACTGATGTAGGGACTTGGTCCGCTCTCAAGGTCAACAGGGACGAGATGGCAGCAACGCAGAGCTTCTTGTCATGGACTCGCTTGAAATTATCAATATTGCCAAACCAGATGCTGAAGAATTTGTTCGTCCAGCCCTTGGTCTCTAGGACACGCATAGCGAGCAGTGGATTGTAGTAAATGGCATTAATTACCATTTCCATGAGGTGAATTTTGTAGCTCTTAACAAGCGTCTTGCTTGAGGGCCCCGCCAGAACAGTCATTGCAAATTCAATGAACGTTGGAACATAATTGTCGACGTGACCTCTGAGGTTGAGCATGATTGCTTCGGCGAGTCGGCAACCACATATTCTGTCCACACCTCCAACCTTGGGATCGCTGAATATGTCGCGAACCATGCCAGCCATTGCGGCAAGATAAGGTGGATGAGCGATCAATCGATCCTGTCCGTACGAAACAAAATTCTCTAATGCCGGGAGCATGTCTTCGAGATAGAGCTCGGCACCATCCTTGAATGTCTTATGCATAAGCTCGAAAGCATGCCACATAGTATCAGAAATAGATTTGGACGCAAATGTGCAAGAATCAACAATTTCAAAGACTTCGTTGTACAGATCGTACAGCTTGCTCTCGAGCGTTACCGTGATCACTGGCATGAGGATAGTTTCGAGGTGAGCAAGGACGTCAGGAGAAGCTTCAAGCGTGAGAATCAAGGTGCCAATCGTCTGCAGCACACCCAATGCGGCGATTGACTTATCATCGAGATAATCACCGTACTCGCCGCCGTCGCCACCATTAGCAAGCGCCTTGCTCTCGTTTCGTTCCAATAAGTCACGAACAATTCTGAGATACGTTTCCCGTAACTGCTCACTTAAGGCCACGGCGAAAGGAGTCAATTGCTCCGAGAAAACCTCGACGAAGTCCTCCATCACGTTTGCCAAAGCATCAACATCCACTTCATTGGCCAACTTTAGTAGCTGATGCATGATCTGTGGTATGTTTGACCGTACAGCATTCTTGATTACTTCATGGCGGATGAGCGGTTGGAGGGCCAGAGAAGCCATAACTCGCACAGGAAGCTCAGGATCTGCCATACTTTCAAGTATGTTTCTGTATATCACCATAAGGTTCTCCGGATCCTTGAATTCGAGCTCTTCAAATTGCTCAAGTGTGTTGCATGCCCTGGCTCGAAGGAAACCGTGTGGAGAACGAAACTCGGGGAAGACGTGCCGGACGAAGAAATATTCGACCTGGTCTGCGACGGGTGATTTCTTGCCAAGGATGACAGAAGCCAATGAGCTAATCATTCGCAGTGCCCCTTCTTTCTCACGAGGAGATTTTTGATCATCCGGGGCCGATTCGTACTTGGTGACAATGGTATTGACGAATGAAAGGATGGCGAATGTTTGTTTCTTGCGTGACTTCGTCAGAGCAATCAGGAAGTTGGTAGCAGCCATGTCGGGCGCAGATACTTCCTCATAGAAATTGAGCTTCCGATGTAGATATTCAGGCGGGTCATCAGAAAAGAGCTCAATGTCTTCGTCTGTCGGACAAAGCAAAGGGAAGATGAGATGGGCAATCAAACTGTCCATATGTGGTTTAAGACTGTCCCACATCGCTCTTGGCTTCACGCTCTCTTCGAGAAAGACAAGCGTGAACGAAAGGGCTGGCTTACTCAGCCAGTAATCACCACCAACCCATTTCTCGATCTCTCTCAAATAGCCGTTGAGAATCTCAGGTGCAAAGGTAGAGAGAAACAGCTTGGGGTAATCCCCATACTCCTTGTCCTGGTTTTTGGATAGGCTGGCTGGGTTCCCATATCGCACGAAGAGCCGATTCAGGTTAGCATAGCACCACTTTTTTGACTTCCACCAATGATTCTTTTCCCGCTCGTCCACGTCTTCGGGCATCATGCTGGCAGGAAGCGTTTTGCTAATGACTTGAAGGAACAGGGTACACCAGCCCACTGTCTCCTGCTGGCCTCGAAGAGGAACAGGAAGCTCATACTGCATGCCTGTTAGCATTCTACTCGCATAAGTGCAGTCCATCAACATACGTAGATAGCGTGTTTGTAACACTTCACTACAAGTCTAAGCATTTCGCCAGCTTCACTACTGTTTTCCCCCACTAGCTTATTTCCCAAGTTTAGCAAAGGTGGAAATGCCACCGTCACGATCTTGTCAAGATCTGCTCGAGTTTCACCAGCTTTGAAGCGATATGTGCGGCAGATGGACAGTAGGCATTGTAAGCCCGCCAGCACAGAAGCGGCATCGTTGGTATTGAGAAGTTGCAGGGTAACGTCCATAAAAGTAGGCCATTTTGCAGGAAAGTCATGGTTGAGGATGGTTTGGAGGATCGGTATAAGCTGACCGCGGATCATAGGCGAGGAGGCGGCAATCAAGGGGAGCAGGCGGTCACGAAACGAGGCGCGTTCGTTCTCTGGTATTGATTTGTGAAGGACATTTTCTTCCTGCGGAGGCCATCCACGTGTAATTCTGTTCTTGAGGTAGACCACCGCTATGGTATATTCATTAGCATGCCGCTCCTATGCATCAACGCGCGGAAAGTGGATGTACTTGAGAGACGAGTGCCATTATTCTGTTCGGTTTGCAAAATATCGAGGAGAGCGTTGATAAAGCCGGGTTGTTCTTCAGCCTGGTTGTTAAGATGTCAGACGTGATTACTCAAGTAGAGATGCACCACGTACAGATTTCAGAGTCAGTTCAGCCTGTCTTCTTGTGTCTGTGTTAGCATCGATGGTCGACACGATACATGCCCGCAGCGTTGCGACATCCATGGTAGCCAAAAATGGCTCCGCACTCCGACGTTGTCTCAACTGGCCAGGCTGTTTCTCGTGATACCTTCTGGGTGGGGCAGAGGAGGTATCATCCAAGGCTCGAGGAATTCCTGAAGATCAACAGGTTGGATTGTGACAGGCATAAAGGGCCCAGTGAAGTATGCATGGGTACATCGGGATGAGGAAGAAAATTGTGGATTTGTGACAAAATTTCTGGCTAGGTGATCCAGGAACATAAAACAACCTTGACCGCTGATCATTCTGCGGGCTATTCACGAGCCAGTAAAGTATCAGCTCCTTTCACCCATATCAGTGATTCGGTGCCTCCATTCTACGTATGTACCTGAAGATAGGGCCATGGCCGATCTACGCTGTCGCTGTCGTGCTAAATTCAATTGTCTCTTCTGACTTTTCTACGAACAAGTCTGAGGCCGTCTTCCGTTCGTACAATAGCATTCGTTCTCTTTCGTCTGATGCACAAGCTCTTAGTGGTCCGGTCGATTCTTTGGCCTCCAGTTCGCCTTCTATGCAGCTCGGTTCACAACTAGACAATGGCTCTGTAGCTACATATACAACGAGGCGGCAAAGATGACATCCCGCTTGATCAATTCCTGTGCCTGTTGCATCTTAGTGTACAACGTCGGATCTCCCACCAGCTTTGCTGCACTCTTCACCTCCCTGCAGGTTTCGTCCAATCTCGTGATTACTCTGACAATGGTTCCTTCCATAACGTCGGTCAAGTCCGTGATACGATTGAACGACATTCCTCGAGCCCATTCATACACCACTTCAACTAACCCAAAACGTGGTCGACTGACAAAGTCATTGGAATCCTCACTCGAGAGGATCACCTGGTGCAGTATTTGGTACTGATTGACTTTCTCCGAGATTGCAACGATAGTCTGCTTGCCCTTCTCCAAAGTTTTGGTTAGCGTAGGGTCTATGTCGGTCTTCTCCTGGAACACAAATGCAGACAACAAAGCCACGATTTCCTCAGGTTCGAAATTCGCGAGCACGTTCTCCAGTATCAGCTCTGTCAGTACTAGTTCGTCGGCTGAATGTATCTCGCAAGCTACTTTGCCTTTGAGCTGCACTCGGCTTTCTTCGTCAATAAAATCCAGGTCTTTGAGAACTTCGATTCGCTGCTCGTAATCAGGTAGGAGTTGCAAATTCTGATCCGACATCAGCTGTTTCAAGGCCAAAATGTTTTCCTTGACGAGCCACTCGTCGTGTTGCATCGTGAACTAGTTTTTGTCAGCGTTGTCTTGAACTGCGTTGCGTCTTATAACATATTACATGTTTGAGAAAGTTAGGACATTTCAAGCACTGCCCTTGCTGAGCAATATGTGCCCACTTCTGCCTCTCGGTGAGGAGTTCTCGGACTTGCAGATCTTTCACCTTGTCCCACTCCAGCTCATTCCAGTCAGGATCTCCCCAGTCGCAATACCTAGTTGTGAATTCTTCTTCCGCTAACTTCTTTTGCACTGGATCCGAATTCAGCATGGCGGTAACGTTAATCTGGTCACCCTCATCAATAACTTTCCTTATCTGCAAATACCAGGGTGGCCCTCGCACCTTAACGACAGCGACTGTCACACATTCCACATCTTCAAGATCCACGCTAATTACAGCCGACTTCACATCTTCAGCTATCTTTGGCAATTCGCTGAACATTGAGCGGAATCTGGGTAAGTAAGGTAGCAGATCTGATGGCGAACGTCTGCCCTCTAGTGTGCGGATCTCAAGGACGGACAGATGGGGTCGAGGTCCACCAACGAGTCCGTCTCGAAGAAGGATTCCTGCTGTGCGTGTGCCGTCCTGGCAGGTCTTTACTTTTATGAAACCCGGATTGAAAGGAGAGACTTACCTTCTTGAAGACTATGACCCTCCTACTGGACCACAGTCTTTTACCCACAGGGGAGGCTAGAAGACTAATATGTAGGTCAGTTGTGAGTTTTTCAAAATTCATGGCTGCCTGATGACAAGCTTCGATGTCCTGGTCGCATATCCCGCATGGCTCACGCTTGATCTTGTTAAGATTTGCCTCTGAAAGTTCCACCTGCTTAGCATGTTGTGGAAGCATTGCTTGTGTTGCATTCTCGCTGAAACTCCGTTTGATCATCTCTTCAATCTTCAAGGCCTCTACACGGAGCAGGTTCAGAATCATGTTGTATGTCAAACGGAATTGGGATCGAAGTTTCGTTGGGTCTCCAAGAATCATCTGCCTCAATTCACCAGCAGGAGGCGCTTCGGTTTTCCCAGAGGTGACAATGATGACCGATCCGACAGTGTCTAGACCACGTCGCCCTGCTCGACCAGCCATCTGCGTGTATTCTCCTGGTAGCAGATTCCTAAACTCTCGTCCGTCGTGCTTACGATAGCCTGAGAACACGACAGTACGGGTCGGAAGATTCAAGCCCATTGCAAACGTCTCTGTTGCAAACAGAACCTTTACAAGAGTTTTGGCGAACAGAATCTCGACGATCTCCTTGATGATAGGAAGGAGCCCACCATGATGCACCGCAACGCCTCTGCCAAGCAGTTCTCGAAGCCTTCGGATTTGTGGCAGTACGCGGTCCTCCGCCTTGAGCCGCGCTATCGACTTCTCGATGATCATGTGTATCGCGCTCTTCTCGGCTGCTGTGCAGAAGTCCTGGTTTGATAGAGAATCCGCGTTTTCTTCGCATCGCTTTTTCGAGAAGACGAAAATGCAGCAAGGTAACAGGTTCTCCTTGCGCAGCTGTGAGACTAGATGGACCCATACGTTACGGTCTTGGGCTGCACTTGTCCTGCCGCCTCCTCTACCGGTGCGCGCGATATTGCCCTGGCCTCGATTGGCAGGCTGCCCTCGGCCTCTCTGCTGCCCACTTCCCCGTTGTTGCTGACCGCCGCGTTGATTGCTACCTCCTCTGCTGTACTGTCCTCGGCCTGCTCGAGCAACAACTGCTCCACCTCTTGGCTGTAGCTGGGTCTCTGCAGCTTGTTGTTCTTTGATCTTATCTCGACCAGATAGGATGTCATTTGCCGCTTTCCAGCCTTTTTCAATAAATCTCTTCTCAGAGTCAACGATCTTGTGCATCTCCTTGCCTGCCCATAGGTAGTGTTCTAGAGGTACTGGTCGTTTCGGTGTAGAGATCACGTATATGTCCTTCTTCTTCGTTCTGCCTACCCAGGATGCAAACTCGTGGGTATTAGGTACCGTGGCGGAGAGCAGGATTAGAGTAACATGCTCTGGAAGCATGATAATGACCTCTTCCCACACTACTCCTCTCTCAAGATCGTTGACGTAGTGAACTTCGTCAAATATCACAAACTCGACATCACGAATAAGATCTGCACCCCGATACAACATGCTTCGGAGAATTTCTGTTGTCATGATCAAACAACTCGCTTCTGGTGAGATCTGAACATCTCCCGTTAGTATTCCGACATCGTCGAAAACCCCTCGAAAGTCTCGAAACTTTTGATTGCTCAAAGCCTTGATTGGTGACGTATATATGGCTTTCGTCATATGCTTCGCCGCCAATGCAATAGCATATTCTGCCACTACAGTCTTTCCTGCAGAGGTGTGAGCTGCAACAAATACGGAGTCGCCGCTCTCGAGGTGATAAACTGCTTCCTTTTGAAAAGTGTCAAGCTCGAAAGCCCATGTTTTCGCCATTTCCGGGACCAGCTCGTGAAAGTTGTCCATGCCTTTGTTGACATCCACCACGTGTGCCCATTCTCGTCCCCTCGTCCGAGTCGAGGACGCCAATAATTGCCCACGGGGCTCAAGCGCTGGAAACTCAATTGGCAGTAGCGCTTCTAGGTCTTGATCATCTTCATCTGACTCAGGTGGTGTGACTCTCTTGAAATGGGGACCACTGGTCCGGACATCATCATTTGTATCGTCGTGGCCTTTGCGGTGAATGAACTTCGCCTCGACATCATCATTCTCGAGCGCAGTCTCAACATCTGTGGCTGAATCGATTTCTTTCTTACTATTCTTCCTCGAAAATTTAAGTCCTCGTGAGAAACCGGGAGCGATCTCAAGAAGGCCCCCTTCCGTGCCAAAACTGATGATACGGTCGAGAGCACTTCCTTTCGTCGACGCTCTCTTGTCATCCTCAAGCTGGGCCTCTCGTTCGACGGCATCTATGGCATCGATCCCATCCAAGCCGCCGGGTGTGAAAGGGAAGAAACCAGCTGCTCCACGTACAAGGTCTGCTCTGTTCGCTGGCCTTCTTAGAATAGACGTCGAGTTCTTAGCGGTGGCGCTGCTTGCTGGTACTGTCACTTCTTTGTAACCGATGACTCTTCCTTCCAGGCCTTCTCTTGTGAATCGTAAAATTGTTCTGGTCTGAGTGGGTGCAAATTCACAAATATCAGCATAGTTGGTGGGGGCATCCCATCTCCGTTGGAGTTTATTGAGCCATTGAGCGCTGAAAGATGTGGGTGGCGTCAGAAACTCAGCCTCCAGTTCTTCTTTAAGGGTTGCTGATGAGGGAAAGGGCTTCTTGCGAGGTTTATGCTCTTTTGTGGTGTCATGGTCGATCCAAGCATCCAGATTCTCATTGCCAGCTTTCGCTCCTCCAATTTCCACCTGCTCGAAGGCGGCCGAAAGACGGCCGACCATCTGAAGGACATGCACAGCTGCTGTATAAATCTCGGTACTTACTCGAGACACGTGGGTGCCGTGTTTTGATGCAGCGGGGATATTTGAGATGATGACACAAGACTTTGGAAGCTCAACATCTGAAATGTTTACTTATTTTCCACCCTCACCTCAGCTTCGCTTTCGCAAGGTGTAGCTTGTGCAGCTCCCAAGGATCCAGTTTGCCAATTCTTACAGAGTTGCAATCAGCATCCACGTTGGCTCCTGCAGTGAATTAAATAAGATCGATGATGGGCTTCGCCGACACAATTAAATGCCCGGCCACTTTACGCTCATATTCTAGTGTTATGGATTGATGTCATCAAGCAGACCTTCAATGATGGCATTACCTTCTGCAAAATCTCCCTCAGGTCATCCATGGATTCTACCTCATTTTCGGGAAAGTTTAAGGTATCCGTGGTCCGCAAGTTGCGAAGGCCTTCCTCCAAGACACATATTCTACGATGCTAAGTTCTATCCCTATCATACGTCTTCGACAACAGCACCCGTCTTCGCGCTTGTTGGCAACCGAGAGATCGTAATATGCCGTCCCTCTACTATTAGAGGCGAGGGTCTGGTCCGTATCCATGTCTTTCGAGATCTTGAGCCGGTCCCAGATGATTGGTCGATCCATTTGTCGTCAATTCTCAATAGTTGTGCTTGGAACTATGTTGAACAATCAGTGCCACTCATCTCAGTGGCTGGCCCAAGCGGTCTCATCAAAGTCCTCAATGCTCTTACTGGGGACCTTGTCACTACGCTTGTCGGCCATGGCGCAGAAATAAACGACTTAGCCACACATCCGTTGTATCCATGGATTCTCGCTTCTGCCTCTGGAGACCACTCTATCAGGATTTGGGATCTACGCCGAAAGATTGAGCTTGGGGAAAATGCTTGCTTGATCATTTGCGGTCATGGACATGGGCATAAAGAACCAGTTCTAACATGTGCCTGGCATAGCTCAGGGACATACTTGATCTCTGGGGGTCAAGATCATATGGTGTGCATTTGGACCATTCCCGACCTCGCACCTGCCAGTCTGCTCTTCGACGTGGGTGAAAAGCCAGCTAAGGCCCTAAGATCGTCAGCTGAAACAAAAGTGATCCATTATCCTCATTTTGCGACATCAGCAGTCCATTCGAACTATGTTGACTGTGTCTGCTTCTATGGAGATCTAATTCTGTCTAAAGCTGCCGAGGAAAATAAGATTGTTCTTTGGATGGTCACCGGATTCGATTCCAGAGCATTAACCCCTTCACAAGAGTGTGCACCAGGAGCAGGCACGTTTCAAGACACTCGCTCTGGATTTCTTCCACAGAGTGCCTGTAGCCAGGAATCTGAAAGAACAGGCCCTCAAGAGCCTTTGCGCGCCTCTAGCATCCCTTTATTTCACCGCCTGCTCGAGTTCCAGGTGCCTTTTAGCGAGCTCTTCTACATGCGCTTCTCACTGCTCATGCCTACTCAGACACACCCTCACCTTCATCCGGTGCTTGCAATTGGGAACACGAAGACAAAGGTCTTCTTCTGGGACCTCATGGGCCTCGAGATGGGACATGATGCGGGCATGACAGGCCCAAACGACGAAGATAAGTTCAAACGTCCTGACAGCAAAAGCAAAAGGAAAGCAGGGGAGCCTTTCAGTCGAAGGGCGCTTGAAGGCTATTCCGCCTCCGATGTCCGATCGGAATCACCTCTCGCTTCTTCATCCCGTCGATCCTCATCGGTAATAACGACAGCCAACGCTTCATCACCAGCGATGTCATCTTTGCAGGAGCCAGAAGTCTCCACGACAGGAACTTCCCCTGCTTTATTTGATCCCCCGTCCGTAGTGCCGAGCATGCTGCCTCGCATGAACAAGTACAGGATCAATGATCCTTTTATGCCTGTTCCGGCTCATTATAGCCACACTCCGAACGTCAATTACCATCTCTCTGCAAGACAAGCAGCATGGAGTCCATGCGGAAGGTGGTGTGTTATCGCCGGCGAGTCAGGCTCAAAGGATGCCATGGCTGTAATCTATGATAGATGGGTATGATCTAGAATGGGATTCACCACTAGGGGACTGGGTTCGTGTCCATCGAAATTTCAACAGGTAAAGGCCCATACTCTCACCAAGACATGGAAGCACTCAAGAGACGAAAGCGATGCATAGACTTCTCCGATTCCATTCGTGAGCGAGAGGCATCAGTAGAGAATCAGACCCCTTTTTTCTTGCTATGCGACCCTCAGAGCAGACTAGGTTTCAAATATCACAGGTCTTGTGAAGACCATGTGTTAGTATTAATGCCAGATCAAGGAACAGGTCCAAAGGCTCGCTCGAATTGATCACAGCCTGAGTGAAGGGGATGACAACGTACTCCTTACAGACTCAACAGGAGTAGCCCTTGAGGGGCTTCCTTCGATATGAACCACTATAAAGTACAAAGAGTGAAAGTGTAGTATTAGGGAAAGAAACCACTATAGAAGTGAACATCTTCCGCGGAGCGGATCTCAACCGGCTACCGCGACACTTTGCATTCATCTCATTCCACGTTACTGTGCTTACGGCCAGATATAATCCAGTCAGTCTTTCTGAATAGTGCTCATGCGCAATAGAAACTGCTCCTGAGCCTCCTTCCTAGCTCTCTCGGACTCAGCGTCGAGATCCAATTTGACGAGTATCTCATCAGCTCGATGCATTCTTATGATATGCCGGGCAACTTCTAGCCCGCGGGTACATCCTGTTTTACCCATTCGCAGGAGAAGCTCTGAGAGTTTCCAAGCGGCAGATAGGACCAGCAGCATAAAACCCCAGGGGTGATCCTTAACAGACTCGTCGCAAGAGTTGAATATCTGTTGCACAGAGCCTGAGATAGCTGCGTTTCTCGCTAGGAACGGTGGTAGCCATACCGAGACCTTATCTTTGATATTCCTAGGGCCATCTCTTTGCTGTGTCTCACACACTACCGCATTTCCACAGCTAGGGCATTCAGGACAGACAAACTCAACATCCTTCAGCTCTGAACCACTTCCCTCCGGACTCGGTGTTGTGATCCGGTCAATGGTCGCGGCTCCTCGCCCCTGTGCTTCGCCTATCTGCTTCATCCACGGCATATGATTGTGGATCCATAGAAGCAGGTTGTCGAGAGGGGTTGTAGTTTCTTCGCCGGACAAGGGAGGAGGCGGTCGAGAGACTTGAGCGCTCATATCGGGACGAGCTGCGTAATAGGCGGTCATGGCGAAGAGGCATAGAAGAGTAACTATAGCTCTAGTAATACTTAATGCTCGGTCGCTTGGAATGTCATGGGTGTTGCGATTAGATTTTGTGATCCGTCCAGCGGTGGGGCTCTGCCGTTCTTCAACTAGTGTATTATCAGACGAAGGTTCTGCCTTGGATCGTCGACCTCGAGTTGATCTCGCTACCGAAGCTGCGCGAGGTTTTGCCACTATCTCTTCTCCATACACACTGGGATTGTCTATCACGTCCTCGGCGGATCCACGTCGCCATGTCCCCGACTTGGAACGGGAGGCACGACCTTTTGGTCTCGGCATTGCGGCAGCTCGAAAGCGAGATCGGCTGGCAAGCTCCGGGCGGAGATGAAAGAAGCAGTATGAAGAGGTTCTCTTTTGGATAGCGAAGGAACAAGACTGAAAGGGAACGCAGAGTATACTATTTGACAATCTAAGGGCAAGCTCGGTAACAATAGAAACTAGGGGATTGCCGTGCTGTGTGTTTTGGTTCGTTTTATGCATGCCTGCACTGTCTCCCGGGAAGCCCGAACATTCCTTGTAACAAGCAAGGAGCTTCACGGTCTAAGTTGGTCATCATTATGGTAGATTGAGATAACACTTACCAAGAAAAGTAATGAGCACGGATGCCACTCCATCAACCACAATCATGGAGGACAATCATGGAACGTATTCTTTGCATGGGCTCTCCGATAAAGGCAGAAATCGTTTCTCAACTTTAGAACAAATGCCCGACTACCATGTGGATCATAAACTGATTTTGAATTGTATTGCCACCAAAGATAGTAAGAGATGGTGACTGAGGCAAAAGTTGATGTTCTTAGAGACGTATATATACAGACTTGTGCGCTGTTGCCTCGCAACATCTAGGTTGTCCCAGTGTGAGTGCCTCGTTCGAAATAGTCCCATTGCCCTGGAGCAGCCTTTTCTTCAAGGGGTTCCCATCTGAAGATGTGTCAGCAGAGAATCCATAAGAAATGCAAGAGTGCATACACTCTCGCAGCGATCATCTCGTCCACCAATGTCAATTCACCCTCTGCAACCATGATGACCTCCTCTACAAGGCCGGCTCCGATCTTATTCTCTATATAATTGATCCTGTCAAGGCTTTTAGTATGTCTGCACCCGAGCGGAATTTCCCGTAACATACTGGTCCGCATCCAATGGTGGCTCCTGTTCCAGCTCACTCGGTCTTTGTGGCTCTTCAACCTCTAATCTCTCCTCCTCTGCCCTGATCGCTCTAGCCTTCGAATTTGCCATCTCTTCGGTGGAAGGACCCTCTGGAAGTACTTCACGTACTGCGCCATCCCAGACTTCTGACGTGGCCTCAAAGGGTTCCGAAAATGCAATTGATCCATCCTTCTGCATCACATGGGAGTAGGCGGCAGGATTTTTCTCGATCTGGGCTTTGACTCTTGATAACCACTCCTCATACCCTACCGGCTTTGTGTCCTCTATGATTTTCAAACGAGATTTCGTGATAGCTTCGGTCGATTGGCGATAGACTGAGGATTCGGGAAGTGCTTTGAGTTTGTCCAAGATTTGGTTGTAAGTGTATATCAGAGCAGGTCTGGGTTGCGGATGGGTAAGAATGCCGGTTAAGCCAGTGGGAGCGTCGACTTCTAAGATCTTCGATGGCTGGACTTTGGCCAGCAACCGTAGAGTGCCTCTCATTTCGCGTACTTTCTCCCGAATAACAAGACAACGCAGAGAAAGCAAACGTAGACGGTGATGGTGATTAATCCCCACACAAGCTCAGCAATTGAAGTGGGAGGAATTTAATGCTATAGAGCGTTTCACCAGAGCCACCAAGGATTCAATGCCTGAACGGTTGAGATCTATTGCGGTGGTCAGTTAAGCTTGAAGCTCTCCACATACTATCCGAGGAACTTGCCGGGAATGCCAAGACTTGCTGGCAGGAGCAGCGGGCAACTTTCTTCCAGGGGGCCATCTCCATGCAACCTCTAACCCAGCGGAGCGCGACGACCTCGACCTCTTCCGAGAATATACCTGCGTACGCCTCCAGTCATCTATAAACGCGGATTATCCGCCCTGACCTCTACGTCTTTCCCGGTCAGCCGTTCCGTTCTTTGGTAAATTTGGCACATTCTATGTTCAGGCCTTTGGTACTGCTTCAGCTACCCATTCTAGCACTCTTCCAACATTAATCAGTCAGGCCGAGGGACGGTCAACTCTGCGCCCAGAGCGCTACCATGAGGTCAGTGTTGGTCTGGGTGTTATTGTCGTCGCTTTTGAGACCAATATCCGCTGCACGGCCCCCACAAGAAAACGATGCAAAGATAGTTGCTCAGAATGGGGACAAGACGGCAGACTCTGCTGCAGCGGCTGCAGGTGATGACGAAGGAACTGAATATACTACTTTCAACGACATTAAAGTCCCTCAGATGAAAGATATTGAGGGTGAACAGTTCAATGAAACGATTAAGGATGGATATTGGTAAGCACGGAAAGAAGGATTCTGCAGTATTGTATGAGGCTGACTGGAGCGTTAGGTTCGTCGAGCATTTCTCTCCAAGTTGCGGACACTGTCAGGCTTTTGCGCCGACGTGGCAGACTCTGTACGAATTCTATTATACATCGTCACCAATTCAGTCGCAAACCAAGTCCCCTTCGCCAGACACCCCAAACTCCTTGAATGGATTCCATGGCTATTATAATTTTCATTTTGCGAGGATGAATTGTATCGCTTTCGGTGATGCTTGTGCAAAGAATAACATCAAGGCCTGGCCATCACTCATGCTATACAAAAACGGCGAATTTGTTGAAAAGTATACTGGAGAGAAGAGCATGCCAGCTTTGAGCCACTACGTCGAAGAGAAACTTGAACAGATCAGACCTGGCTCACGGCCTCGAGAGGGCCTGAAAGTGCCGGAAGTTGGAGCTAATCGAGTTGATCGCACAGCAATGCCCGAAACACCTTTAGCCAAGGACAAGGACGTTGCTGCAGGGGCTGCGGCGGGAGAAAAGCACAATGATCAGGCCGCCGCTCTTGCAGATGCGACAAATACCGCAATGCTGTCGTCCGAAACAGCCAAGGCGGGCAGAACAAAAGAAGTCAGCAGGACTGGGCCGGCCCCCAATCCACAGGGTACTTCTATCTCCCTCACGGCCGAAACTTTCCAAAAGCTGGTGACCAGTTCGCAAGACGCATGGTTCATCAAATTCTACGCTCCATGGTGTGGACATTGTCAGGCCCTCGCCCCCACCTGGGATCAGATGGCAAAGGCTATGAAAGGTCAGCTTAACGTAGGAGAAGTCAACTGCGACGCCCAGTCCCGCCTGTGCAAAGAAGCTCGCGTGAAGGGCTACCCAACCATCCACTACTTCCGTGGCGGCGAAAGGGTTGGGTATGATGGCCTGCGAGGACTGGGCGATCTTTTGTCCTTTGCCGAGAAGGCTCTCGATTCGGATGTCAAGTATGTTGACGCTGCGCAGTTCAAAGACATGGAAGAGACAGAAGAGGTCATCTTCACCTACTTCTTTGATCACGCAACCACTTCTGAAGACTTTGCAGCTCTAGATCGCTTGACTCTCAGCTTGATCGGCCATGCCAAGATCGTGAAAACAGACTCTCCAGCGCTGGCCGAGCGATTCAAGATTTCCACATGGCCACGCCTCCTCGTCTCTCGAGACGGTGTACCAACGTACTACACAGCTCTCGCGCCAAAAGACATGCGCGACTTCCGGAGGGTGCTCACCTGGATGCAGTCTGTCTGGCTACCCATCGTGCCGGAACTGACCATACCCAATGCACTCGACATCCTCACCAATAAATTTGTAGTCTTGGGCATCCTTTCTCGGAACCGACCAGATGACTTCATCCAGTCGAAGCGCGAGCTCAAGAATGCTGCGCTCGAGTGGATGGATAAGCAGACACAGCTATTCCAGCTTGAGCGCCAGGAAATGAGAGACGCGAAGCAGCTCCGTATTGATGAAGCTGAAGACCGCAACGATCAGCGTGCCCTACGACAGGCCAAAAGCCAAAGAATCGGCATCCGCGAAGAAGACTTCAGAAAACCGGTCACTTTCGCATGGGTGGACGGCGTCTTCTGGGAGCGCTGGCTGAGAACTACATACGGCGTCGATGTCACGGATGGTGATCGCGTTATCATCAATGATGAAGAGGTATGTCTGCCCATCTCTCCCATCGCAGAACCATCCCTCTGCTTGTTGAAACAAGAAACCCGTACCCCCCAATCCAAGCTTACTGACTAACCTCTCTTTGCTTTGCCTCCTACAGAACAAACAATACTGGGACACTACAACCTCTGGCGCCTACATCATCCCCTCCCGAACCTCCATCCTCGAAACCCTCCACCAAATTGTCGCCTCCTCCCCGCCTAAAATTCAGCCCAAATCCACCATCGGCACCCTCGAGAACATCTTCTTCCAGATCCGCCATTTCGGATCCTATCATCCGTACCTGGCGCTTGGGTTATTATTTGCGAGCATTGCTGGGGTGGCAACGTTAGGGAAGAGGAAGATGAGGCACGGAGCGAGTGGTAACGGGGGTGGTTATTTCAAGTTGGATGGAAAGGAGGGTTTATTGAATGGCATGGGTGTTGGTGGTGGGGGTGGAGGGACGGAGAAGGCTGATTGATGTATAGTATGTTAGGGCTTTCTTTTGTTGGTGGAGGTTACGATAGGCAAGGTCTCTGGGATCCGCTTGCTTGGGAGCTGACGGCTGTAATTACGGGGGCGTTTTCTTGGGTGGCATAGCTTGGCTTCTGGCAAGAGCATCTTGGTATTGGCGCTGCCAATGGCCGTGAATAGTTATTCTTCACAATATACTCGGTCTTGACGGCACGGTCTTAGTATCGTTTGCGAACGCTATTCTTACTGAGACGAATTGGCAAGCTCTGAGATGAAGATGTTCTTCGGCTGAATCAAAGGAGATCGGAACAGGGAATGACACTGTTTGGATCGTCTTGCGCTTGTTGAGAACGAAACTCAGATGAGTCCGGGGTCTTTCGTTCCCATCATCCGGCCAGGTAGAAAGCCTTGAACAACTGCAACGATTGCTCGGGGAACAAGTATCTCACTATCGTCCGATGTGTGGCAAGAATAATATCTGTCCTGGTTTTAGTTGTGCTACGGTTAGGTTACAAAGGTATTGGGCCCAGGTATTTAGACGTCCCGGGCATGAAGACTAGTGTATGATGCTCTCGTACTGTCGACTTTCCGTTATTGATGCCGTAGAGGCATATGCGCTGGCAGGGTTGAGTGGATGGAGATGTAAAGATATAGCAGTACCTAGGTAGCAGGAAGAAGAAATTTTCTAGGAAAGATGTAAAGCCAGAAACGTTTAACCGAATCAGAGGGAAGGCAGTTCAAGCTGGCGGAACATGTAACCGAGAGCTGAGGAGAGAATTGAGCGAATTGAGCAAATTGGCCATGAAACAACTGGAATGCATTTTTGGAGACCATATGAGGGAAAGTTGCAAGTAATCGAAGGAGACTGGGGAGGTCTTAGGAGAGGGAACTAAGAGGACGGAATTTGACAGACAAGTAAGAACATCAAGACGATCGATGCGATTGCTCAACATTCCCGGCCACAGCCGCAGGAGAGGCAGAGGAATGTTTCGGATAAACCGCACTTCCATTCAGATACGCCGGTCATCATGCTAATGGTTCCTTTGTACAATTCCCATTTCATCCTCCTTTCATGCTTCTCTCCATTGTTTTGTAGATCTTAGATCGCTTAGAACGGATTGTCCTCCGGCGGGACTTCTCTGACGAAATAGTCGCCTATTAAAGGCATTTTGCTGAGGATGTCGTTTCGAACTTTGGGGACTTCGCCGAAGAAGAAGAGAGCGAAGATTCCGGCGGAAGCACCGAAGCCTGCTGCTATGGTGCCACTGCAGAGAAAGTGTTAGTCGCATGTTTGTCATTGAGAAGGACGATGGGGGCCAGAGGGTGCGATAATCGTCATGTGTGGTCGAAAGAATTCGTTGTGCAGAAGCCTACACAGTAATACAGTTTCTGCCATGGAGACGACGATCGCCTGAACATGAGGATGTAAACAATAGAACATACTATCTTGCCAATGTCCCGAGGCTTGTGCCGTGGAAGTGGGTTCTGGTGTTGTATCTGCCCAACCAGCTCAGTCAGCCCTTATTGCTGCTCCTAACCGCAGCAGAAACAGGTCCTGCGTCTGAACTTGGTTGCGAAAGAGTCTGTGAGATCACACATACACAGGACCATAAGGTGACTTGTAGGCAGTGTAGCTAGGTCTTTGTGTCCAAGGGTCGACTCCGCGTTGTCCACGAACCTGGGAGAATGTTTGCGATTAGTAAGAAGTCTTCCCGAAAAGAATTGTGCTTGAAAACTCACCATTGTGCTTTTGACCAGCCGAGAAGAGAAAAAGTGCAAGAAAGGGAACAATAACAAATCCTCGGGGTCGAGGTACTTGCGAGCTCGGAAGCTTTGCCTCCCAATGCAGTTGTGGCTTGGCATTAATTACACTAACCACTTTCGGGCAACGCGGCAGCACGTTCACATTAATGATATCTACTCTCCGTTTTTCAGATATGTGGTAGACTTAAGAAACATCGTAGTTGGTCTAAATCTGGGAGGGATATCCAATAACGGGACAACCAAAGCTGGAGGCTCAAGCCAGTGTCTTTCCCAAATTGTTTTGGTATCCAGACTGGAGAGCATGTGAGCTGAACGAGGCACCAGAATAGCCACAAACAATATGTTAATTTGTTATGTTTCCTATACACGGTCTTTTGGTGGAGCGAAACGGTTGAGATGCCGTACAAATCAAGAGACAGCAGACTCCCCAGTCCCCGTTTACAAATTACAACCCAAGAGGGTTGTCCGCGGTTTGTTTCTTGCCACCAATTGAGTCATCTGTCTTGTCTGCAGCGCCCCCAGCAGCACCACCAACAGAACCAGTGGTGTCTTTGACCGTGTTTCCAGCGCCTTTGGCAGTATTACCCAGCCCTTCAGTGACACCAGAAACCGTGTCACCTAGCCCCTTGCCGATGCCTGGAATATATTAGACAGCTTGCACACGCCACCCGCTCAAACTGCGTTGACACCTACCTCCAACAGCATTACCAGCAGTGTTCGTCACTCCTACAGAGAGGTTAGTACTTAGCTTCTCGTACACCGTTGTTGCTGACGCTCACCTGAGACTCCTTTGCCGGCCGTATCCGCAACGTTACCGAGAATACTGCCTGACGAGACCTGTCAGTCAGACCTACTTGCGAACATTACCCCGCAGCAGAAGCAGCAAGAAGACATCATGTGCGGAAAGTGGTAGCGATGTAGGATGACATTGCACACTTATGCTGACCTAGGGCCAGGACGTGCAATGGGCATTGGGTAATCGAGTAAAAGGTTGAAGGCAGGGTAGGCTGTCGGTGCAAATAGGACATCATGAAGACTGCCGCTAAAGCGAACTGCGTGAGAAACGTACCACCTTGCTTTTGGTCGGCCATTATTGCTTTGCACGAAAAGTGTGTGATAGGTGGTTTCAATATGTAGCTGAAAGATGGTGAGTTGCTAATCTCACAGCAAGACCAAGGCTTCAGCTGCTTACTCTTGCTGTGCACTGGACAGAGTTGGTTGTTAGGTGATTAGTAGAAGTTGATCAATCCGATAATAACGGGTAAACAGTAGAAATATACTCTAGGCCCAGCAGGTTACATACTATGACGAACATCAAAAGGCACAGCAAGGCTTGACGTCAACCTCGAAGAGGGGCACTTGCCAGAGCGGCAGCCATGTGTGAACAAAGTTGCGCAACTGCCCTCCGAGGACGATCTAGTTACCCTTGATATCTCATCGACGTTTCTAGTTTGCGGTGGACCCTGCATTGCAGCAAGTCAACCAATTGGTTCACGTTTCGCCATCGTACCAGGCCTCTATTCAGATAACCCTTGCCAAATTCTGCCACGCAAAATGTTTCATGTACTACGGTAGGAGGCATAAGTATTGTTGGTGTGAACTAGTGATAGCTAGTTTTTGATACAAGGGTCTGGCATCCTTTTGGGCTATTGTAAATCTTGACCCTCGTTAATCATGGTGATTGGCTCTGTTCTATGAGCCATACAGACTAGACGTCGTTTCAGTAAAGTGCAACTTCGTCAAGCCATGTAAAATACGGAATTTCTGGCTTGAAGCTAACAATACTTATGCCTTATACTGTAGTAAGGAGGTGATAGGTTGCACTTCTGGGGAAGAAAGACTAGAGAATGGTTTGATCTCAGAAGATCGACATCTATCCGCACGAACCAGCGCCACATTCAACTTGCAGCCACAGCAAGTGCGGCTGTCACGGACCCGTCCAATTTCTCCCGAATGCAGCCAAGAAGCTTCAACTTATAAGAATTTTACTAACTTCACCGGGAGTTTTGGTTGACATTTTCAAATTGACCGAAGGCAAGAGCCCGGTCAAAAAGATTCGAAACAGCTAATCTGGATCTAGTCTTGCTTAATGGGATGCGTAGTCAAAGACATAAAGCCTGTTTGACGTGTTGGAGCCTATCGACTTCAAAAAGGTACTATACTGGTATGGCAGCGTGACCTCATATGCTTGCCTTGAACATGTTGTCCGGTCCACATCTGCTAATTTTGTGCTGCGAGCCAGAGGTCGTGGAATGTTAGCCAGGCCTTACTCCAGATCAGGTCTGACCTTGTAAAGAAACTTTGGTTACCCCTGAGGTCAAAAATTCCATCGAGGCATCTTCTCCTTGATTTATTGCATCAATCTGATCTGTATGAACTGCCGATGCTTCCTCAAGATCATGGATCCAAATATGAACGTTTCTACTCAGGTCGATTAGGTCAGCATCCTCTCTGTACGGCGGTGCGCTCATCACCGACTCCATTCGGTCAGCGATTTCTTTGGCTTGCGATAGCTCTTCCAGTATAACTTGGTTGTCATCCGGGTCGTTCAGTCCAGATTTTGGCTGTGATGACTTTAGCTTGGCTTCCTGTTGAACCACATATATCCATAGCCCAAACATAGCAGGATAAAAGTCTAAAGCATTCACTGCGCCAGGGTTTTGTTTGTAGAAGGGATACTGTACAATCAACCTCTCATAGTACCTTTTTGCGTCTTCGAATCCTTTTCTTGAGAACCATGCTTTTGGCCTGTCCGAACCCGTGTACTGCTCCGGGGAGGATGGACCGGATTGTTCTTGGCTTCTGTGCTGCTTCTGAGCATCCTGGCGTAGTAATATCTCGGCGCCAATGCCCCATCTACATTCTGCTCGAACATCAACTGGCCTACCTCCTACCTCATCGCGCAACATCATGCCCAGTGCTTTACCGGCGCGCGAAAAATCTTGCTCTAGCAGGGATCGGTGTAGTATGGTCGTCATGACAGCTAGATGTTGTTGATGCAATGACTGGACAACCAAAGACCCGTCTCTTTCTACATGGGAAGTATGAGCTGGTTTTAGTTCCTGCCGTAAGTCGTAGTCGAATCTAGAAGGCCGCCATCTGTTGGTATTATCTGCATGAGGAAAGGGATGACCTTGCAATGCGTCTCCCACAGGTTGGCCCGCAACAGCACACTGATAGATCTCGTCAGGGGTAAGCACTGCTGTGACTGCAGACCGTCGTGAAGAGGATAAGGTGCCTGGGGATCCGGTGTAGCTGTCGGGTAGCAGTGCATCCTGCCCTCTCTCCTGCTCGGAAGTATAAGAGCCTTGCCGTTTGCGCTTCCTTGAGCGACTGGCATTGTTCCTGATTTGAGTAGGGCGATGGAAGGAATGCAAAGGCAGACTGAACATGGTCGGAATGGGCAGTTACAGGATAATGTGTATAACTGTGCCACAAGATAGCCACGCAGCTTCAACAGAAACACTCAACATCATTCGGACTTAGTTTGTCAATGGGTAAACCGAACAGTTCTCCAAGTTGTGTGTTCTGTTTGAAGTAGGACGTGGCCATCTTCGTCAAGATTTATTGTGGTGTGGTAGTCCAGCTGATCCTGCCTGTGTCACATTCACGAAGCTCTTTTCAAGGCCAGGCGTTGATAGGCACAAGCAGCAAGGGTTAGAGATGTGAAGCAATGCTCAGGGACAGCGCAGGCGTTAGAAATGGCAAGACAGCTGCAGGATAATTGGCCCAGACGGCCCGGAGGCCGTTGTGCTTTAACTAAATCGTATAGTGCATTTCTGGTCGGCTCTGACAAGGGTTAGCAAGTAGGCTTGAAGTTTCGGGCGCTGGTGCAGGGTGCTACAAAGTGAGGGAGGAGTGCTTCTAAGGCACTCGTTTCAGATGTCTACCGTGTTGGGAGGCATTACTCTATCACAAGCATCCCTATCTGAACGACCATGCCAGACAGGCAGTAGTAGTGACTGACTAGGTGACACTATTTTATTTAGGGGCCATCCTCTGTTCAACTTCAGCTAAGTTAGATAGCCTGAGCAGCCAAGATCAACTCCTTCCATGAACAAACATCACTCAACACCGTCATCCAGCTCAACCGAACCTCACTCTCCATCGTGATATACTTCGGAAGTATCCAACACTCTTCCCGTATCGTTTTGCACCTTCCACGCAATCTCCGATCACAGGTATCACCTCACAGCATATGCAGATACTGCCGCAGCCTGCATGATCCGGCATCCGAAACTCCTCTCAACTTCCACCCTTCTTCCCTCTGAGGATCAACCTTCTTCTGTACGAGGCCGTTGCGCACTTCTACTAAGACGGTCGCAGGAAAAGCACATTGTGCGATCGAGAAAGTTCTGCTCAACAGCACGGGTATTGGTGTTTGTGTCTGGGACGACGAGACTGTCTCAGCCCTGGCACTTTTCCTTGCCCCAGAGTACTTAATGTAGGAACACCCACCACGAGAATCAAACAGAATTGCACAAGGCTGCAATTTTGCTGTAAATTGTGGTCTAAGGCAAAAAATCTGCACAAAATGATGCACAGCTGCTAAACATCGTCATCCACACAGCGAGCCGCCACCAGAATGGGGAATTCAAGCTCATCCCAGGCACCCAACTTCTTGCAAAGACATCCTAGACGGTTCCGACAGCTTCTTTCCGATCGTGGTGAAAATGACCGGCTGCATGAGAGCGAAACTACAAACCCATTACCAGTCCGCCAGCGTGCAGAGCCAGCAACAAGCCTTGACAGGCTACGGCAAGAAAGTCGGTCCGAGGTCAACATTTACGGCACGTTTAGAAGGCAAATATCTTCTCAGTCAATAACAGTCGAGAGAGAAACAGGTGAAACAATCGGAACAGATGCAATTGTTTATGAGCAGGAAGAACGTCCGTTGGTGAATATGGAGGACCTAGGAATGCGCGATGCTCCTATCACACACGTTGCTGCGGCACCGTTGGCAAGAAGGCAATCCACCATGTCCCGGCTAGGTTCAAGAATGCTTCCAAGCGCAGTGGCTCGGGGTCTCTTGAATAGTGGAGAGGAGACAGCTGCCGAAGGCCGCGCTCATCGGATGGGTCTTTCTGGAAGACGATGGAACGAAGAAGAATTCCAGCGGTTAGGTGATGGTAACAGATCTCGCCGCACCATTAACACAATCTTCAGAACATCAAGAACAACAACCTCGAATTCAAGGAGGCATACAATTCGAGGCCCGTTCCCAACACAATATTCGAGCGGTCAGCCAATCGGAGATGAGCCAGAGGAGGTAAATACTGCAAATGTTTCACCATCTTCAGATGTGTCTGCAGGTAGCCCTTCAAGTTCCGCACGTAGGCGTGCTCGATTAAGCAGGGTTGTTGATTCGCTATCATTTCCCATATATAGTCTCTTCAATCATTCTGCGGAGTCCTCAAGTCACCAGGCAGCCCCGCGGACGCCCCCCAGAAGACCCTCGCGAGTTGCGTTTGCTGATGACTCGGACCATCTGCTTCCACCTCTGTCGACTACGGATCCTCGACTTGACCTTGATGATGCGCCCCATGAGTTAGACGCTGTTGAGCCCGAAGCTAGGAACGTTTTGTCAAACTCGCGACTGTCACAGAACGGCATGCGACGTCTTCCCCATGCCTTACGATCTAGATCAACAAGACTGATTCGTCGTGGCGAGCACCCGCCGCTATCGCAAGTTCTGCAGCTCGCCGCTACGAGTATTGCAGCACAGCTTTCTGGCCACCCCAGTCCCTTGACATCTGGCATAAGATCGATGGGTAACGATGCTCTCGATGGCCCGATACAGAGCTTTGTTCGCACGCTACAAGAGGCAGCGGATGCTCAATCCAGTGAGAATACGAGTCCCAGTGGTAGTGCAGACGGCAATCTCCCACCAGTCAATTTCCTGAGGGTGTTTCAATTTCCTAATACTGAGCCTGCGTCCACAATGACATCCTTGTCTGGTAATGCTGCGGCTCCGGATCACGCTCCAGTAGAGAACCTAGACGGCATGACTGCAGGAACAAATAACGAGCGGACAGTAACACTCGTTCTTGTAGGGGTACGATCCATGCCATCAAATACCGAAGGCTCTGGCGAAGAAAGCAATCTTGGCCCAAGCCTTGATGCTCTTCTCAGTATGCCCTTCTTCCCTACCACCAACGTCCTTCGTAGTGGTGCCTCTGGTGCACTACTCCGTCGCTCAGAAGCCAGATCAAGGTTGAATAGTCGCCGAAATTCGATGACAAGTTTTAGCTCATTTCCTGCGCAGTATGACAGCCAGAGACATCACAGGCCGAGAAACACCATCAACCGATCTTCAACAGAATCATCCTCACCGACTGCTCAACCCAACTCAGTACCAACATTGTTGTCAGAGAGCCCACCAGGTCCTAATCCACCTCCTTCGACTCCCGCAGATGCTCGATCTGGAGCTGCAACACCCAACCGTCGGCCATCTTCTGCCTCCGCGATCCATTCTCCCATCCTCCCTCACTTGAATGAGCATCCATCGATCATGACAGACGAACGTTCTAGAGATACTTTCCTGAGCACTGCGAGGCAGAGGCGCAGAAGCGACTCAGAATTTGCTCGACGCCCAGAACTGAGCTCTGGAGCCACTCGTCGTAATGGTGTGGTTGAACCCGACAATGCCCCTCCTGGGGGAGGTCGCAGTTGGCTAATCTACGTGGTTGGTACGAACGTGTCGCCTGATCACCCAGCCTTCACAATGCCAACACTGTTTACAGACAGTCCATCCTACGAAGACATGCAGTTGTTGTCCACTCTCCTTGGACCGGTGAAGCCTCCTGTTGCCACTCAAGATGATGTTGTCTCCGCTGGAGGGGTCTACAATTTGGTGCAGGGGCCAGAAACTCTGGTTGGCCAGTCATTGACTAATGACGGAGAATCGACCATCGCAATACTCGCAGGTGACCGCTGCCTGATTTGTCTCTGTGATTACGAAGCGAAGGAAGAGGTTAGGAGATTGGGCAAATGTCAGCACATGTATCATCGCGAATGCATCGATGAGGTGAGCTATCTCTCAGTGCTAGTACAAGCTAAGGTAATGACTAACACAACTTCTAGTGGCTCACCACAGGACGAAATTCCTGTCCAATGTGCCGAGGACAAGGTGTTGACGAGACGCCGTCTGCACCCCCGCAGCCTACGACCCCCTGAAATATGTCCTTGCTATGAGTCAAGTTTAAACAGGCTAAGAGTTAATCGGATCCGACTCAATTTCCAAAGCAGCAGCATCGCATTCATTGGCGCTCAGCATGGGCACGGTCTTGTGGGCGACAACGACTGGTTCACATTCCAGATCAGGGCTTCCAGGTGTCGAGGCTTTTCAGCGTACATATTTGACATTGTCGAGCTTTTCCTGGATGGCACTGCGGCTGGGCAAGGGTCATAGGGTATGCGGTAGCAAACAGAAAGGGGGTTAATGTGCAAACCACGATCCGAATACCAAGGAATTGTTGACGAGCCTCACGTTCCGTTCTCTCTTAAAGGAGTGTTATTTCCAGGGTGCTGCAGCGGCTCAGCAGGCGTTTGCGATCATCCTCTCCAATCGAGCAGCTATGGTAGGGAGGAAAACCTACTAAGATAGTTGCTGCTTAGCTGTTGTGCACAGCCCTTTTCGTGATTAGACAGACAGACTCGCTTTGAAGGGCATTCTGTTTGTACTCAACTTGCTAACCGTGATTGCGTGCTTTGCACTGACACCCTCTGCCTTCCTGTACAATTTGATCCATCCTGACGTTCAATCTCACCCTCCGATGTAAGGACAAAATGGTCATGGTGGCGTGGGCCTACCTCACCTCCCTTTTACCTCACCCCCACTGGATCGTAACTCATCCTGTGTGAATAAGATATGTCAAACCAAACTACATGCATGGGAGTATAATGGCGGCTATTGTTAACAATCAGTAATTCTACAGCATCACGACTCATGAAGCAACCCACTGCACATGCTGGACTACAGCCAACATCGCCTATCGTGGGAAAACACGGGTGGACGAGCATATGGCAGAGCATGGCCAGATAGAGAAGAGTGCAGCACCAAGGTTCTTAACTTACTAACATATGATTTCTTCGTGGGGAGGTTGGTAGATGTACTTTGAAGATGATGGGTGAATTTGAATGGTGCAGAAAGCCGTTATTCGGATGAACAAGCACGGCAATGTTTGAAAGATAAGACCTTGCGGTGAGAGTGTGACTCACTTGTCTCAGTGAGCCTCAGCTCAGAGATGTACCTGTGGACCTTGTCTTTCACCTGAACAGAGGGGAGTGTGGCAAAGACCCTCAACATATTAACTAGTGTAAATGAAAATGAAAGACAAGAATATATGCAAAACAGCATTAGATCATGAGATACCCTAGGACCCGGGCCCCGAGCTAGTAAAAGAGGAACATCATGAACATGCCTGGGATGAAATCATCTGAATAGAACAGCTGTGGCGACTGTGAAGGTCTGCAGGACTGATCTCTTGTCCGGATATGTGCCCTAGTGCAGCAATGCCAGATTCGCCACAGCTCCAAGACATCAGACCTATGCTTAGATGCGTTCTCGTCCATCATAGGTCTGATGTGGATTAGCAGTGCAAGATGTAGGACGAGGAAGAAAATTTAGCGCGGAGTACAACAAAGAGACAGCACAATGTTGATTGATGGATGTATATCATGCCATGAATGTTTGTTTCAAGATGTCTCAACGACCATGCTCTATTGTCCAGGAACACCTAATATGAGACCTGCAGTCTTAGTACTTACGCGTCCAATGAACCCTGAAGTTGGACATGGCAGTGTACCTTGAAGGTGTTTGGGACTGTCACTCAATTGGAACAAGCGAAAGATCGGCATTTACATATTTTCTGAAGCACATCTATTTCCTGTTTTGGACAAGATTACAAAAACTCCCATTCTATTTTTGGGGCTTCCAGTCGTTTGGAATCAGATGTAGCCCTGCCGGAGATCGAAGATTGCAAATCATGTCCTGCCAAAAGGGCCAGACAAGAAATCATCTTCAGACTAATCAGGGACACTCCCAGGCGATCTGAGCCAAAACTGCCACTGACCTCAATTCAGACTTTTGGGGATACTCCGGTACCGGGCTGCAATATTCCTAGCACGGCGCTGGTATTTGTCCCTCGAAACAGCTATCTTACGTAATTACTAAGCCGATCATGAGCTAGCTGTATTGAAATAAGTCATTCCTATGGATACTGACAAGACAAGCTTCGAGAAAGCGCGGTGGCAACGTAATTGTTACTAGCCGCTCTTGGCACTGTGGTAGGGGTAGGTACTTCTGCCTCGTACCATAGTAGTTGTACCAATCACAAATGGTTCTGGCACAGAGGGACATGCATTGTAGCGGCACGCCTGCAGAGCAGATTCATGAATCATACAATTATACAATCATAATATCATACAATCATCCTGCAGTCGGCCCAACCCCCCATCCTGCCAGAAAACCCGCAGTCCAGATCTGACATGCGAGTATGTTGTTCATGCGTTGCCATCGCTATATCTCCACATTACCAAAGACAACCGAATGTATGGTAACCAATGGGAAGCATACCACAACAGCCAAGGTAATGATTGGCAAAGCCAACGACGCTTTGCTATGCGCTTGTGCCTGGTCAGGAGGCAGTGGCAGTGCAGGATGTTGTGTTCCTGGCAATGAGTCTCAAAAAGATTCCAAACCTGCGTTCAGATAAATTTCAAGCTGTCAAGCCCAGAGATCCGCCAGCACGATGCTGATCTCCCGCGTGGGTCATACCCCAAACATGACGCAGGGAGGCTGTGCAGATTACTTCATTGGGCAACATATCCGGAAAAGTGACTTTCTTTGAAGGTCTGGAACGAAAATCATGGCAATAGATCTCAAGATCTGGTTTCGATAGTGGCACCACCTGCAGATAATTTTGGGAACAATGCCTTTCCATACCCACCAGTACTCCGTACTCGAGCATTCCTGCGGGGGCCCAGGTTTTCCACTGCAGGCTTGCAACTGACACTTTGACACTCGGAGTTCTACCACGTTGTTGTGGCTTGACCACTTGAGCAAAGAGCCTGTGGCTTCATGGTGGCAGGCCACCCTCTTCCCCATTCCTCCATCAGGGCTCGTTTCAACGCCGCTCGAGGCATGTTAGAACTTCTCTGTGCGTGAATCTTAACCGTTACCGGGTTAGGTTGTGGTGTGTCAGTGTCATCTGGCAGGGATCACGCCCCGCCGGGACCATTCGTGCCCGATGTCGATCGAACCAGAATTAGAACCCACAACTATCTTTGCTACTTTGGGTTTGGCTCTTTTCTATAGCACTATGGACCTTGACCCTGGTTCAGTGTCTGGCTCTTTTTTTTTCTCCCACATCTTCTGCAATTCCACCACGAACCAGTATTCGGGGTTATCTTTTCTGCGAGTTCATTGGCAGTTCCTACTGCTGCGCCTTTCCCGCGACCAGATCCTGGACAATTCCCATCCATGATAGCAGATCTGCCAAGCTCCGCTGACGTTCGAAATCGTCCTCCTCCCACAGCTACATTACCGCATGCGCATAAAACATTGCTAAATTTGTGCTGTTCTCCGGCCTCAGCCTCTGTACCCTGTCATTCTTTGGGCCGCTGACTATCAATCAACCCTCTTCCTGCAGATTGCACAACCTAGATCAACAGGGGCCGGGGTCGATCCGATCTCAACCCAGATCCTTTTTTACCTCTAACTATATCTGCAAGGACTTTCTAGATCCACCTACAGCCTACCACTACAGGCCCGGAAAGTTTCACAACCGGACTCAAAGCTCAGGAAAGATTGCTGCGGAATTGGGATTTTGCTGTAATTGTTTACCAAACACCTCGAATTTGCCACAACAAGGGTGAAAACTCACATCGTCTAGCCCTGTCGAATCCCATCAAAGATATGTTTGTATGTCGTCTCAATCCGAAACAAGCCAATTGACCGTCTGGACTCTCCCGCTAATTGGGTACAAAGTGGTCTCACTTCGGGACAATCGCTACATTGGTTACTACTTCGGGGGTTGACGAGGAGCCAAGCTGGGCATCTTCACAGTCCATTGGTTACATCACGATAGTGTGGCCTTCTTTGTTGGGCATACTCAAACAATCTGCCCTACAGGGGCAGTCTATGATCGACGAATAGCATATCTGAAGGATCAGCCGTCTCTTAGCGCACGTTTTGCGCCGCTCTCGTGTAAGCAAACTGGGTTAGACTCCCCTCGGTTGTTTCACGGATTGAAATATCAACGACGAGGACGGTAATTCTGCTCGTGCTGCGCACACAGAGATCAGCAATCATTAGAGCTGTTCTTAGGATTCGTCACCTTGACGGCAAGACGTCACAAGAGTCAGTCTCAAAACAGATCCTTTCAGTGATACACAGTTGCTAAAACTGTGAAACCCCTTGTCACTACACCATTCTTTTGGTTGACCTTTGGGTCTAACTTGTTCACGGCTTTTCGGCTGTCAACTTCCCGCTTCACCAACGGTTTAGGCGCGAGCTTAACATCCTTGTTTAATCTCCCCTTGACGACCAATAGACCTCTCTAGGACGGTTCTTGTTGTAGCAGAGCTGCAGGACCGCTCGGACAGTAAGTAATCGAGCAGTCTTAGGTGATCAAGCATCCGCCCTTGAATTCGGTAAAAGGATAAACTTGCCACCATGCAGGGCTACTACTCCCACATGATGACTAGCACCAATGTCCCTGATTATGTCTTTGGGAATGGTAATACATATTCATATTCATATTCACTCCCTATAAACAATACTGTGCCACCAAATGTCCCATGGCTGTTTGGGCCGCAAACAAATTTGGAAGGAATCGCCTTCTGGTATCGATCCGATCAAGCCGAGCTTATGCCTCGACGACAACACATCTTGAAGAACAGGCCAAACTCTACGCCTGGGGCGGACTCCGTAAAGCATCGTCGGACTCGCAATGGATGTTTTACCTGCCGCAATCGAAGGGTCAAATGTGATGAAGCTCGGCCCATCTGCGATCGTTGTCGCAAGGGAAATAGAACTTGCGAGTTTCCACCACCGGTCAAACCATCAAAGCGGAAGCACAGGCCTTCAGGAAATCAGACAGTTTCGCGTCCCACCGGCCCAACACCGGACGAGGACGATGGACATTCAAAGGGTTCGGAAACTGCTCAGAACGCTGATGAACCGAGCGCCAACGCTGCAGATGCTTCGAATCGCCCATCTCCGGTCGAAAAGGCGGAAACAGAGGATGATCATACGCCAGTCAAGCCTAAGGTTCAGAAATCAGACTCTTGTTCAAGCGCAACCAAATACAAGGGCATCTCACCATCTACCGATGAGTGGGAGTCCATCTCAGCATCGGCCACACCTCCTTCGTCGCTCCGAAGTGGGACTTTTCCTTCTTCTTCAACCATAAGTGTGCCAGACCGCAACAATGGACCGCTCCGTTGGGCTCACCTGCCTGCGGACCTACAGAAGTATTTACAGTACCAGCAAGACTTCATGACCTACTATCATTACTTCTTCAAGCTTGATAACAACAACTTCCTCCACAACGAATTTATAGACCTCGCTCTAGAGAACGAGTCCCTCTTGTATGCGGCAGTGGGATTTGCAGCATATCACCACACCCTCGAACAGCCAGATGGCAAGTTATCAGATTTCCTCGGCTATTACAGTAAAGCTGTGTCCTTGCTAAGATTCTCGTTAGAGGAAGGACAACAGAGAACAGCAGCAACATTCTTGACGATTTTACAGCTGGCGACATTTGAAGAATACCTGGGTGATTGGGTCCATCTTTGCGGACACCATCGGGCGGCACATCATCTTCTCATAGAGCTATACACTCCTCAAACAATTCTGCAGACCGAGACCGGTCGACAGATTTTTGCGTGGTACTCACGATTCGACGTTATCGCCGGCCTCATGGCTGGGAACCAGACTGTTCTTGGTCGAGAGTGGTACATCGAATTCCAAGCGTATTACGAAGACCAAATCGACCCTGAAGATGTCGACATCGAGAATAACCTGGCGGCTGCAAGTGCTGCTACTCGTCTAATCGGCATGGACATGGCTGCTTTGTTCGCTCAGCTACCTCAAGGATCCATTAGCATTCAGGAGTTCACCGTGCAAAGCGAGAAGCTATCACAAAGAATTCTCCATCTGCGGGAGAGGATAGAGACACTGAACGATGGATACTACACCGTGCATGAGTTCCCAGACCAACATCCTCTTGGTCCAGATGATATAGTCGACCCTTACAAGGCAGGGGGTCTTTTCAGAGATGTCTTCTGGCCGCTCAACTATCTGTGGATTGATTGGTATGGTATGTACCAAATGCACACCCTGCAGACCATGACCATACTTCAGCGACCTTTTCCGCCAATAATGGAAGCCCTATCATTAGACCAGTGCAGGATCTTCGAGGCCATAGAGAGATGGCCCGCCAGTCCTAGAGGCAGCATTTTGGGTGCACACGAGAGCCTCGGTATTGCAGCTGTTTTCATCAAGAAGGACGAGAGGCATACGATGTGGTGTAGAAGGAAAATGGCCATTATTGAGCAGAAAGGGTAGGCCGTCGAAAAAATGCATCTATACCGCCGCAATCAAACTAATCAATTTCATTTAGATACATGTTCCCTGCTACATTCCGCAAGAAAATGGCGGAGATGTGGGCTCTGCCAGAGATCAACCACTGGTGGCTTCCCAACGACGAGGGATTTTCACCTTTACTACGAGAAATTCGAGCGTTCAGTGAACAGAGAACAAGTCTTGAACTTGACGAGTCGAGTGAAAAAGTACGAGATATTAGTGCAATATTCTCTGGTTTAGATGGCCAGCTACAAGGGAATACTTCGAACCTCCAAAGCAGTTGAAGAAGTATGATGGTTCATCTTTTCCCTACCCGAGACCTTTTTTCGGCCGGGCAGGCATTCTACCGGTGACAGCAACAAGCCGAAGACCTCGATCTTGAACGCAGCTACGACACAGCAGCGCCTTGGGAATAAATCAAGGCCTTTGAAGAATATGACACTCTACGCAACAACAAGAAAGAAGTCGTTAGCCTACTGCCAAGTGGGATATGCAGTTTAGATGATCACGATTTTATGCTGATGGATTTCAAGCGAGCAAATGATGGCGGCGCAAGCCAGAACACCCGTTGCAAACGACACTGCGATTGCATCTACGCGTTTTAATGCTAATCAACACCTTCTCCGCAGGTCGCAGGAGGATATTCTTCTACTACCAGCAGGCTTTGGAATGGGGTTACCGGTTTTTTAAGGGGGCAGTGGCGCTGAGCTTAGCCAGCGTTGGATTGATGTCCGTTACCAGCCTCGGGTTAGCTATAGATCCGAACACATATTTTAGCTCAGGGGCAAAGGGGCGTCTTCAAGATATTTTAACAGGCAGTATCATGTGAACAAGGGCATATGGTGGCTACACTTGGAGCAATTGCAGACACACATTTTAGTTGCAGACGTGTGAACGTCTTGATTGGCAGTTCAACTTGCGGCCACGGAGAGACACCAACCCGACTGTCTGTGGGAGATCTTCCGGTGGGCTTGCCTGAGAAACCATTCGCCGAGAGAACTATTAGCCAGCAAATATAGCTTGTTCCGCTACGCTGTGAATGGCAAAACGGGGGCGTCTCTCAGGCTTCTGTGAATCTAAGATCGTGATGGCTTAATTAGGCTAAAAGGGGCCGTTGACTTGGCGCAATCTTGGCATCCGCATCAAACAGTTTCCTGGTACCGTTCTCAGTACGTACTACGGCTACAGGCCTAATTTATGTACCCGCCTTGTTGAAAATGCTAGTATCCGTACAAAACGTACTATGTAGAATCGAGTATTGATGGCCCACGGGATGACCCAAATAGGACTAGTTTCTAGAATCGAGTTTGCATTCCATTGGCATCTACAACTGTTTCACATCTCGTCTGCATCGACTGAAACAGCTCCTTAAGATAGTCAGAAGGCACAGCAGCTCGTAGCTCATCGTACTTGTGCAGAGTATCTCTATCGCGCTCTGTATCTAATTATTCATCTGATGCAGAATTCGCAGAATGAACAGAATTCGTGCAATATAGCGACAGCGATGCTGACAGCGGTATGTATGTAAACAAGGCATTTGTAAGATATTTTGCCGGGAGGGGACCCAAATTACGTAGTAGGCTTGTAGTCGTAGTAGTACTACAAGTTGTAGTAGTAGTAGTAGTAGTAGTAGTAGTACACTCACTTCTCTTCAAGCGTATTAGCTCTGATTCGCCGCTCCTCACCTATCTTTCTTTCTTAGTACCCACCGTTGTAGCCGCATCGCCTACAGAATCATACTACATAAGCAGCAGAGTTGCTTTCAAAACCTACGCCTTAGGTAAGTCAGGTGTGTAAGCGACCCTCTGTCACGTGCTTACTCTACTTGGCAACAGAAGTGAAGAAAAATCTGCTCCGCACTCATCTCGAGAGGACATTTTATCAGTCAGTGGGTGTGGGTGCCTCGATCCAGTTGTAGGAGGACAGGTGCTTGACGTCAGTGATTAACGCCAAAGTAGGAGTGGTGAGGTCCAGGAGATTTAGGCGAGAGATCTCGGCTAGGGTAGCGGATGCCATTGCTGAAAGTTAGGCGCAAAACGACCATCTCATGCGCGTTTCCATGCTATCTGAATACCTCATCAAACTCCTCATGCATGAATTCTCGTCCAGCTGCCAGATCTATGGACACTGGATGAAGATATGGACAGTGAGGACGAGGAAGTATTTAGTAGTAACATTTGCAATGAAAACATGTTCTGTGCGCAGTAGTAATCTCATGATAAAGGTAAACAAGCATTCATTTTGCGGTCCCCTTTTTTTAATTGCACAGGCTTGCCTGGTAACCGCTGCGGCTACAAAAGAATGAGCTCGATCAGTCACGTGATGATTTCAGGCTCAGCCGATGCTGCGCAGGCATCCGGTCTGGCAGAACCTGCCCACCATGCATTATCATGGATACCCGGCGATGAGGTCTCATCCTTGGTCCTATGGATATTGTTTTCTCTGTCTTTTGTGCATGCTCAACCATGATAATGCTCTCGAGCAGGGACACTTACGGCCAGAACTACTGCCCATGTCAAGGGCGATGCGAGCCACCGCCAGAAATGGTGGTAGCAACCACTCTGATGCCAGGCCATGGAACCGATTAAAATCTGTTCGTTCAGATTGTGGTCTTACTACCTTTGCGCATCGTGATCGATACGCTGGACTAGAAGGACAATGCATGTCCTGAGCAAGCATAAAGCTCCTTCGGACATTCCATACCTTTGCTCGAATGTGCTGACGTGACACAGGTTGCAGGTCGATCTTTGGCTGAAAAAAATGTCCCTCAATACGGACTGCTCTGGCGGGCGCCTTCCAGCAGATCCTGCTCACCTTTGCTCAGCTTTCCCCTGCTCAGACCGCTCTGTATTGGGCTGCGGCCAACCGAGCAGCGGTCGGTGGTGGTGGAACAACGAAGCGGGCCAACGGCCAGGGTCAGAGGAAAGAGTTTTGGGTGATGATACAAAAAGCATAAAAGTGGATGAGAAGCACGAGCGGGACCTGCCTAAGAAGTTGCTGTTGGAGGCGGTCACGCAGGTGAGATTATCACCTTCGTCTCCGACTCCGTCACTTGTTTTCTAATGACGAAGAGATGGATACGGAGAAGACGCGTGTAAATGATACGTTAGTAATTATGCACGAGGAACAGAAGAATGCCACAATCGAACAGGGGAAGCTGATGAATCGCAAGGCTATGGATGATCCTGGTGACGCCAGCGATCCAGACCGGACGGGTGGGGAGTTCCGGGACGATTGCCGCTCGCAAGACGGACACAGTTTCGTCCAGGTCATCATTGTTCACGCCTCCTGAGAGCGATGATGAGCAGGATCGCACGTCCATCGCACCCTTTCGTCCCACCAGACTAATCAGAAGCTTCTAACATCATGTCCAAGCACTCGACGAAACTGGCGTTGTCGAGGCGTGGAATCCTTGCTCTTCCAAGGTTATGCAAGATATCTTTTGCGAACATCTAATTAAATTTTCACCATTTCTAGCATCAGTAGGAACAACAATGATTCCGCTAGAGGTTAGCTCGAGGTTCGTGCAGCTAGGCTGTCCTACTAACTTTTTCATCCTAGGAGACAAGGATGCTATGTATCGATGGAGCTGAACAGCATATTCATCGAATTTTTCGATGTCCCAGTCAACATCATTCCTGTAAGACGTCAGTACCATACGTTACAAGGAGGATGTTGTGCCAGTACAACTCGCTCACAACAAATGAAGAAGGCCCGTTCAGCCAGTCCTCGTCGTCCATTTTCAACTCATCAACTGGACGATTAATTGACACGACTATGACCGTGCAATCTCGAAGACTCGTATTTGGGACTTGCCCTAAGATTAGTCCACATCAAGTTCTGAATTATTGTTGTTTCGTACCGATGTTGATCTGATATCTTTTCGTGTTAAATGCTGTAGGCTTCTGGAGTTCCTTCAAAATAGGAATAATCTGGTCGTATCGATCACGACCTTGCTTCTCAAGGTGGGAAATGGTCGGTAAATCTAGACCATTGTACTCCATCGTGTTAGTCTCGTTGATTGACATTCTGGACACATAAACATACAGCATACAGCATACAGCAAATAGCCTAGTATCGTCTCGATCTCGCTAGAGGGCTGGCCAGCGAAGACGGCATTCTTTTCACTGTCTCTGAACTTCTGGGATAGCACTCCGCTTATCGTGAGTGAGCCTGTCGACATTCTTGGACATCTGATGCGCTGTGAGGCCTTGGCACTTGGCACTACATATTCTGTGTATATATGTCATCTTCTGCAGGATCAATCCTAGACTCCTAAGCATCACACATCTGGCATATCATACCATTCAGCTCCACAGCGCTGATGAAGTTAACTTTTCAAGAGAACGTTCGTCAAGGAGTTGCAAATATGTAATAATGCCAAGATTGCAAGGCAGCATTTGTCGCCAAGCTTGAAGACGCTTAGCCCCTCACTTCCTGTTTTTCCACCTAGTAATACCGGCCTGACACGCATCCAGGCATTTTCAGCGGTATTGAGCGTGTAGATGTGAGCACAGTAAACTTAGAACATTTTGCTGTTCTGGTTGAGGTTCATATGCATGCTCTGAGAAGTACTTAAAGATTAAATTCATTTCGTAGAGGAAGTGGGGTTGCAGGCAGACGGTGGGGAGAGGTGGGATGCTTGGTGATACAAGTAGTACGCCACACGCCACGTGTCCTTGGTGCTAAGCGTGGCTGCGTAACAAATCTAAAATCTCTAAATGGTTGTTGATCCTAGCCCAATCTGCCGCAGTCATTCCGCGACTGTCTCTATGGTGGACATCGACATCTTTGTGTTGCAAGATCAACTTGAGAGTTTCCATCTTGCCGTTAGATGCCGCAGAGAAAAGAGCTGTCCAACCATCATTACTTGCAGAGTTTACGTAGATGTCCGATCTCTGCAGCAAGCACTTGGCAATATCTTTCATGTCAGAGCTCGCAGCCCATTGCAAAAGGCACCTTCCGCCTGCGTCGCGCTGGTTCACATCGACACAGGGACAACATAACAAAATCTGTACTGATTTGGGGTAGCCTGGGGTATCTACCGCCCATGCCAATGGAGACCAACCACTCTCGTCTGGTGCATCGGCTGCGTCGGGAAATTTCCTTACAAGGTATTCTAATACGCTCTCTTTGCTGTCGTCGATTGATTCCGTGGCTTTGATGCTGTTGGCAGCCCATGAAATACTGTTTCGACCGTGTAGATCTGTGCTTGTAGCGTCAACCTTCCTGTGATGTAGGAATCTGACCACGTCTAGATGGCCTTGTTGTGATGCCAGAGATATTGCATTTCTTCCAGCATGATCCTTGACGTGGAGATCTAGACCGGGAAAGCTGAGCAGCTCCTTCAGGGTTGACAAATAACCAGCATTGCTGGCATGATGCAGCGAGGTTTGACCTTTGTGATCGGTACAATTAACGTTAGCTCGGCCATCCTTACGTAGAACTCTGACACATTCGATTGAGCCGTTGCGACTTGCTGCTATCAGTGCAGTTCGACCATCTGTGTCAGCTTGATCTACACAAATCGATTTGTGCAAGAGGATCCGACGTAGTATCTGCACGTGGTCCGCTTCTGCAGCGAGTACCAACGCGGGTTTACCATGGGAATCTTGCTTGTTTGGATCCACATCACTAGCTTCTAAGAGAAGGTCGCAAATTTCTTTGAAGTTGCCACGCGTAGCGACAGCTAGTGGCACGTTACGAGTGTTCACGGATGATACCGGTACGCCATGTTCCAACAGTAGTTTAACGGCGGCATAGCTACCGCGCGATGCAGCCCAAAAGAGAGCAGGAAAGAGCATCTGTGGCGTCTGTAAGTGACCTGAACTGTTGAGTAGGACTTGTACTATTTTGTACAGGTCAAACATTGCTGCAAGAACGATCGAACTCGAGTCACCGAACGAGGGCATCTGGAGGTACGATTGATATGCTCGATACTTGTACCAATTACTAGATCGACCAGCGACACACGACACAAGATCGAGGCCCATGGTAAGAAACTGGTTGTCCAACATGCTTCCACATCTGGCAAAATGATATGTCCAGTTGTTTGCTGCGTAATCATACGCTTGATAGCGCTGTTGGATATCCAAGCATCTTTCATTCCCAAGGCTCTCCTTGTCCCTGAGGAATTGCACTTCCCCAATTAAAAGGCTCGTAAACATGTCTTCGTCATCCATGCGTTGTCGATCAGAGATAGGACTCTGGGTGTCCAAAGAAGGCGAATCCAACCTTTCAATATCGAAGAGATCTGCAGGAATGCTTCGATCTAGCAGGTAGGTCATGCATAACCTAGCACAAAAGAAATGTGCTTCAGTCGGGTCCACGCCATGGCTGTTACAGAGAGGATGGAGAGGTTGTTGACCGAGTAATAGAAAGAACTCTCTAGCCGTAGAATGGACAAACTGTGCTGTGCTTTGTGGAAACCTGACCAACGGGCCAAGGGCTCTCTGGATGCTTCCTCTAACAGCATTTTCGTCGTCGGCCGTCATTGTTAGCGTGCATTCTCTGTCCTCTTCGTCGGTCGCGGTTAGAACATTTATCTCCGTAAGTGACAATGGTCTACTAGACACAACCAATAGCCGCAGGTAGCTTTGTAAAATGGCCACCTCGGTTGCGGGAATTGGAGGAAGGTATTTGGTGTATGCCTGCTGCAGGTCTTCTGGCGTGTTAGACAGAATTCGTACAAGGTCAGCTGCTCGGTGTCCCAGACCTCGCTGGATGTGCTTTAATACCATATCAAGCCACAAAAATGAATTCTCTGCCATTGACATGAGGCGGCCTCTAAGATATTGACCAGCTGCTTGAGAGCAAATTCCTCCTTTTACCAACTCCGCTACTCTAGTATCCACGAAGAGATGTATGTCGTGCATCATGCCTGCTGACCGATCCTCCATATTGATATGGTGGTGCTCAATAGACTCAGAGGGAAAGCTCCAGGATGCACAAATCTGTGGTTGACCACTGATGATCATTTTGATTTTTTTGAGTTTCGTGAGTTGACTGCTTGCCATTGAAGACATTGTCCGTGCAATTTTTCGAAATAGTCGTGACCCCAGCTCTGCATCACATTCATCCAAGGCGTCAATTATTATGTAAATGCACTGACAAGGTAAAATCAAAAGCACTTTTTCAAATGTTCGCCACATATCTTCAAAAGATGAATCATACTCTCGCTTCGCTGTACCGTAAGTTGTCTTGATTTGACAAATCACTTTCTTCCTTGACTCCGCAAGTTGGAGCACGAGATCCCGTAACAGAGATCTCCCGTCGTGCAAGCCTTCAACATCTCGGGAGCAGAAGAAAGAGCAGACAACGTGCTCAAAATGATAACCGTAAGTGGTATCGTACTGCTCCTTGAGATGCTCAACTAGATAATTAGTCAAAGTCGTTTTTCCGGAGCCCGCACCGCCAGTAACCCACAAAACTGACGACTGCTCGCCATACAACCATGAATGATACTGTGCGGTTTCTACGGACCACGTGCAGGTTCCCTGAACTCGATCATCAATGTCAATGTACCGACGGGGGCCAATCGATGCGAGAAACTCTTTTTAGAGATAGTCAGAGCTTTTTCGACCTTTTCAGCACTAGGTTGAGCACCGCACTACGCTTTTACGTACATTTTGGTGATTCCGCTGGTTTCGGAATGGGGTTTGCTATCTGGCGAATCCACCGCCTGAGCTCTCCAACCACTGCCGTAAATCCTGGGTCCTCGTCATAGGCAAATTTTGTCATATCCATATGGTTCTGTCGGATTGAGATGGGTATATAGCCTGGCACTGCGGCGGATTCTCGAGGAACGACCTGGGTGAAGTAAAATCAGTACTTGGTCAGGCTTGAGGAACTTATCTACCCACAAGTCCAATTCCAGCCAGCGGTAGCTCCTCAAAAAAACAAGTGATATCTACAGGAGGCAATTTCTCTTGATTTCGCGACCGGATCATGGTGAAAAAGCCGTCCTGAACACGTGCAAGAACCTCAGTCTCCCGTGTTAGGACTTCTAGTATTCCTGAATTTGTTTGCTTAATCAACCCAAGAGCACGCGCCAGCATTTCACCCCACTTGGCAAGCCCTGCCCCTCGATGAGGCGTTCCAAGGAAGACGATGCCGCGACAGCAGAAATAAATCTGCTTCAGATGTAGTTCTGGTCTTTCTCGTGCATGGATGAGGGCCTTCCGGAAGTGTCAGTATGTCATCTCACTAACCTCAGTCTAACTCACATCTTGACAAACAGGTCCACCTAAACTGTGGCACACAAATATGATTGGACGTTCTTGCTTAAAATCATATTAGTTCTACCATTGTGGGGGATTTGGATGTACTCACAGTGTCATCCTTTTCGCGATAGCTCGCGAGTGCTGTTATTAAGTTCATGGTATGGTTAGCGATGCGATTCTCGGATACTACACCACCGAGGTTCACTACGTTAGCATCATAACCGAATGTTAACACACGAATGTTGGGCAGCTCGGTCGGCAATAAAGTCTTCGGCCAAGGTTCTTGATTTTCCAAAGCCCAGGTCTTTTCACGATCTCCAGTCAATCCGTGAACAAATACAATGCTGCAGTTCCGACTTTGTCAGCGACGAATCAAGGTATCCGAAGAAGAGAAGAATAGATTTGGGAATCGGGTATGGCTCCAATAGGTAATAAGATTTGCGACTTACTCAACGACGCTCCATTGAGAAGAATATAGCGCTTTGATGCCGACAGGAAAGCTCTTTTGTGAAGTAGGACCCTCCTTCTGCAAAGCAGCAATCTGGGGTCTTTCGTCTTTCGTCTCGCCGACATCGTTCGAAATCCAGCGTTCGTGCAACTTCCGACCAAAAAGCCGGCGCATAATTGCTATGCCGTGCAAGCAAAGACGAAGGATAGAGTGTAGAAACCATAGCCTTGTGCGTACTAAGGTATTCAATCGGAATGTGGTTTTGGTGCAAAGTCTGGCGAAAGCAGAAGATAAAAAATTGTGCGGATCAACGTGGCTTTTCTATGATTCGCGCATCCTGCATCACAGGAGTTTAATTGGCTGCGTTGAGATAAGCAGCTTCACAAGGGGATATGGCTAGAAGCGAGCCGCGGCAAGGCCCGAAGCTTGGCGCCAAAATTTACGGGACTTCTTAGATCCCCCTTCTTCATTCCTCTGTTTCTCTACTATACTCACTCAAATCTAGGGAACAATGGATTCTGAACAGGGAAATAGACGCCGCGTCTGCCGAAAGTCTTATTCGATTGATCCTCCTTCTCCTGCGGCCTCACGAACGCCAAAAACGATGCTTGATACGCCGCGCCGTGCGCGCCTTCTTGCGCTGACGCACGCCATACAGCTGGCAAATTGCATCGTACAGAGCTATTTAAGATACATAGTGTATCTAGAACAACTGGCTATCGAATTCTTCAAGAAGGAACTGCGCGCCGCAGCGAGAAAATTCACAATCGAGGTCGCAAAAAGATACTTGCTCCACACGAATGCGAAGCTATAGAGGCTGTGGAAGATGCGAATTTTGGCTTTGCTTTAGCAAGCCACTTTAGGGTGGCAAAGGCTGTTGGTATAGCTAATGGCTCTGAACGTACAATTCAAAGAAATATGAAGGATTTTGGTGTGGGGACCTCTATGGCTATACAGAAAAAAATGCTCTTACAAGCACATCTTGATGCTTGAATTATAGCATTTAAGAAGTTTCGATAGTGTGATGAGTCCCATTTTGCCACTTGCTTGCAGCGACAGGCTCGATTTCATCGTCGCAAGGGCTATGAGGCTCGAAATGCCCTCTCAAAGACCCGCTCTGAACGTACAATTCAAAGAAATATGAAGGATTTTGGTGTGGGGACCTCTATGGCTATACAGAAAAAAATGCTCTTACAAGCACATCTTGATGCTTGAATTATATAAGGATTTGAACGTCAATATTAGCATTTAGATGCATTTAAAAAGTTTCGATGATGTGATGAGTCCTATTTTGCCACTTGCTTACAGTGACAGGCTCGAGTTCATCGTCGCAAGGGCTATAAGGCTTGAAATGCCCTCTCAAAGACCCAATTTAGATTGAAGCGCCAAAATCAATCTGTGCACGTGTACAGCGTTATTAGATGGAATTTCAAGGGTCAGCTCCACTTCTATACTGGCTCTGGTATAGGGGGACGCCTTGTTCAAGCTGATTACATGGTTATTCTTCAGCAAATCGTCGCTTCTGATTGGGATAAGAATTGCGTTTTGATCGAAGATAATGATGGGCCTCATGGAACCAAAGGCAAGGGATTTAATAAGGTCAAAGCTCTCAAAGCCCGCCTTAATATCCAATGGGAATCAAATCCTCCGAATTCGCCAGATCTCAACCCTATTGAGACTATCTGGAGGATAATCAAGCAGAGGTTGAAGTCCAGGGGCGTTATCTTCGAAGAAGCCATTTTGTGGCGCGCTATTCAAGAGGAGTGGGATAAAATAACCATCGAGGAGATTAATAGGGCTATCTCAACGATGCCAGATAGAGTAGCTGCCCTAAACGAGCGAAATGGGCGCCCTATCCCCTATTAAATAGCCGTGTAGCATAGCAGGAATCTGAGAAGTCCCGTAAATTTTGGCGCCAAGCTTCGGCCCGGAGGACGGTGCCAAAAATAATGATAGTTCTCACCCTCCTCACCCACCCAATAGCTTCAAATATCAATCAATCAACAACCACAAGCTGTATTAGATCTCTGAAATGCCTAGGCCTAACAGAACAAGCAGAAAAACATGCGTACGATTAACCAGTCATTTAAGCCACTCCCTGCGTCTCCGCGCAAGCCATCTACTATTGTTGACACACCGCGACGTACGCGCCTTATTCGCGACACAGAGCTTACAGCATGCAAATGGCCTCGACGTGGGCTGTTTAAAGCCCACAGAGTCCCTGAAGCTACTGGCTATCGAATCCTCAAGTCCAGATCCGCGCGCCGTACAGATTTAGTACATAACCGTGGTCGAAAGCGGGTCCTCGCCCCCTATGAATGCTAGGTAATAGAAATAGCAGAGAATTTATCATTTCGAAATAATACTGCTACTCATTACGCCAATGCAGCCTCTCTTGGTCTGGCAACAGGATCTGAACGCGCGATTCAAAGAAGTATAGCTGAATTTGGAGTGGAAGCCTATCGCGCAGAGCAGAAAAAATACCTTCCAAAATCAACAATGATGAGCGTATTATCTGGGCATTTGAGCGTCGACGATATCAGATTTCAGACTTTCAACAGTATCGATATACAGATGAATCTCATTTCAGTTGTGGTCTACAACGACAGGCTATATTACATCGTCGACGAGGAGAAAAGGCTCGTACAGCTTCGATAAATGTTGGCGAGAATGAATAGTATGTACCTGACGTGTACAAGTGGACTTAGGAGAGAATCCAAAGATCTTACCGCGTGCCAACGCACGGTTGTATGGAACGTAAGCCGAGTGGGCTGCAGCACGCTTGCCATACTGTTGCTGCCGCTGCCTTCCGTATGTCTCGAACATAGAGGCATTACTTTGTCACCTTCTGACTTCCTCTCACTAGAAGCTTATCAACGCTTTCTAATGCTATGACCACTTAGACAGAACGGCTTAAAGCATTTTAGAATCAATCAATTGGCTCGTCCATGGTACCACCACATCGGACGACTACAGATGCTGCACTCTCGAGTCACTGTTTCAGTCCTCAATGACACCTTTGAGGATGCTGGATGTTGACAACTTCGTACTTTCAGCAAAGCGTTTGGGCTGAATTCAGCAACTGCCGCGGGTGGATGACTGTTTGTGATGCCTATGACTGAGATATCGAGCAATCCTTCAGCAGGTGTATGCACCTCTCCCTTAACCCGTTCGGAGCTACATCGTAATAATCAGCCATGTGCAATTTTCTTAGGCTGCATGGCTTCGATGAGCATCCACCGCACTGCCGTAAAGTAGCAGTAATTATCATTGGCTCATACAAGGTGCCACCGAGAATCGCTCAACTACGTAGTAATGGGAAGATTTATAGTCGGCGAACCACTCTTTTGTATATGGATGACGCGAGGGGTCAGAGGTGCACGCTAATTACATAGGGTACGACATCAGCTATCTTTGGCGCAAGACATATCACGAGATAGTCTACCAGCCAGAATGTCCAGTCCAACCTTAGGAGCATTCCAAGCTGCGTCGAACGCGGATAAGGACCAATGATTTTGGGGATCACTTTCCAGTATTGTGGATATCATACCAAATGCACGCGCATCGCTTAATTGCCCTGTTAGACCAGCTGCTTAATGGAGTAGTACTACTTCAGCCGCGGGATTGAGGCTTAGCATGTCTTACATGTTACTATATAATACCGAAACAAGCTTTAGGGACCCTATCCAGCTGCCACTTCCTAGCAAGATAGCCTTGCTCTAATAGACGGAAGGCTGAGATCTGAACTGGTCAGGCAGCTGGGATACCCGATCGAAGTTGGAATGCAAGATGTGGCCGTGGATTGTTGCTAAGTCAAAAGTTTCGGGGCTATTAATCTAGAGCAAGGTACTTGATATTAGCTGAACGATTGAGATCTTATGCTCCCTATAGGTGGCAACGGTACTTGAAATGTCTTAGTAGTATGAAAAGGGTGGATCAGCCGGATGGTTTAAAGATTGTTAACCAGGTACGTTCAAGTTGCTTACTACTACGTAGTACGTACCTACTAGTCTAGTTAGCGTACCCGATCATGCAGCCACCCAAAGACCTCTATCCTTGGCACGGCAATTCTCCAACTGCTACGTACTGGTGGTCGTGCCAGCTTTACAATCCGATATAGGCAGAGAATGTCATGTTTATACCCAATTGAGAGTGTCATTATACAGTCTCAAGCTCACTCCACTTGATAGCTCGCCAATGAAAATTGTCTTTTAATGGCGATGATGCCCAGCGCAGTCTCTGGCAACCCCTACGAGAACGACCCCGTTATTGAGCAGGACCTGATAGATCCCGATGGCAAGTCATGTCCTCTGTCAGGCATGCAAGGCGAACTCACACTGACCTGAGACTCAGACAATGACGCAGATGATCCTGTTCAGATCATATCGGATCGTGCTCCACTGACAGGCAACATCCACTCGTCCTCCTCTCGCACGCCCGTCTCTCAAAGCTACCTAACCTCCTCCATACCTGGTGAAGATCGAAGAGCGCCGCAAAATACGATCGACGAGAGCGTTTGGCAAACCGTGTCGAGAGACTTGCTGGCAGTATGGGAGAAGATGAAGCAGGTGCTGTGGCCTAAATATCTGCTTGGAGGAATGCTGCAGAGGGGTGGTGGAATAGCTGCTGCAGAACGTGGAGAAATGGACGGATTTGGGAGAGGCCTCCGTGGGATGGTAGGAAGGTGGCCAGACGCGGATGGTATCTTACAAGGGGGAATGAGTGAAGGCCTCCGAGATTGGGATTTATGGTATGCCGTGGAATCAACACAGGTTAAGGAGTGCTAACAGATTATGATAGGGGCCCTCTGGTGTTTTGCCTTTTACTCAGCATGTTCCTCTCGATAGCAGCATCAAGTGCTCAGGGAGATCTCATCTTCTCGGGCGTTTTCTCAATCGTATGGATCGGAGAAGCAGTTGTAACCGCACAGATCAAGCTTCTGGGTGGCAATATGTAAGAACTTCTAATATCCTCATCAAGCTGTCACTGACTATGTCGTCCAGCTCGTTCATGCAGTCCGTTTGCATTATCGGATATACCCTCTTTCCTCTCGTCATCGCCGCTCTCCTCAGCGCCCTGGGCCTTCCCTCCATTGCTCGCATCCCCGTTTACATTGTCCTTGTTGGTTGGTCATTAGCAGCTGGAGTCAGCATACTGGGCGGTTCTGGTGTGATCAAGAATCGGGTTGGTCTCGCGGTATACCCATTACTGGTTTTCTATGTTGGCCTTGGATGCCTCTGTTTCATTAGCTAGATGGGGCATGCGGATGCCCAGCTCAATTGATCTGGAATTACTAATACTAAATTAGTATGTGAACCATGCGGGACAAGTGAATTGCACACGCGGACATAGCATGTAGATCACTGGCCAGATCGATCGTGGACGCGCCTGAGGCTCTAAAACGAAGGCGCCGCTGCGGGGCACATTTGTGTAATTTGGAGATTGGCGAGTCAAACATTCGACATCAAAGTGATTGACGCAGGACTGAAACTCCACCCGGAGGCTTCAAATTGGGACCACATCACAAAGAACGCTTCCAGTCATTTTGTTTCGTGTGGATTCGGGGCGGGATCCACCAAATGTGACTTTCCGAGGCAATATCCACCAACCACACTTCGACTTGGGGTAAAAATTCCCATCAATGATAACGCTCTACAAGAACGATCAGATACTCATATTAAAGCAGATCAGGGTTGAAGATTCTTGAACCTCGCTCAAGATCCCTGACTGGCGTTGAATAACATCGGCCGAGTCCTTGAGTACACAACACATCAAACTTGCCCCACCGCGATTGATCCTCTTGAACTCGGTGAATTCGGGTTCAGGCAGATATCGAGTATCCTACCTCTTCTCCGACCCACGTTCTACAGTTTCCTGTGTGTTTCCACTGAGGCTGACATTGTGTGTGGCTTTATCCAAATCCTTTTGGACCAGGACGTGGAGGAGCACGGAGCACGAAGACAGAGTCTGCCAACAAAATGTCCTCAGACGAAAGGAAAGATTTGCCAGTGACCACTGAGCAGACTAAACAAGCGTCTCGGACTGCATCACCTCTGTCAGGTGCCTCTGACAATGATGGCACAGAAAAGCCAGTCAGAGAGAAATTGAAGGAAACATCGATTGCTGGCTTATCTGCCCATGTCAAGAAGAACAAGGACCGAGGCAATGCGGACAACGTTAGTGCAGCGTCCTCAGCTGAGGAAGAGGACTATACTCCAGAAGACACGATGCTTACAGACACAACCTCGCCGTTACGAGGTAGACCAGCACGAAAGAGGTCTTTTGACGATTTACAGAATGAGTCCATGATCAGTATCGACACAGTTACGCAAAATGACCCTACACAAGCGGAGGGTACCCACAAAAGAATGCGATCCAGGGATATGTCGTCGAGCAAGATAAGTACAATGAACGGCAGGGTAGACAAGGAACAAGTAGTGCCCTTGACCGAAGAGCATGACGTGGAAGCAGAGAAGTCCCCTGGTGGTGCTGGACTTATGGTCGAGGCACCGTCGATGGATGATCATGACGACGCGGTAACTGGGAATCAAAGCCCGAAGAAGAAACGCAGCCGAGATCAGTTCGACAGAGATCATGACGGCGAAGGTGGTATATTTGAGAAAGAAGAGAAGCCTGCGATTCCATCACAAAAGCAACCCTCGGAGACAGGGGACGAATTGACTCGAACCACCACGAATAGTGATAAGGGCGAGCCCGATAAGAAGAGACATCGAGATGCTTCGCAAGAGGGCAAGAAAGCGACTGACACAGAGCAGGTGTCTCCAAAGGTATGGAAATGAATTTGACTCGATGAGCGGTGGTGTATTGCTTCATGCTGACTGCTTATGCTAGGTTGAACAGTCATCTGGATTTGCCAACACCTCTGCTGTATCTCCTTTTGGAACATTAGCATCACCTAGGTCTCCATTAACCGCGACAAAGTCACCCGAACCTGAGGCCGCAGCAGTGGAAAAGCAACAGACCTCATCCTCCGCATTCGCATCATCTGGGCTTTCTGCTTTTGCCAGCTCCGGCAAATCGCCCTTCTCAAGCTTAGGTACGTCTTCTGGCCCTGGCTCGGGATCTGGATTTGGATCTTTTGGGCCTAAACCGGGCAGCGGCCTCGGCTCGTCTTCGGGCTTTGGTGGAGCATCCCCTTTTGCTGCAAAGGCGGCGTCTGGGTTTGGTAGCCTTGGTGGAGGTGGGTTTGGCGGTGTATTGGGTTCAGGCTTTGGTGGCACGAAGACTGTCACCTCCAGCTTCGCTCCGTCTGGCGGGCCCACCGGTATCATTGGGAGCACCTCGTCAAAGCCATTCGGAAAGACCGACGAGGACGACGAGGACGAAGACGAGAACAATGATGCTGCAAGCTCGAAGGCGGATGATGAGACGAATGAGAGAGATAGTAGGTTTTATGAACAGCCAAGTGAGTGTCTGCAACTAATATTCATACCACTGATGCTGATCCAAGTCTAGCGGAAACCGGCGAGGAAGAAGAAGAAACCATGTTCTCATGTCGAGCGAAGCTCTTTCATTACGAGAAAGAATGGAAAGAGCGAGGGGTGGGAACCGTGAAACTCAACGTTCATTATCCACTCAAGGAAGACCCGGAAGAGGCGCTAGAACAGAAAGCTCGGCTGATCATGCGTACGGACGGTGTGCACCGGGTGGTGCTGAATACACCAATATTCAAAGGCATGAAGTTCGGTACGGTGGATGGGCAGGAGCCGACGGGTAAGACGCTCTATCTGACCGGCATGGAGGATGGAAAGCCCGCCTTGTTCTCGTTAAGGGTATGTGTCCGTTGATCTTAAGTGAGAAGCGTCCATGAGAGAAGGCTAATGAGGTTGTTTGCAGACTGGGAAGGAGGAAGTGGTCAGGGATCTTTATCACCGAATCTCAAGCATTCATGACGGACTGTGAGAAAGCTGTTAGAGTCCCAGAGCTGTTGGGTATGGCGGGACAGTTTGCACGGGCGGCTGAATGCGAACTGGCATCCCGCACGGCTCACGATTGAAGATTACTGCATAGGTTGGAGCATTGGACTGGTTGTCAGCAGCACATAGACGCAGCACCAGTTTCGATCCTAGATAGAGAAGGACACTACGAAATGGGACACGAGAACAGGATCTGATTCCATCACCTTGGGGACTGCATCCTCCAAAGCGTACCCGACTTAGCATTACATCGAAACAGGTTGGAGTCCATTCAATCTTCAATCCGTAACCTCGACAGACCATTCAGTCAACAGATCGCAGGCGTTCCTGTAAGCCAGCTTCCCTCGCTCACTCACCCACTCAAGCGAGGCTACCTGTTTTCCCCGTCCGTCACTCTCTTTTGATGTCTTCTCCCCCCCGTTTCGAACGAACTTACGAATGAATCAACCGAGCGAGAGTCGTTGACCAACGAATCCTTACTCCCCAGCAGAGAAGAGGAAGAATAGGAGGGGGAAGAGGGGCGAAAGCAAGCAAGCAAGCAAGCAAGCAGTCAGGGCTCCTGATATACCAAATTAAGCCTATCGAGTTGAGTGCTTGGTGTAGCGTGGAGAAAAAAAGCCCAGGCGCTGGGTTGGCTGGCTGGCTGGCTGGCGATGGGAGGAATGTCTCGTCTGCGCTGCGTGCAATGCATCATACGTAGTACTACTAACTACTATATTTTGCTAGGAGTAAGGGTAGGGGTCGGAGTCGGAGTCGGAGTCGGAGTCGGATGTGAGAGATGCGATGGGCAAACGAAATCAAACGCGTCGTTGTTGAAAATACATCATGACGAAAGGGGGGTTTCAGGGGAGCTGGCTCACGTATCATATCGCATCACATCACATCATCATGTTCACCGATCGCTTGGTTTGCCTTGCAAGCTGATCGAATATGTTTTCTCTCTCTGTCTGTCTCCATGTTTTCGCCCTCCGACGTTCTGTTCGTTGGGGGCCTTGTCAACTCAACTACCTGCAGCTCGATTCATCGGACCCCAGTTCGGTCGCGGGTTGAGTTGGTATCGACACAGTTTTCGCGGAGATTTTTCCTTGCCTAATGCTTCGTCGAAGATGATCTCGAGCTTGCTTGCATCGGTGGCGCTCACCTCTTCGTTCTTCTTTTCAGTTTCTACCTCCGCCTCCGCTTCGCTCTCGCTAACGCCATCTGCCCTGTCCTTCTTCATCTGTCCAACACGCGCACCACCACCACCACCACCATTGTCTGATCCCTCCCTTCCCAACCTGAACAGTGCAGCCTCGAGCCCTGTCTTGATCTCATCTACCGTACCCGCCTTCCTCACCAACCCCTCCACCTCGTATTTCCAATCCTGCGATCTCGCCCTCTCGCTCCCCCTTAGTCTCCCCAGAATCCCCCAGCCCGCCATCCCCTCCGTAATTGCGCCTTCTTTGGCCGGTGCTCTCGTCCTCATCCACTCCCTCATCACCTCCCAGATCACCGTCCAAGGTGTATCGGTTTTGAAGGAACCAGGTTTACAGTGTGAGCGTGTGACGCGGTAGCCGAGGTGGCGGAGGGCGCCTCGGAGGCAGTCTTCGGACGGGGTTTGACAGTGGAGGATTTTGGCGAGGTAGCTGGGGATGAAGAAGAAGGGGTGCGAGTCCAATTGAGAGGGGGGTGTGCGAGGTATGGGGAGGGTAGATGGTCGTGGTTGGGGGTCGGGGTTTGTGGCTGGGACTGGAGTCGAGGTTGTGGAAATGAGCTTTTGGTCTAGATTAAGGTCTTCTTCAAGCGCGACGGTAAGCATGCCTTCGATTCGGGGCATGGTTGTGTAGGTTGTCTTGTCTAGCGAAGGGAGCTTGTCGAGGATGCGTTGGATGAAATAGGGATTGTGTAGCGGGCCGGCCCATACGGGACCGCTGAGATGGGTTTTTTTGCCGCAATGCTCACAGAATGGTGCAGCGTTTGGACCTTGGGCATAGCTGTGCTTGAAGTACATCTCTCCACTCTTGGATTTTTGCGTGTTATTTCTGACAAGGAGTTGCGTGGTCCATGCTCCGCAGCCATGGTCACAGCTGTAAACGATCATCGTTGTGCCGGCAAGGAGCTTTACATCCTTCTGCTGCTTGTGGATGCGAATGAACAGGCGAGCGTAGAAGTCGATTGATAGAGATAGAAGAGGTTCAATGGCGATGCCGTATTTGGCGCCGGCAGCTGCAATGGCGTGAAGAATCAAGCGAAGGCCTCCTTCGTGAGAGTGGGCGCCCTTCGTTGGAATGCCGCCATACAGTGCGTATGCTTTTTCAGGATAGCCATTCGAAGCAAAGACTCCAGCATCGGTGCAAGTCACGCAGAGTAAGCCTCCATCTTGGATAGCTTGTAAAGCAGAGTCGAAGAAGGGTGCAGCAGTTCCATAGGGATCAAGATCGATGACATCAAATCTGTGGATAGAGGTGCCAGAGGAAGACGTCTGTTCTATCCCAACTTTGCTGTACATATAGGCACGAGCATCGCCAACGTTTGAGCAAACCTTCCCTTTGAGGCCATTGTGGTCAATGTTCATTTCGATTGATTTGGCAGCATCGCGAGACAGGTCATTGGCGATGATCCGGGTGGCGAAAGGAATTTCTTTGGCATAGCGCAAAGCTCTGAGGCCAGTGGCGGATAGAGCATCAAGAATCGTGAAACGGGGACCATGCTTCGACCCTGTCTCTGCGAGTTGGTCTGCTGGCCCGTCCAAGCTGTTCGGATGAGATTGAGTCTGGCCGTTTTCATACGTTTGCATCATCTCCAGCTCCTCGTCGTCTAGTTCGGGAACATCGGTTTTGGTTCGCTTGGCATTATATTCGTCTGGACCAGAGCTGGCCTTGCCGAAGGCTTCTTCTGATGCCTCATCCGCTCGCTTTCGTTTTCTGGAGCCATCACTGTCGCGGAGGTCGGGTTCCACTTCAATGCCTGGGTCAGAAGCGGTTCCGTTGGCTGCCTTCTTTTTCTTGGCGTTCTCCCTCTGCCTCTTGGTCTGTCCATGCTTCTTCTGGTACCTTTCAGCCTTCTCGACCAGTGCCGCTTCACCATAGGCTAAGATGGCAAGAACACTCAAATCACGATTGAATTGCTGGACAGGGTTGTAGAAGACTGCCTGCTCGCCTTGGTCGTTGTTCCTTGGCTTTTTGCCTTTGGTGGTGGCATGGTCGGCTGGTGCTTCACGATAAGGAGCTAATATAGACGCAAGGCCTTCTCGAATTGGCCTATAATTGATGCCGTTGACAGTGACAGACTCGGTAGCCGGCGCTGTGGGAGTTGAAGTTGACATCCTTGATTGACGTTGGAGTAAACATGGGAAAGGCTTGCGAAACTGGTATCGCCTCCGTACAATTGCGTCACAAATTACAAGACAGTTATCACTTGCGCTGCTTCCGAGTTTTATCAGCTGTATCCTCATCAGCTCGAAGTAGGATAGGATAGCCTTCTCTCTCCTGAAGTTGGTGAGATGGTCATCTACATTATCTATCCAAATCTATCCAAATTTGACGACTGGGTGACTAATGTATGCTTGGCATGACCCCTGAGGTAGCCTTGGCATGAATGGAGGAAACCGGGTAACTTGGTGGTCTTCTCGCTACAATCCAGCTCCCGGGCCATATATCCCATTTATTCGACCCCTTCATGTTCCAAATGTGAAACCACTTCCCGTCAAAAATGATACAACATTTTGGAGCTAAAAAAGACGACCTGCAGTATTCGTAACTGCGCTCCCAAAGGAAATGCGTGAGCACTTGGTCCAATGGAAAATAGCAGCGCCTTTTTGATAATCAGTCTTACACCGCGTTACCACTCCTCCAAAGTGTCAAGGATTTCTTCTCCGAATATTAATCATAGCATATTACTTTTTCTGGTGGCGCACCCAAAGGAGGTGTTTCTACCTTGACTAGCCTCGGCTCGTCTGATCCTCCTCCGGTGTCACTGTTCTCGTAAATCTTAACACACAACAAGCTGAGATTGATGTGAGACCGGCCTTCAGGCAATCAGTCTCTCCGATCCGTGTGTTATGTCAACACATTTCGACTGCGCGCAGCAAGCTCTCAGCACGTGCTGTATATATGCCTCTGACCCACTTTAAAACAACGAAAAGCCCCTGCCGTGGTAAGTGATTTCTCAACATGAGTGCTGAGAGTCGCTACGAGGGTCTGTCCGAATACTCTTTGACATGGCTTTGCGAGATCCATTTTGTGCTGGAAATTGTAAAGCGCTCTCTACCAAAGGATCCGATTGCGTGTGATCTGGCAGGTCGAGATACAAGGCCATGCCAGAAGCGTGTTCTTAGTTCGTTTGCATCTCACAACCTCGGAAGGGACCACAAGTATCAGGCGATGTATTAGAAAGCTTCGGCGGATTCAACTGGCGACCAAAGTCTATCTTGGACGCGTAGTACTTGGCCGACAAACTGGCGGGGACTTCTGCATAGACTCTGTGACGAGGCAGGACCCTGTGCTGAAGGAGCCATGAAAAGAAAGAAAGAAAGAAAGATGCACTCGAAAGTGACGCTCTCGTTGCAGACTAAGAACCGTGCCAGCTGGTATTCCGCCACTTTGCGCCTCCAAAGCTAGCTGCTAACTGAAGAGTGATACAAGATTCTGGAATTGAAGCAGTATCGGGGAGCGTTGAGAGCGATAGCTACACCATAAGAGTTTCATATCGAGAGAGGAGAGAGCTCGAGACCTACTTGTAGGGATTCTGTGTGACAGAATGATTGAAAGATAAGGACTTCTTTCCGGTGCAGTCAGCAGGAGTTGAAAGCCAGACTGCGAAATGATGGATCGAAAACCATAGGCGGTCTAGGAACGGTGCGATTTGCTCACAGATCGTTTGTTTGGTTAAGTGTGACCAGCTGACTCAACTCAAACATTCCCTAACTTCAATTTGATCACTCCACATATCTCCTACTACTCTGTTACTTCGAAGCATTGTTCTATTCAGCTACTCAGCTACATCGATAAGTACATCCATGTTGGCTTCCAAACTCAAGCACCCTTCACAAAAGAATGTCACTCAACTCAGCCCTCCAGGGAGATGGTTCTCGAAGTGAGTATCTGATATCCTCGATGACGGGACTTGTGTTTATCTCTGACATCTCTTGAATGCATAAACCTAGCCATAACTAACCTGACACCTCTAAGCCTTCCATACTTCAGACATCTCTGAACAGTCGAACATCAACCCGCCCAGTGGCTCAAAAGCAGCATTATCAGAGGTTGTATTGATGCTCTTAGTAGCGCAACTCACGAGTATAGACAAGTCTGAGCAGCCTGCTAGCATTTACGAGGACGATCTGTGACGACGCATGTGAGGACCCAGCGGCTGCTGTGGAAGTGGCACTGTCCTGAAAAGTATTGTTGCACTCACGGAATGCAAGAATTTAACAGCTGAGATCTCTCACTCCCTTCACGCTCCTGACGGTCACCCATTGTTCATATCTACTTCTAGCGGTACTCTTGTACATACTCGATATTGCTGGATTTCTTCATTCGTTCATGCTGTCCTGCTTATGGCACGTCTAAATATCGGGCTAGAGACCAAATCAATGGGCTCGAGGATCCCTTGGTGCCTTTTTGCCATCTGGAACTCAAGGCAGCTTTGTCTACCGATACTTCATCAAGACATTATGATTAGTCGAAGGCCTCTCTGCCCTTTGGTGTTCCCTACGCTGAATGAAACGAGTCAAAGATCGAACTGGAAAAGGACGGTGCACTTCTTACCCACTTATGTGTGCCTTTCTCTTCCTATAAGATTTTTAACGGGGCCTTGGAAGCAGTGATGATAACGCTAGGTACACTGTGACGGGCGTACTGACCACGATTGGTATCATCATCGTTGTCGCCCTACCTCCTCCCTGCACATGTAGTTTAAGAGGATCTCCGTGAAAAGCTCACGTCTATACGAAATCGAGTAACAGATTAGGAGCTGCAATGTGATGATCCTAGCTGGTCTACGAGATCTTTCGAGATAAGAGTAGACTTCGAGTCTCCAAGACCGTATACACTCCATGCAATGCCGCTCTTCATCGAATATTGTATGGATACCCTTCTTCATGCCAATCTCCCTATTCAGCACGCAACGCCTGCGTCGAATGCCAGCAAGGCACTTACAAATCCAGGCCATCCCCGAACACCCTCGCAAGAAAGACCCAAGTGAAGACAACTCCTGCTGCGACCCAAAGTTTGTTCCTCCTCAACCAACTCTGCCCTGCTTCACGTGCTGCCCTACCTTCCTGGACCACAGCACCCACACCAGCACTACCACCAAGCCGTCTCCTCAATGCAGCAGCTTCGGGAGAGCATTGCAATGTGGTGTCATTGGCATCTGGTAGAATACGGCCAGTAGCCGAATCGATTCTGTTCTCCTTGATCCATTCCCAATTGGCAGCATCTAGCTCGGGCCATTCGAAGCGAAACTTAGCGCCTCCATCACCTGCTTTGATGTTACCCACACCCTTTGACGTTGGATGTATACCTGGTGTTGGTTTGGAGGCCGATCCACCACCAGTAGAGTTCCACCATCTGGACCGTGCAGCATACCATCTCCTCTCCGATTCAGATGCGCCCATACTTCCCGTCGTCATCTCCTCGCTGGTCATGAAGGACATAAGGCCAATGAGTATTGTCGAAACAGACCAAGCGGGGTTGAACGATTTGGGGTGGAAGTCACTGATGCTGAGACACAGACGGGTGGAGGGTTGAAAGCGGCCGCTCGGTGTGTGCATACGGATGGCAGGCGGCGCGAAGGGGTAGTCGGAGGGGAACATCAATGAGCCCCAGTATTGACCACCTTCATAAGGAGTATTGGGCGGGCCCGTCAGTATGTAATGCCACCTAGCCATATTAGGAACGGTCAATGATAATGAGCTGGGGGCGGTACTCAAGAATGTTTGCCTCTGAGGGATGTGCTGTGATATAAGGTGGAGGACTCTTCTGAAGATTCGCATACTCCCTGGTCAACTTCAAGCAGATCAGCCGCCTGAACTGGTCAATGATGGTAAGGTAACCTACTCTCTTGTTTGCTGCTGCGGTGGCCATGATGGAGGATGAGGGTCGGCGTGGCTTCCAAAGGATGAAAAGAGGAGTCCTTGAAGTGCGGAGGGAATCTCAGACTTGGATATCAGAACCAGAATCAGAAGGGATATCTAGAATGCGCAAGACCGAGAGGATGGAGGATGGCGAGCACCTGTTGGATTGTCGACCGTCTAACGTCCTGCCAGTCGTAGGGGTTCTATGAACTGTCGCAAGTTGTTCCAGAAGTCTGGCCACACCGCACCACCAACTTACTACTTACGTAGCGCTGGATGCCAAGCTTTTGCCGATCGCCGCTGCACTGCTTGCAAGCATGGCAGTTGAAGCTTCGAGTGTGATTTTCAGTTGAAACCATCACAGCCATCAAAAGCTCAATACAGAGCCATTATGGCTGCTGCACCGGGTGGAGATGAGGGCGTGAGTTCGAGACGGCCTTTCCTAGCTTCTGTATGACTAAAGCCCTTAGATATATGCCCGGCTGAATTTTACCACCGATTTGAAAGCAGTTGAGGAGCATGAACGGAGAATTCGAGAAAGGATCGACGCGACACTGAGGAAGAGTGAAGAAAGACTTGCTGAGCTGGTACCATGTCCTAACCGTTCGGGCATGTTCGTATGATTGATGTGAAAAATCCAGATCGATCAAAACTCTACCCTTCCCACCACTGTCTCCTCTGTCACTGTTGTTGGTGCGCCCAACACCCGACGGAGTTTCCTCGCTCGGATATTCGACCCGTTGCTAAGTGTCAACCGGGACCGACCATATACGCAATCAGAGCTCCTTCAAGAATGTGCTGCGCGAGCAGATAAGCTCAGTCGATTCGGTAGGAATCCCCTGCCTGCACGCGACAGCTACTTATGCTGTAGGTATCTATCATGAGCCCATCTCTCTCTTTTTCGACAAACCGGACAAAACAGATCCCTCCACGAGCCCGACAGACGTGGCTGTCTACGTGACTGCTAAAGAAAAAGGTCGAATATCAGCAAAAACCGGAACAGATCTCGGGAATGCCGAGGGCTCTGCTTATGCGAATGTACAATGGCGGAATGTTCTGGGAGGAGCAGAAACCCTTGATGTCAATGCCTCTTTGGGAACAAGAACAAGATCAGCATATCAGGCAGCATTCGACACACCAATCCTGAGCGATCCAGATAAAAGGTGGCAGATAGGTGGTGTTCAAAGCTCAACGCAAAGGAGTTTCGCGAGCCATGAAGAGTTCTTGAGAGGCGGATGGACAAATTTGAGATGGTTGACAAGCAGTAATTCTCAACATGAAGTCGGCTACAACGGCTACTGGAGACAGATCACTGGGCTAGCTTCAAATGCTTCATCTACAGTCAGGGCAGAGGCAGGAGACTCGTTTAAAAGCAGTATTTCATACACTTGGATTGCCGATCGACGGAATAACCCGATCCTACCATCAAGCGGATACTATATGAAAATGATCTCCGAATTAGCAGGGTGGGGACCGCTGAAGGGAGATGTTGCATTCTGGAAATCAGAAGTACACACCCAGACAGCGTCGACAATCCCACTGCCAGGAATCAAGGGAGACAGTGGCGTTATCTTCAACGCAGGACTCCGCGCTGGGCTGCTCTACCCCTTAGCGTTAGGCACAAATCAGACTCCGGAGGCATCGCACATCAACGACCGCTTCCAGCTGGGAGCACCCACAGATGTGCGAGGCTTTCGACTGTCTGGACTTGGGCCCAGAGATGGCAGTGATGCAGTTGGTGGGGACGTCTATGCCGCTGGGGGTGCTAATCTCCTTGTTCCCCTTCCTCGACTTGGACGTGAAAGTCCGCTACGAATGCAAGCATTTGTGAACGGAGGTCGACTACTGGCTCTTCGACAGGCAGAGAAGGAGGGCGAAATGAGCAGTGAGGATGTCAAGGAGAGCGTCTACAACACTGTCGCTGAGCTAGGAAACGGAGTGCCGAGCATGTCTGCTGGCGTGGGGTTGGTCTATGCTCACCCGGTGGCTAGGTTCGAGCTGAACTTTTCATTACCGCTGGTACTCAGAAAAGGCGAGGAAGGACGGAAAGGCCTGCAATTTGGCGTCGGCATCGATTACTTATAGCAACAGCTACAGCTACGATTGTACATATTGTAGAATTATCCTGAGTCCTCTCGTCCGAAAGTATTTGTTGTGCGCGAGCTTCTGGCAGCAGCGAATCGGAGCGCAGTCTTCCTCCGCACACAAAATGTCACTTCTGTCAAGCTCCAAATGACAACTTGGTCAGTTCTCACAGTTCAACTCAGATCATCATAGTAGCCCAGTTTCTGCCGCTTCTCAGAAGATTGCCTGCCTCGTATACTACTACTGTAGATTTTCTACAGCGCAGCAACTCATCACTGCTCCCCTGCGCACAACATACATCTCCCAGGCCACTATGGCCCAGTACTACAACCAAGGCTACAACGCCCAACCCGCCTCGACCTCCTCAGCCCAAAACCTTCAATTCTACCCATCCTCCTACGGCTCTCCGGGGCACGTCTCCGGGCACACCACGCCCTCCCAAGCATCCTACGGCGGGTACGGCTCCCCCTCCAACCCAGCAGCGGCAGCATACCCAGGCTATGGGGTCGGGGTTGGC